AAGAAGAATTTAAGAGTCAGTAGCCAAGAATTCATCACCAGTAGCTCAGGCCTGTAATGTAATTCTAACCACTCACAAGGCTGAGATCTGAAGATCATGGTTTTAAGCTAGCCCAGGCAGAAAAGTTTGTGAAACTTTTATCTCCAGTTACTCAACAAAAAGCCCAGAAGTGGAGGTATGGCTCAAGTGGTAAATGCCAGCTTTGAGTCAAAAAGCCAAGCAAGAGTGGGAGGCTATGAGTTCAAGCCCCATACTGACACTTAGACACACACACACACACACACACACACACACACACACACACAGAGCAAGAGTAGAGGATAAGACAGAAAGGCTGGTCTTTCAAAGAAGCCTCTGCTTATGTTTTTAGAAGTGTAGCTTCTCTGTGATTACAATAATCTCAGTAACAATACCACAGCCAGGCCAGAGACACCGAATTGAGAATTCTGCTACCTCAGGCACCTGTGTTCTGTCCTCAGCCAGCTGATTGTCATTCAGGCCCCCTGAAAGTCCAGCTGTTGGTCTTTAAGCCCAAAGGGGCCATTTTGGGGTCCTCTTGAAGTCATGGCTGTCACTGTCCTCTGGGCTTATGAAAATGTCTTCAGGAATCAAGGTTGTTTGCCCTTCCTGAGTGAGTCCCTCTTCTTTCTAGAGCTCGCTTTTACTGAAGAGGCTTTGCATCCCACTTCTAATCCTATTCAACTTAAAATGGCAATTAAGTGACTGTGTTGATGACATAAAAAGATTGAGGACTTTAAAAGTCTAGGGCTGGGGAGGGCTTTTACACAGCTCTTGCCATGACAGGATGCCTGTGCACACACCCAGCTTCAGAAGAGAAGGCTCCACAGCAAAGCCTGCTTCTTACATTCCACCAGCAGAAGACAAAACCAAGGCCAAGACCAAGGGCAGGTTGTGGCTAGCAGTCCAGAGGCCTCTCTTCTTGGCACACTCATAGAAGAAGGAAGTAGGGGAGAAGTAGGGAAGCCCAATTCAAAATAGGTTGTGAAAGGCTTTTAGATGTCAAGAAGAAAGAGGTCCAAGATGAAGTCTACTAATGTACAATTGGTGGTCAATTGTCCCTCCATCTCCCAGTCATGTCTGAGGTCCCCAGCTGGTTAGGGACAATCATCCTCCAGATTCCTTGCTCACTGAATGTGGCTTCAAGCTGCGGAACATCAGGCAGCCTCTACCACCCTACCTCAGCTCCCCTCAGGAATGGGAGACTCTCTGTTCCAGACATATTTAGAACTGTCACATAACCACGATTGGTTAAGGTTTCATATTACATAAATGGCCAAGGAGTTGCTGTTAATTTGCATTATGTAAATGAAATGACTTACAAGAGAGCATTCATTTGTGTAGCTAATAAGGCATTCTCCTCCATTGTTTCTACTCAGTGCTTTAAAGCAAAACAAAAACTAGCCTGGCATGGTGGTATACACCTACAGTCCCAGCACTAAAGAGCCACAACCAGGAGGATCAAGAATTTGAGGCTAGTCTGGGTCCATATAGCAAATTGGAGGCAAGCTTTAGCTACATAGTGAAACCCTATCATATGTGTGTGTATATGTGTGTGTGTGTGTGTGCGTATGAAGAAAAAGATACAAATACTTTTGAGCCCTGCTGAAGTCAGTCCTCTTAGGAGCAATATAAATGTGTATCATAGGGTAAGAACTTAATAAATATCAACAGTTACTTAATTATGTCTGCTTCTGGATGCTATCAAGTCACTTGAGGCAAATCAGTGTTTCCTCCCAGCACAATTTAATTCAGGTCGAATATTCTAAGAACGACATGCATCCTTGAAGGTGTCACCTGGCTGCTGAAGCACCAGACAGGTGCAGTGACATGTGGAGAAAAGAACCCCTTGAGCTGAGCCAAATCTCCTGCACCTTGTTCCACTCCTATGATCTAGTTGGCTTTTGGCGCGAGATAAGAGAACAAAACTTCTGGTGCTGGCTGAGAAGGCAGCGAGCTGTTGGGCATCTACCAGAGCACAATCAGAGCCTTTGGAGCACGGGGTGGCTGCCACTGCCATGGTTTCAGAGAGTAAGATCTGAGAGAGGAGAGGAGCCTAGAAGAATGAATTCAAATCTAGACCATGATTTTCTGGGTGTGTGTGTGTGTCTGGGTGTGTGTGTGCATGCGCGTGTGCCATGTGTGCCAGTCTTGGTCAGTCAAGGCCTGGGTGCTGTCCCTGAGCTATTTTACTCGAGGCCACAGCTCATTTCTAGCTATTTGCTGTTTAACTGGTTTGAAGCCAGCCTAGGAAGGAAAACCCTTGAGCCTCATATCTCTAGTTAACAACCAAAAAGCCAAAGTGGAGTGCTAGCTTTGATAAAAAGTGTAAGGACTAGCCGGGCGCCGGTGGCTCACGCCTGCAATCCTAGCTACTCAGGAGGCTGAGATCTGAGGATCGCCGTTCAAAGCCAGCCTGGGCAGGAAAGTCCGTGAGACTCTTATCTCCAATAAACCACTAGAAAACCGGAAGTGGCACTGTGGCTCAAGTGGTAGAGCGCTCACTTTGAGCTGAAGAGCACAGGGACAGTGACCAAGCCTAGAGTTCATCGACCAAAAAAAAAAAAGGTGCAAGGACATTGCTTAAACCCTGAGTTCAAGCTCCAGGACTAGCGTACACATGCACAAAACTCACAAAACTCATCTCAATTAATGGCTGGATGCAGTGGTACCTGCCTGCCATCCCCAGTGTTACTGGAAAATACAAGGAGGATCACAGTCTAAACTGGTCTGAGAATAAAGTGAAAGCATTCATTGAAAATAGACTATGCAAAAAGGGCCTGGAGACATGGCTCAAGGGCCTGCCTAGCAAGCTCGAGACCCCAAGTTCAATCTCCTCTAACACCAAAGAAAAGAAGAGGGGAGGGGAGGGAAAGGAAGGGGAAGGGAAGGCAAGGAAAGGAAGGGGAGGGGAAGGGAGGGAAGGAAGGAAAGAAGGAAGAAAGCAGAGGAGGGGATAGAGGGGAAAAGGGGAAGAAGGGGAGGATGAGGAGGGGAGAGGAAAAGAGAGGGGAGGGGGGAGGGAAAGGAGGGTAGTCACAAATAGTGGCATGTGCCTGTAATGTCAGCACTCAGGAAGTGGCAGGAGGAGGATTATGAGGTCAGCCTGGGCTACATAGCAAGACCCCAAGTCTAGATAGATGTGTCTGAAGAGAAAAGCAAGACCCTATTCAAAAAGCAAAAGCAATGTCTCACTAGACACTATGTTGAAAATGAACGCTACAACTTGTGGATGTGGGTGGGAGGGAAGACTGAGAGCAAGGGCGGGGGTAACATTGTCCAAAAAGAAATGTACTCCATACCTAACTTATGTAGCTGTACATCACCCTTTATAATTACATGGGAAAAGCAAAAAGGATTCACCTGGTAGAGCACCTTCCTAGCAAGCAAAAACCCCTGAGTTCATATCCCAGAACCACCAACACACACACACACACACACACACACACACACACACACACATACACACAACCCAGACTGGGTGCTGGTGGCTCACACCTGTAATCTAGCTACTCGGAAGGCTAAAATCTGAGGCTCGTGGTTTTAAACCAGCCTAAGTAGGAAAGTCCATGTGACTTTTAGCTCCCATTAATCACCCAAAAGAAAAAAAAGCAGGAAGTAAAGCTATGACTCAAGTGGTAGAGTGCTAGTTTTGAGCAAAAATGGTTAGGCCCTGAGTTCAAGCCTTAGCACCAGCACACACGTACATACATACACACAGCATAGCCAGGGGAAAAGGGGAGTGTAGGTGAGTGGACATGATCAGCGTGCTCTGCATCTGTCTGGAAATGTCACCATGAGCCCTCCTCATTTGCATAATTTTGTTTTAATAAGACTATACAGTGTAGGGGGAAAACAATATCCAGGCCTGGAGATGTAGCTCTGTGGTAGAGTATTTGCCTAGTAGGCGCAAAGCCCTGGATTCTATCCCCAGCACTGGAGGAAAAAAAAAAGTGAAAATTCAAAATCTGAAAAATACTTTTGAAATGAAGAACTCAACAGATGGGTTTTTCACATACATTTTTTCCCCTTACCATACACTAGTATAGAAGGAAGAAAACAAGGAAGCCTACCTGTTTGAGGGTCCGTTACTGTTCTAGCATCAGCACTCTAGCTTGCGTCACCGGCTTACCATCACCAGCTTCCAGCACCTGAACAACTGGATTCAAACTACATCCAACCCATAGCAGTTGATCCTTATATGATAACTACACAGAAGGCATTCATCAAGGACAAGCCTACTTCCCTGAATTCCTCCATTGGTGGTCCCTGTCTATTCTAATTCTCTCAGAGTCCTTGCTTAAGACACAAAAGCTTTCCAATTTGATTGTAATATGAGAGAAACTCTGGCCTCTTATGGATTTGCAAATTACTTAATTTTAAAAAAAAAAACGGGATGGTGAGACTTTCTGGGACACAACTGGTTGGGCCAACTCCTCTGGGCAGGGCTTTGTCCACTTGAAAGTGTTCAGCAACTTCTGTCCTAAATTTGGACAAATCTATAACCATCTTTAAGTTCTCCCAGCAGGTGATTCTCAGCCATGTTTCCCACCCCCTGTGTACCCATTGGCAGGAAGGGCCGCAATATGGGAAGAGCTCCCTAGATGACACAGAGAACGTAGGTAGAACCAGCGCCAGGGGCTCACACCTGTAATCCTAGCTACTCAGGAGAATGAGATGTAAGGATCATGGTTCAAAGCCAGCCCAGCCAGGAAAGTCCTTGAGACTCCAATTAACCATTCGAAAAACCAGAAGTAGAGTTGTGGCACAAAGTGGTAGAGTACTGGCCTTGAGCAAAAGAGCTCAAGACAGCGTCTAGGCCCCAAGTTCAAGTCCCACCACTGACACACACACACACACACACACACACACACACACACTCACACACGGGTAGAGTCCCTCAAGTTAAGAAGAACAGAAAACTGAGTTGCCAAAAGAAATGTATCATCCTAATACAATAAAACACATGCTTTGCATTCCAGGTCCTTCAACTATTCTATGGGCACCCGGGCTTTTTCCCATGACAGTATCTTTATCCCTGATGGGGGAGCAGAAAGTGAGCAGACAGTTCAAGCAATGTCACAGGACAACATCCTGGGCAAAGTCAAAACTCTTCAGGTAAGACAGCTTGAGCCCGGAGGGGCGGGGCCTGGCGGGGGAGGGAGGGGGAAGAGTCCCAGCCATTCCGTGAGTAATATGGACAGGAGGGGCCCCGACTGGCTCCTGGGGAGATCCTTTAGTCTGGCAGAACCTCTCACAGTTCTCTGGAAGCGACCTGGCCCCTGGCGAGAGGCCTGCACTCTGCCCACCTGCATGACGGTGCCTTCCTTTCCTCTCAAATGTTACTGGGTGTGGGAAGAAGCACCTGGCTTGGGGCTTGCATGGAGGACAGAGCTCCTAACCAGTACGCCAGCCCGATCGGTGATCGGGCAGCCTGGTGCAGGTTCACAGTCCTGGTCTCCAACGCCAGACAGCCAACATGGAGATCCTTTTTCCTGCTGTGCCTCTGTATGTGGCTCCCAGCCATGTCATCTCAGAGGCCCTTCACCAATCCCCTCCTGCTCACGCCGCAGTGTGGGTAGTTTTCCTACCCAACATTGACTCGGCTGGTGACTGCCTAACAAGGAAAATAGAACAAAGCAATCCTTTACTTAGTGTGAGTAAAATAACAGGGAAAACAGGAGGAGTAGGGCCACTTGGGGTCTGGCTACCTAGGTTCCACCCAGTGTTTGGGAGAATTCCTTCACTGGAGAGCAATGTCTAAGCCAGCGCTTCTATGGCAGGGGAGGAGGGGGGAGGAGGGAGGTCTCCCCAGATCTTGAACAGAACACTCGGGGATGATGAGCCCTCTACAATAATGAATGAGTGAATGAATGAATGGCCCAGGTAGTTACCAATATAGTGATGCATGTGCTCAAAAGAAATCACCCACTTTCTTGAGATAATCTTTGCTTTCTACTAAGCAATAACCTGTTGGTAAGCATATGGCAAATAGGGAAGCAGCAAACACCCTGGCACCACACCCAAACTTACGCAGGGCTTTATGCCAGCACCCACCACTGGCCAGGGCCATGGTTCTACCTTCAGAGCCAGCCCATGCTGCCCTGCACAGCCTAGCTTTCCTGAGCAGGCCGCTGTGTACTTGGTTCTAGCTAGCTATGCCCTTCCACTGGGTTTGGGCTCTGGAAAAGAGAACGATGGCTCACTTCCTATAGGTTGCTGCAGATGGCCAAGGAAAATCTGGTCTTTTGATTCCTGGCATATCATTCCCAGTAGGTTCCAAACCTCTGGCTTATCCTATCATTATTTTTCTCAAAGGAGTGACGTGCAGAATCCTGTCCATGAAATAGCACTATTATAGAAGTATTATTCTGGAAGTGCTGTAAAAATAGATGGCAGCATGTTATCTTAAATGACATACACTCTGGCACATCACATGACATGCTATTCCAAAAATTGGAGTTAATAGTTGTAAAGCATAAGTCATTGTGCAGTGTTGAAAAATACAGAAACTTGAGAAAAATCTAAGTATTGTGCCAGGTGCCAGTGGTGCACACCTGTAGTCCTAGCTACTCGGGTAGCTAGGATCTGAAGGACTGTAGGTCAAAGCCAGGCCTGACAGAAGAGTCTGAGAGACTCTAATGAGCCAATAAAAAATGCAGCTGCAGCTGTGACTCAAATCATGATTTTAACTAATCTGATTTCATAATTCATGAACTGTGGAACAATTAACTTCCCTGAAGCAACAATTCTGTTCACACAGAAAGAAAAGCATGGAAAGAGAGCAGAATAACGGTTTGAGGACTCTTACTTTTTGACAGTTTCTACTCACACAGGGTCTGCCTCAGTTTACCTCTGCTGCGTGGATTCACAAGCTTTCCTTTCAGCTCAACAGTGATATTAAAAAAAAAATAGAAAAGGCTTTGCTCTCCAAGGAGGGAAATGGGGGACCATTATAATAGCAAATATAAATTTTGGAGTGACCTGAGATATAATTGTATCACCCCCAAAAGCCTGTGTGTGCTTTATTTTTCAGTCGACTGAGCAGTATGCTCCTGGTAAGTGGTAGAGCGCCAGTCCCATCCTGAACTTGCATGAATGCTTTGCATTTTTCCACCACCACGTTATGCTGGTGTTGATGCTTAGTAAGCAGCATAAACGACCGCCCCTCGTCCACTCCAGCATGGAATGAGATGGTTTAGCCGTGTCTGAGGCATGTGTGTTTGTATGTCTGGGATTGTCTTTGTGTATATGTGTGTATTTTTTTTTAAGGGAAAAGGAATCAATAACACTTATTTGACAAGAAAGATCCTGGATAACTGATTAGCCACTATCCCAAAGATCTTTTGAATTTCTACCTGAATGACATTTAAGGGTCTAAAAAGCCATTTACAGTATTACTTAAGAAACTGCCCAGCCCTTGGAGCCCTTGGACACCCACAGAAAGGCGGCTGTTAATGCCTGCCCCTTGTGTCCGCATGGAGTCATTGCACCTGCAGTATTGGCTAATGGAATACAACCCAAATCAGCTTGCCTTGTCCCCAATTACCTGGATCTACCACCTGCCAAACTTTCTGTAGCAAACAGATCTTTCTAAATAAAATGCACATGTATTGTTTCTGGTTATAAAAAATGTGCAAAGCAAGAACCAGTTTTGAATATACCAGACTCTAAGACTCTATGTAAGAAATCAGTTGCTCTGTGAGCAGTAGGATGAAGACCATGTGAATGCATGAAGGAATTCATAAAATAGGAAGCACAAGCTGGGTCTCCACCACCCCTGGCTATGTGGCCCTGGGGGAAGTCATTTAACCCCTGATACTCCCAGTCCCCACCTGAACAGCAGGGATGCATTATGACGGGGAATCTGGGGTCTGAGGTCTGTGATCTGGGTGAAGTCGCCGGGCACCTACTACGGCACTGGTGGCTTCACAAGCTTTGCATTTGGGCTGCAGTAAGTTTGCCATTGCCTTCAGCTTTCCAGAAGCACGGGGCAAGGAGGATGCCTGTTCATTTGAGATCAGAGCAGACAGTGATGATAAAACTCAGGGGCAGCACATTTGAGGCCACAGGTGAATTTTTTGGGGGGGTCCGGTCGTGGGGCCTGAACTCTGGGCCTGGGCGCTGTCCCTCAGCTCTTCAGCTCAAGGCTAGCACTCTACCACTTGAGCCACAGCGCCACTTCCAGCTTTTTTCATTTTGCTTATGTGGTGCTGAGGAATCGAACCCAGGGCCTCAGGCATGTAAGGCAAACGCTCTATCACTGAGCCATCTTCCCAGCCCCACAGGTGAATTTTTTAGAGTTATACACCACACCTTTATCAGCGAAATGTTTAGATTATTTCTTAACCACAGTTCTTGGGTCTAAGAGGAAAACCTCTATCCTGGGTAGCTAGCGAGTCCAACTGAGCTAGACTTCACCTAAAAATACCAAAAGTATTCACGTTTCTCTGAGAGCAGGCATCTTTAAATGGGTATGCTGCTTGCTTCTTTCTTTACAAATTGCTTTCACCATAGAAATATGTACAGTTCTCACAAGAAGACAGCCACTTTCTTTTTTTTTCCCTTGGCTTTACTCTTAAAGATATGGGCTGAAGAATGGCTGTGAAAAAATCTGGGAAGTTCTAGATATTGGCAATGTGAAAGCTGCAGAATATGATGTGTTTGGCATTTTCCACACCATAGGAACCCACTTCATGAATATGGATGAGCATTCCTGTAATATCGTTCTCCGACATTCCATATTGCAACAAAATGGCCCAATGTGAATGAATAAAATATAGTTCCTTTCAGTCCACATTCCAGTCTCAACAGTAATGCCATTCATAGCCACCAGCAGCACAGACTGTCAGTATATGCACAAATCTCCACTCTTTCCTGGTTATAATTGCAGTGCGTATAAAGACAAGTATTTATTTATTTAAATGTATATTTGTATATAAATGTATATATAAATACATAAAATCCAGTTCCCTTCCCCGCTCTTCCTGTTCCAGAGAGACAGAGGGGGGGGGGGGAGTGTTAGTTTCTCTCTCTAAACTTAAGGGCCAGCCTAATTTTCAGTAGTTGTTCACTTATACTTACAGTCATGATAATGCTTGGAGAGAGGCTAAATTGATTTTTTTAAAGCCATATGTATCCATGTCTTTTGAATTCAAGTGACACCTGAGATTGCCAGGTAGATTTTAGCAGTAATCTTTCCATTGTTGACATGTCTCACAAAATGTCACAACAGTCCAGTCTCCTTTGGAAGCTGTAGGAGGAGGCGTTTGGAGAAGGAACCTGGGGGGGGGGGGCACATAAGTGGCTGGGGAAGAGTCTGGGCTTGGGTACCAAAAGACCAGTGGCCATGGCCCTGGAACCTAAGTCCTGGGCTCCTCCCAGCTCTCATACTGACAGCTGCAGGGCCTGCGTGTGAGAATAGTCCTTTGTCTGGACACAGACTCACCCTACTGCTTCCTCATTCCAGCCACCACACCCCTCTGGCTCTCAGCCTCCCCTTCCCACTCCCCCAGCCCTCAGCCCCAATCTGGTCTCCCTAGGGGATTCCAAAGCAGCCTCTGTGGTAGAGTGTACATTTTCAGACTCCACGGTAACCGCATTGTGCTGCTTTTGCCAGGAGGAACATACATGTCACATCAATCAGCCCTTTGACAAGCACGCGGTACACTCCCCCCCTTCCTGTCCTCTTTGTTCCCTCTGTCCCCCAGATGTCATAATGGCACTCACGCCTTCTCCCCTTTCTTCCCTGTGCATTTCCTCTCCCTCCTCGACTTCATCCCTGCCTCTTCCCACACCCCTGTCCATCTTCCAGCAGTGAGATTTCCCTCCACAGCGCTCATGACATCTCTGGGCGCTGTTTCTGGCTAGACTGTGACTGTATTTGGCCACCTTCGTTTTTGTCTCTTGAAGTATCAGGATGGGTCTGTGTTCTAAAACAAGCCCCACGGCAGGGAAAATATCAGCCTATTTGTTCTTTTTTTTTTTTTTTTTTTGCCATGAAGACAAAAATCTTAATACAATGGCAGTAGAAGATGAGCCAGCACGTGTGTTAGGAATTATTCTTTCCATTGGCAGTATAAAGAATGCCATCTTCTTGGCGGGCCAGTGGATGCCACAGGACAGCAAGGAGGAGGAATGGAGGAGGAGGAATGGAGGAATGGAGGAGGAGGAATAGATTCGAGCGCCCTACAGCACAGTAGGGCAGCTAGTGTTGACAATGATTGCACATTGCAAAACAGCTTGAAAAGAAACCTTATCACAGTCGCAGCACAGACAGCTGAGAACTGTTCCAGATGGCGGGACAGGCTGCCAAGCACCCACATGGGATCCTGACACGCTCTATGCAGGCGCTGAAGCAGCACACTGGTCTCTAGTAATTCACGCACTCTGGAGGCCAAGGTAGGGGGATGGCGAGTAACTGGCTAGCCTGGGGTAAACAGTGAAGTTTTGTCTCAAAAAAAAAAATCAGCTGGATGCCAGTGGCTCATGCCGGTAATCCTAGCTACTCAGGAGGCTGAGATCTGAGGATCGCGGTTCAAAGCCAGCCCGGGAAGGAAAGTTCATGAGACTCTTATCTCCAATAAACTGCTAGAAAACCGGAAGTGGTGGTGTGGCTCAAGCGGTAGAGTGCTCGTCTTGAGCTGAAGAGCACAAGGCAGCACCCAAGCCCAGAGTTCAAGCCCCACGACAAAAAAAAAAAAAAAAAATCAAGAAAAGCACTGGGTGCTGGTGGCTCACACTTGTAGTCCTAGCCACTTAGGAAGCTGAGATCTGAGGATCACAGTTCAAAGCCAGCCCAGAAAAGGAAAATCCATGAGAACTATTATCTCCTGTTAATCACCAGAAAATTGGAAGTGGCATTGTGGCCAAAGGTAGAGTGCTAGCCTTGAGCAAAAAAGCTCAGGGACAGCGCCCAAGCCCTGAGTTCCAGCCCCATGACCAACAAAAAGAAAGAAAAGAAGGAAGGAAGGAAGGAAGGAAAAAATCAAGAAAAGAGGAAAGAGGAAGGGAGGGAAGGAGGAAAGGAAGAGGGAGGAAAGAAAAGGAGGGAGGGAGGAAAGGAAAGGAGGGAGGGAGAGGCTGGCCTGCTGGCTCAGAGCTCAGTCATTTTGGATCACTGGCAGATTCTACCATCAGGAAGTCTCTCCAGTCCAGGGGGGCTGAGGCCAGTTTGCAGTTCCTGGCCACCATTCCCCGGGGCAGGCTGGGCTGGCAGATCTTCTGCCTAGGTTTCCCACCCCTCCCCACAGGGCAGCAGTGAGCTGGACCTGTGGCTACGTGACTCCATGTCCTCCTGTCTGACTCCATTGGCTGTTCTAACTGTGCCTGCTTATTGACCTGCTTAGAGTAGATACTAACTGCTGCTTCCTGCTGCACCTGTTTCTGGAAGACACCCCTTTTTCAGCACCCTCCACCCTTGGGGCTGCTGAAGCTGTCCTTCCCTGGCTGACCACGGGCTTTGGATGTGCGCTCCCCTCCTGCGGAACTGAGCCAGGCGCAGACTGGGATCCCAGCGTATGGAGTGCCGGCCCTTGCCTTGACATGCTCCTGACTTGGCATGTGGGGGTCCCGCAAGGTGGGGGAGTGGGGAAAGCATCTCTGGCTCATCTCTGTCATGTGTCTGCAGTCTCACTACCCACCAGGCCAAGGCTGATGGGAAGCAGGGACCAAGCAGGGGAGATCTGGGGAGATTTGGTTCCGTGGCGTTCTAAGGGGGAATTCTGCCAGGGAACTCCAGATGCATTAAACATGCTGCATCATCTTTTTATGTAATTGCCCTGCAGGGAGGAAGTGCAACATCAGATTTATGAGGGCCACTGAAGCGCATTCAAGTAACCCTGGGTGTGATTTTGCAGGGCCTGAGCTCAGATTCCTTTGGGGTCACTCATTCCTTCCACAAGCGTGGGACACTCATCTGCTGGCACTACAGTGGGTTAGAGTAGTTTGCTAAGGGTCTCTGGAAGTGCATAGGATTAAACATGAGCCTGATTAAAGATGAAGAGCAACTCATCTCTGGAGGCTTATAGAACCAGTGAAACCCAGGTACCAGCGTCTAGAGAACTGGTGCTGAGCGGGGGGTGCGTTTACCACACCTCAGGAGACATGGGGCAAGCGGGAGATCATTTTCCTTTTCGAATCCTGCCCTTGCCTCGTTCCCAACTCTATTCACCTTTCAATTTCTACACGTTTTTCTTCCCTTCTGCTGCAGCCTTCCAGCTGCCACTTCTCACTAGAAATCAGTTGAGCCTCGGTCCTTATTCTCTAACTTGTCTTGATGCTCTGTTTCAAGATGGGTAGAGGCGGGGCACAGATGTCTCATGCTTGTAAACCTAGCTATTCAGGGGGCTGAGATCTGAGGATCAAGGTTCAGAGCCAGCCCGGGCAGGCAAGTCCATGAGAGCCTTATCTCTGATTAATCCATCAACGCCAGGAAGTAGAAGGTGGCTCAAGTGGCAAAGTGCTAGCCTTGAGAAGGATCCAAGTGAGATCAAGGCCCAGTACTGGCCTGTGCATTTATGCACACACACATGCATGCGTGTGCACACACACACACACATTATAAAGAAGTCCAGATTGTTCTCTTCCCTTGTGTGACTCCAGCATTAACTGGGAAAGACTCGCTGGCCCTGACTCTCTTCCCCTTGCCACTTTCACTGTGGCTGTGCCCTGCTGGACCTGAGGGTCCACTGGGGGCTGGTGGGAAGGTGGCAGAAGTATAAGGATTCCTGGGAGAAGCATCTAGAAGGAGCCAGAGTGCTCCCGTGCAGCATCCAGCCTGTAACTGCCGTGTAACTGTCTTCCCTACAGTGTTTTTGTACTTTCAAAAGACTTTTTTCAATATTTAGATTACTCAGAAATCAAAATCCCAGGTGGCTCATGCCTGTCATCCTAGCTACTCAGGAAGCTGAGATCTGAGGCTCACTGTTCAAAGCCAGCCCAGCAGGAAAGTCTTTGAGACTCTTCTCTCCAGTGAATCACCAAAGAGCTGGAAGTGGAGCTATGGCTCCAGTGGTCCAGTGCTAGACTTGAGCAAAGAAGTTCAAGGATTGTGCCCAAGCCATGAGTTTAAGACCCATTATTCACACACACACACACACAGAATTTTTAAAAACCACACGTTCTAATTTTGGCCATGAAATAGACTCCCCGAATCTATTGGAAAATGGCAGCATTTCCATGCAAGAGATAGCTGATGACAAAGGTCCAGGCTTAAAGATGGACGGCCCCTCCCTGGCGCAGCAGGGTGTCGGGAGAGCTGCCGCTGCCCTGGCCACGCCTCAGTGCCCCCTAGCTATGCTGCAGAACCTGCCTGGGGACCGGGGCCTGCCTTGCTGCTTCAGAACCTCTTTCTCTTGTGTTTCTCCCCAGCGACAGTTGGGCAAGAATATCAAGTTTGGGCAGCGGCCATCCAATGCCATTCCTATGAAGAAGGCTGGCAGTGGAGAAGCTGGCTCAGAAGAGGACTTGTTTCTGACCAGTCCCATGGAAATTGTCACTCAGCAGGACGCTGTCCTCTCAGATTCGGAGAACAAAGTAAGTCTCCTCCAGGGATTGACTTGATGACTCAAAGCCAGGGCTGGAGGCTGCTCAGGGACGGGGGTGTCTGATGAGCCTGAGGGGGTACTGATGAGCAGTAGAGGGGATAAGGTGGGGGAAGGGCTTCTGATGAGAAACCCAGGGCTGAGAATACTTCTTAGGCAAGTGTGCTGGCCCGGGTCCAATGAGGAGAGGACAGGAAAGGAGAAGGAACAGGGCCTTTGCACATGCTGTTGTCAGTAACTTCCACATACCCCTCAAGGCTCGGGCTGTGCCCACCTCGTCTGGGAAAGGCCAAGCTCGCCTTTTTTCCAGCGACATTGTCTCCCTTTGGTGTGTCCTCATCACTCGCACATGGAAGCCCTCGTGCGTGTAACGGATTCTTTCCTGTCTTTAAATGCTGAGTCTTGCAGAGAGATGGGGCCTCACACATCTGTGTGTCTCCGGGAGGGAGCCAAGGCCTGCTTTGTAACACAGAATCGCTCCTTGTCATAGTGGACTGGGAAATGAAACAAAGAAAAGCAGAGGGACTCAGTGAGACAGAGCCCACCCCACCAGCCAGCTCCACCTTGGGGTGGAGAGCAGTCACATTCTAGACCTTGCTGCCCAAATGGGATCAGTGGATGCTTTCACTTATTTATTTATTTCTTGTAGTGCTGATAGTTGAACCCAAGGGCTCACGATAGATCCGTGATAGATGGGTGCCTGCCACTTTTGCTTATCTTTTGTTTTTGAGATTGAGTCTCACTAATTTTGCCTAGGCTGACCTCAAACCATGACCCTCCTACATATGCCTCCCGAGTAGCCGGGGTTATAGGTGTATGTCACCATACCCAGCTCTGGTGATACTTTTGCGGAACTATCTTGAGCATATCCTCAATTAAGAGTTCTTCTAGCAGCAAAAGGGATGTTCTCAGGCTGTTTGTGGGAAAGGAACAAAAGTCCTACCAATAGCTAAAGACAAAGATTCTGCAGGTAAGGGATGGCTTTTCAAGTGTTAGAAAGACAGAGAGAGAGAGAAGGATGGAGAGAGGGAAGGAGAGATAGAGAAGGGCAGGAGAGAGAAGGGGAAAGAAGGAAGGGAGGGAGGAAGGGGAGGGAGGAAGGAAGGAAGGGAAGGAAGGGGGGAAGAAGGAAACATTTTCTTGACATTATCAATGTGCCTGAAATTTTGGTTGGTGCTGTTCAAACAAGCATGCCTCAGAAGAAATCATGTGAGTTATCAGCTAATCTGGTTATAAAGAAAGTAAGACGGTACAGAGCAAAGAGAGGAAGGGAAGGGGACCGTCTACCCCACTTAGTGTCTCTGCCAGGCCTGACTGATGGCCCTCCACAGGCAGCCCCCACCCTCTGTGGGTAGCAGGCAGTGCTTCTGATCTCCTCGGAAGGGAGCGCTGTGGCCTGGGGAAAGAGACAGGCTCTTTGATCCACAGACCTTGACTTAGATGTGGGAGTTATGGAGACAAGCAAGATTTGCCACCGGCCAACTCCAAGTAGCTCACGCCATACACAGACCAACGTGTAGGCAACTATGATGGATGCAGATCAAGAAACTTAAGGTAGTGCCAAGGAGAGTCACTTAGTGGGAGGTTTAGGTGTAGGGTTGGGAAGAGGCAGAGGGCTGAGTGAGAACAGAGGGCCCGAAGGGACGGAGCTCATCCAGAGAGGACCAGGAAGCTGGCCAGTGTGGCTGGGCGGAGGCTGGGAAGAGCCGGTGACAAAGGCAGATGGAGCTGAGAATGGGGAAAGGGAGGCATTCTATGCTGAGACAGCCAGGAGCCTCGGAGTCATTTTCTGCATAGAAGTCACAGTCGGGTCTGTGTGTTCTACACGTCGTTCTGTGGTGTGTAGAGGGGACTGTGGTACAGCAAGCTGACTTGGTGGCACTGGAAGGAAAGATAAGAAATGGCACCACCAGGCAATAGTGGCTCACACTTGAAATCCTAACAACTCAGGAGGCTGAGATCTGAGGATCAAAGTTAAAAGCTAGCCTGGACGTAAAGGTCTATGATACTCTTATTTGCAATTAATCAGCAAAAAGCACAGAAGTGGACGTGTAGCTCAAGCAAAAAAAGCTGAGGGAGAGCTGAGGTAAGAGCCAAGGCCTGGAGTCCAAGCTCCAGGACTAGCACAAAAAGAAGGAAGAAAGAAGGGAGGGAAGGAGGGTGGGAGGGAAAGAGGGAGGGAGGGAGGGAGGGAGGAAGAGAGAGAGAGAGAGAGAGAAAGTGTGACAACTCAAGATTTAGGGTTTAGGGTTAGGGCAGGGAGTGTGGCTTAGTGGTAGAGTGCTTGCCTAGCATGCATGAAGCCCTGGGTTCGATTCCTCAGTACCACATACACAGAAAAAGCCAGAAGTGGCACTGTGGCTCAAGTGGTAGTGTATTAGTCTTGAACAAAAAGAAGTTTAGGGACAGTGCTCAGGCCCTGAGTTCAAGCCCCAGGACTAGCAAAAAGAGAAAGAAAGAAAGGAGGGAAGGAAGGAAGGAAGGAGAGAGAAAAAGAGGGAGAAAGAAAGAGAGAGAAAAGAAGGAAGGAAGGAAGGAAGGTAGGAAGGAAGGAAGGAAGATTTGAGGTTTATTAGGACGTCCAGTTGGGGGTGGGGGCAGGAATACAAGGGGGGACCCCAATGCATGCATGAGACATAGATTTGTGAATCTTGAACCTTTCTCTGACATTCTGTGTTTTTAGACCCTTCCTACTCTTTCACATTGTCTTCCTCTGCGTGTGGCAACTTCTCACCCATTGCTCAAAGAGAGGTTTGGCAGGGAAAGGGCGGAAGGCAGCCAATGAGGCCCCAAACCCAAGGCAGGCGCCCCATGTGAAATTCAGCCCTGTTTCCCGGGTACAGTGGCCGCTGAGCAGCCCCTTAGCCATGGAGAGAACCACAAGGACTGTGGCTGGTGTGTCCCCCTTGCTGGCACCGTCCCCAGCATGCCTGTGCGGCCTGTGGGGTGGCTGCACCCATGTGGAGGACAGGGCACATCTGGTTCTTTGCCCACCATTTCCTGTGCCTGCCTTTGACTTTCACACTCTCCGCTGTTGCAGTCCAGCCATCCGCCCGGCTCTCCGAGTCCTCTGAACCTCCCTGGGTACGGAAGTGAAATGGAAGACAAGGTAACAGGATCCCAACTTCTTCGCGGAGCTTCCTTCCTTTTCCTTTCCGTTTGCTTCCTCATTTTCTGTTCCTCGGTGTTGGCTTCCTGTGTCATTCCTTCCACATGCAACCAGTAGCACAAGTGCTTCCTTGACAACACAACTGCTAGAACTGAAGCTGGCTCTGAAAAATAGCCAGGAAAAAGAAAATAAATAAATAAGAAAAAGGGCATTCCAAAATACCTGATGGTACGTATGTATAAGGAGGGGTCCTTTGGTCTTAGAGACATTGAGAAACCAACTATGAAAAAACCCAACCAATATCTATCTATCTATCATCTATCTATCTATCTATCTATCTATCTATCTATCTATCTATCTATCTATCTATCTATCTGTCTATGTCATCTATCTGTCTCTCGGTATCTTGGCAGTAATGAGGATTGAACTCAAGGTCTGCTGTCAGGCAGGCCCTTACCTCCGACCTCTGTTTGCATTGGCTATTTTCAAGGTAGCATTTTGCTTTATGCCCAGGCAGGCCTGGACTGTGAGTCTCCTATTTGTGCTTCCCTATGTGGTTGAGGGCGACAGGTGCCCACAGTTATACTTACAATGAAATAACAAACAGATGTGTTATCTGGGATAACAGACTTGCATCGCCACTTCCAACCAATAGTTGAGATCAAGTTTCCTGAATTTCTTTCTGACCAGGCAGGCCTTGAACGTTCATCCTTCTATCTCTACATCCCAGGGAGCTAGGATTACAGCCTGAAGCCACCATGCCCAGCTAGCAAGATAACTACGCAGATACTACATACATATATATACAAATATAGATGTATGCACACAGTAGTATAAAGTTATATATATAGTTTTATGTATATATAGTTTTTTATATAACATGGAAATGTTACATATATGTAACATATACACACATATATATGTGTATGCACACACATGAATATATAGCATTTTTATGTCACATTTAAACTTTAAGTTTTCCCGCAGCCTAGAGTTGGTACCTCCTCCCTTAGGACTACTCAAGCAGGAGCTCACCTACTCTGATGGGGACCTCTCATCTCTTCTCAACAATAGCTCAGAATTGACACCCATTGTAAAAGTAACCATACATAAATGAGAAGAAAGCTTAAGGCTAGAAGTATTTTTCAGTACTTCTTGCCATCAATTCCTGTGTACCAGATGTCCATTTTGCTCTTGGAGCTAGCTTGCTCTTTTATCATTGCAAGTCAAACCCTTTGACTAAACCTCATTCACTCCACCTGAATGTGGGCCTGTCTGGCTCGGCCCTGGGCTGTGGACTTATATGTAGGGCTGAGAGCGCCCCCTGCTGCATGTTGGCTTGGAGGAGCAGGAGGCCTTTCTCACTCCTCTAAATTCTCTATACTTTCAGGCGTTCATCCTACCATCTCATGCATCATTGTGGACTCTTACTCAGGTTGTCCTGCGGTCACCCTAATCTTTTGCACTGTGAGTGGTTGGTTAGTCTGAAGCTGTGGCTTTTGAATGATTGCACCTGCACTCCAGAACTGTGGACTGTTCTGTAGTTCATTGTTTGAGGAATAGCACCTGCCCCTTGGGTACATTTTTGCCACTCATTTACCCCCCCCCCCCCAGGGCCCTTCTTTTTTCTTTTAGCTTTTGGTGACTCCATACTATGTAACTTTAGAGTGACAAACATTCTTTTTGAGATGCCATCTCCATATGTAGCTAGGCTGCCCTTGAACTTCAACCCTTTGCCTTAGCCTCCTGGGATTACAGGCACGAACAGTTTCAACTGGCCCAAAATATTTTTTTTTTTTACTGATTATGAAAGTCAGATACTAAGCATAGAGATTATATTATTCCTTCAACAAATAGGGATTGAACACTTATCAACTGAAGTTTGCTACTTGGGCATAAAAGAGACTGATACAAAGTTAAGAAGATAACTTCTCGCCTCATAGGAACTTGGTCCTTTGTAGGAGATAAGCATGTAACCATGTCTGAGAGGTACTAATTATTTTAGGCTTTGTGGTCACATGACTGCAACTGTACTGTTCTCCTTCATGCTATTCTTCCTTTGTGGCACAAAATCAGCCAAGTTGGTGGGCCCGGATGTGGGCACCAAAGCATGTTGTGCTCAGGCTTTGTTGCTTATCATTCAGAGTTAGAAACCTAGTCCTGGAAAGGCTTTTTTTTTTTCAGTCATGGGTCTTGAATTCGAGTCTTTAACACTATCCCTGAGCTTTTGTGCTCAAGGCAAGTGCTCTACCATTTTGAGCCACAGTTCCACTTCTGGATTTCAGGTGGTTAATTGGAGATAAAGAGTCACAGACTTTTCTGCCTGGGCTGGCTTCCAATTGCAGTCCTCAGATCTCAGCCTCCTAAGTAGCTAGGATTATAGACATAAGCCACCAGCACCTGGCTTTTAACTAAATTTTACAATGAATACGAGTAGATACCCTGGTACAGCCCCTTCCCATGGTACTGGAAATTGAAATCAGGGCCTTGAGCTTGCACCAAGCCTTTTTGCTTTAGTTTTTGTTTTTTTCCAGATAGAGTCTCATGCTTTTGTCCAGGATCATCAGCCTTGGACTAAAATCCTCCTACCCCGGCCTCCCGAGTAGCTGGGATTACAGCTATGAATCACCACTCCCAGCAACATCTTGTCTTTTGATTCCAAAACCAAGGTTTATTTCACTGTAGCAGTAAGCTCTTCTGCACTCTGGTGTTCCCTAGGACTGACCAAGTTTAGAGGCCAATATGTGCTACCATTCTGAGATTCCCTGTAGGCTGCTTTCTGCTCCAAACTGACTTTCTGTCTTAATCTGCACCATAGGTTGCTCCAATTAAACCTTCTCGTCCAAAAAGGCATTTCTCTTCTGCGGGTACCATTGAGAGTGTCAACCTCGACGCCATCCCCCTGGCCATCGCTCGTCTGGACAACAGTGCCGCCAAGCACAAACTGGCTGTTAAGCCAAAAAACCAGAGGGTGTCAAGGAAGCACAGGCGGCTTGCCCAGGTGTGTAATGCCCGTCCTGGCTGAGCAGACGTCCTTGCCTGCTGGACACTGATGTTACCAAGGGGGTTGGGGCTGGAATACAGACATCAAAGGATGTAGCTGTCTAGCCATGGGGAGCATAGACAGCACTGCTGTGGATGATCAGCTGTTTCCCTCCTATAGTCCTTCCTGTCTGCAGGCTGGTGAACTTCAGAGGGGAAGTCACCTGTGGGGCGCAGTGGGACCCAAATGCCTTGTGTTTGCATTGCAGAAGAATGATGGACTGGTGCAGTATTACTTAGTCAGAAGGTCTGCAGTCGGATTAGGCTGACTCACAGCTTCAGGGGACATTGCTGGAGCCACTCTCTGTTTTACTCATCTCCTCATGCTGGGCTATTAGTTTTATTGTTAATTCATAACGATAAGAAAAGGGAATGGAGGAATGACAAAGGAATGGGAGGGCAATACATAAAGATTTATTTAACTCCAGTCCTGGGGCTTGAACTCAGGACCTGGACTGTCCTTGAGTTTTTGTGCTCAAGGCTAGCACTCTACCATTTGAGCCACAGATCCACTTCTGTTTTTTTTTTTTTTGGTGGTTAATTGGAGATAAGTCTCACAGCTTTCCAGCCCAGGCTGGCTTCAAAGTTCAGTCCCCAGATCTCAGCCTCCTGAGTAGCAAGGAGTAGGCACAAGCCACTGGCAACCAGTAATTACATTTTTATTAAGTAGTTGTACAGAGGATTTGCCATCCCACAAATCAATTTACAAATACTATGGATCTTGATCTATGTCATCCCTTTCACCATTTACCTCCTTCCCTCCAACCCAACTACTCCTCTCATTTTTTTTTTTTTTGCTAGTCCTGGGGCTTGAACCCAGGGCCTTGGCTCTGTCCCTGGGCCTCTCTGTGCTCAAGGCTCTCTGTGCTGTATCGCTTGAGCCATAGCACCACTCCCTGCTTTTTCTGTTTATGTGGTACTAAGGAATTGAACCAGGACTTCATGCATACTAAGCAAGCTCTCCACCACTATGCCACATTCCCAGCCACAATTTTAATTTCATAGGATATGTACAGAACATTATGACTGTATCTTCCCACTCCTTCCTCTCTAAGATGAAGTTCTTGAACTTGGGCTTGAACTTAGGGCCTGGGCATTGTCTCTGAGGTTTTTTGTTTTGTTTTTTTGTGTTTTTTTTTTTTTGTTTTTTTTTTTTTTGCTCAAGACTAGCATTCTACCGCAGCTCCATTGCCAGATTTTAATTGGAAATGAGTCTCTCAGGTTTTGTCTGCCTGGGCTGGCTTCAATCTGCAATCCTCAGATTTCAGCCTCCTGAGTAGCTAGGATTAGGTTAAAATGAAGTTCTTTATCCAGCCCTTCCTTGCTTGTGAGTTGACCAGCACAGTACTCTCCTTACCTACAAGAACAAGCTCCATGACCCCTAGTGGACCCTCGAGGTACTTTTTTTCTATGCTGCTGATATAAATTAGCACAGAGATGAACAAAAACATTAAGAATTATAACAGTGTACTGTAATAAAAGTTATTTGAAACATATGAATTGCTTCTGGGAATATTGGGAAAATGGAGGAGAATGGAAAAGGAGTAGGCCGGACTTGATCACCAACAGGCGAGGACTATTTATTGAGGAACAGCGAGGGCATAGACCTTCCCATGGATTTGGAGGTTACGCAATAGAGCTGGGACAGGGACTGGATTTTAATGAGTCTGAGCAAGGAGGCAGATTAATGAGAAAGCCACCAGGCCAAGGGAGGGTGGGGGTTTTGCATTTGGGCCCACAATGAGAAGTTTACAGCTGGGCTTAAGTGGAAGTTGGCACATCAAGCAAGTTCACACATACCTGGGATTTCGCCTGGCATCTGTTTGTGACTGGGACAATAGGGTCAGTCCTTCATAAAATGATTGGGCCAAGAGTGGAGCAGCAAGTCCTTCATATAGGATCTCTGGATCCATAAAAAGAATTGGGCTGAGAAGGGAGTAACATGGAGTTATGAGAATGAAGCAGGTTCCTATACAAAGCAGATTCCCATCAAATATAATATTTGGTTGTGCTTGGGTAATAACTGAGAGAAGGAAATCTCAGTCAGGAGAGGGGTTGCTAGAGTGCTAGATGCAGCCCCTGAAGGAACACCGGTCCCAAGGAGATTAGGGCCATTTGCATTGTGAGCTGGAGGAGTGAGGAGTGTCTGTGCAAAAGGTCCAAGGCTAACTGTGTCCCTTCCTCCATGCTAGGACCGACAAAATGACACAGGCATCTTGGAGAGTCAGTCCTCACTGGACCAGAACGGGCACCCAGGAGAAGACAAGCCCATCTGTCATGAAGAGGAGCCAGAGCCCCTGGACTCGGAGGAGGAGAAGAGACGCCAAGAAGACTACTGGCGAGAGCTTGAGGCCAAGTGCAGACGGCAAAAGGCTGAAGCCGCGGAGAAGAGACGCCTAGAAGAGCAGAGGCTGCAGGTACTAGAGAGAAGGCTGTGGGAAGAGAACCAAAGGCAGGAGCTCCTGCAAGAGGAGGCTGAGGAGGAAGGCCTGAAGCTGGAGTCAGAAAAGGGACAGCAGCGGGGCCTGGAGGAACAGAGCTGCCAAGAGCAAGAGCAGAGGGAGCAGGAGGCTCAAGAGCACTTGGAGGCTGCAGAGCAGAGGCGTCTACGGGAGGAGGCCCAGCAGCTGGAGGAGCTGAGGTGGCAGGAGGCAGAGAGACAGCGGCAGGAAGAAGAAATGAAGGAGATCCAAAGGCTTGAGGCCCTGAAGGCTCAGCAACAGGAGGCTGAGAAGCGGAGGCTGGAGGAGGAGGCCAGGAGGCTGAAGGAAGAGGAGACCAGAAAGCTGAAGGAGGAGGAGGCCAGGAGGCTTGAGGAGGAGGCCAGGAGGCTGGAGGAGGAGAAGGCCAAGAGGTTGGAGGAGGAGAAAGCCAGAAGGCTGGAAGAAGAGAAGGCCAGGAGGCTGGAAGAAGAGAAGGCCAGGAGGCTGGAAGAAGAGAAGGCCAGGAGGCTGGAAGAAGAGAAGGCCAGGAGGCTGGAGGAAGAGAAGGCCAGGAGGCTGGAGGAAGAGAAGGCCAGGAGGCTGGAGGAAGAGAAGGCCAGGAGGCTGGAGGAAGAGAAGGCCAGGAGGCTGGAGGAAGAGAAAGCTAGAAGGCTGGAGGAAAAAAAAGCCAGGAGGCTGGAGGAAGAGAAAGCTAGAAGGCTGGAGGAAGAGAAAGCTAGAAGGCTGGAGGAAGAGAAGGCCAGGAGGCTGGAGGAAGAGAAGGCCAGGAGGCTGGAGGAAGAGAAGGCCAGGAGGCTGGAGGAAGAGAAGGCCAGGAGGCTGGAGGAAGAGAAGGCCAGGAGGCTGGAGGAGGAGGCCAGGCTTCAGGAGCTGGAGGAGGAGAGGCTGCGGCGGCAGGAGCAGGAGGAGCAGGAGCAGGCTGGGCAAAGGGAACAGCTAAGCAAGCTTGGGGAGATGGAGGCAGGGAGGCCAGGAGACAGGCCCCCGCAGCTGGAGGACAAGGACAGCAGGCAGCCGCCCAGCGCGACGCACAGTGACCCGGAGGAGAGGCCGGAAGACCGAGGAAGCCCGGCACCCCAACGGCAGAGCGGAAACCCGGAGGAGCTGCAGGGCGAAGAGGCGGAGGCGGCCGACCGGGGTCCCGGGACGGAGGGCCGGGGAGCAGGACCGCGGCGGCCGGCGGAGGCGGACCGGGAGCGGCGGGTGGAGGAGCTGCGCTGGCAGGAGGTGGACGAGCGGCAGAGCACGCCCAGGCCCTACACCTTCCAGGTGTCGTCGGGCGGGCGGCAGATCCTCTTCCCCAAGGTGAACCTGAGCCCGGTGACCCCGGCGCAGGACGCGGGGCCCGGGCCGGCCGCGGCGCCCCCGGCCCCCCGCGCGGGCGTCCTGCCGTCGGCGCTGAGCATCCCGCACACCGCCATCCTGGTCACCGGGGCGCAGCTCTGCGGGCCCGCCGTCAACCTGAGCCAGATCAAGGACACGGCCTGCAAGTCGCTCCTGGGACTGTCGGACGAGAAGCGACCTCCGGGACCCCCGGGCGCCAAGGCCCGGCCGCCCCCCGAGGCGCCCGGCAGCGCCGCCCTGGCCGAGTGGGCGTCCATTCGCTCCCGGATCCTCAAGAACGCCGAGGGGGACGCGCGCGGCGGCGGAGACCGGGAGCCACCCCGGCCCGGGGACGAGCCGGCGCCCCGGGGGCGGTGCGACTCGCGGGGGAGCCTGCGGCGGACCCCGCCGGCCAACGTCAAGTTCTCCATCATGCCGGCTTGGCAGAAGTTCTCCGACGGCGCTGGCGAGACGTCCAGGCCGAGCGCCGAGGCCGAGGGCAGCAGGAAAAGACCCGGGCCGGGGCCTGGAGAAGAGGCCGCAGCGCCCCAGGAGCCCCCCAGGAGCCCCGACCAGCCCGACGGGCGCCCGGAGCCCGCCGACACCTCCCAGGGCTGCAAATTTGCCAAAGACCTGCCGTCGTTCCTGGTGCCCGGCCTGCCCGCGGCGCCCGGGGGGGACGGCGAGACCCCCGACGGCGGCGGCGGCGGCGGCGGCCCGGCCGCGGCGGAGCCCGCGGGGCCCGGCGCCCCCGAGGAGAAGGCCTCGCCCTTCGGGATCAAGCTGCGCCGCACCAACTACTCGCTGCGCTTCCACTGCGACCAGCAGGCCGAGCAGAAGAAGAAGAAGAGGCACAGCAGCACCGGGGACGGCGCGGACGGCGCCTCGGGGGACAGGGAGCCCCAGGCCCCGGGCGTGGCGGCCAAGGCCGGCCCGGCCCTCCCGCCGGGGAAGAAGCCAGCCCCCGCCTCCCGGAGGGACGGTGTCCCAAGCCCCTCCGGCGGCGGCGGCCTGGCTGCCCCGGGCCCCCAGACACCCGCCGGCAGCCCGGCCCCGGCGGCGCCCGAGCACGACAAGGCAGCGGCCCGAACGCCACCCGTGCAGAAGCCGGCCCTGGCCCCCAAGCCCACCGGCCAGACCCCGCCCTCGTCCCCGCTCTCCAAACTCAGCAGGCCCTACCTGGTAGAGCTGCTGGCGCGGCGAGCTGGGAAGGCGGACAGCGAGCCGCCCAAGGAGGCCCCGGAGAGCGGCGACCCCCAGCCCCCCTCGCCGCCCCCCTGCGAGGACAGCAAGGGACAGAACGGGGATGAGGAAGAGGGGCCAGAGAGGAGACCCCCTTCCTCCCCGCTGCTGCCCGCCAGTCAGCAGGAGAGACCGGCCCAAACCCCGGAGGCAGGGAGGAAAGGTGGGTAGGGCCGTGGAAGGCGCAGCACCCACCCCGTGATCAGAGCCCCAGGCTCCTTCCTCTCCAGCCGCGTGCGTGCGTGCATGTGTCCCGGGCTTGAACTCGGGGCCTGGGCACTGTCCCTAGCATTTGTGTTTTTTCTTTCTCAAGACCAGTGCTCTACCGCTTGAGCCACAGCTCCACCTCTGGCTGGTTGCTGGTTAATCAGAGATGGTCTCGGAATTTCCCATCCAGGCTGGCTTTGAACCCCAATCCTCACATCTTTAGGATTACAGGTGTGAGCCACCTGGCACCTGCTCTACCCAGTATTGACATTTTGAGTTTTCGAACTGCTGTTGAATTATTCTAGATACAGAAAAGACCATGAAAGCAAAACATACCTGTTTTGGCACTGCCTCCATTCCCTGGGGTTTTGCTATTCAATGTGCTGCTCTAGGCTGAAGAACTTTGTTCTTTCCTAGAAGGAAAGAAATACAAAGTACCAGTTGGACTTGCATCCCTTGTCTGGTCACTATATTCCAGTTATGCCCAAGGGTGGCCAATAGTTACCTTTGCCATAGTCCTGTCTTCTCTTTCCTGTGTAGTTTGTCTTTCTCTGCTCTTCTCTGCAGTTCTCTGGGTGGTTGTGAAGGAGAAAGTTTTCCTGTTCTCCCTACTCACTGTCTTCTTACAGTGCTGGAGATTGAATGCAGGGCTTCTCCCATGCTAAGCAAGTGCTCTACCAGTGAGCCCTTTTTCCATTTTTGAGAAGCACTTGTGTGGATATTGATTATAGGCATGTGCCACCATGTCCAGCCTCTCTCCATTTTCATAGCAACCTGATAAGTCAGGCACAATGTCATTATCATTTCCACCTAAGTCACATCTGCTCCTATCGGAGCCCAGTTCTCACTCTGATGCCAAGGTGTTTACTCCAATGCAGAGGGGGAATGAGAGGACTGAGAACAGCTTCCACCTGTGCCACCTGCTGATTGGCCTTGGACAGGACACCTGTGCGCAGAACCCTAGTACTTCCATCAATCAAACTGGGCATTGGGCCACAGTCTGTTTCTCTGTCTTCCCCAGGGTCCCTAGCCCCCAGCAACCCCATTAGATAGAGCAGTGCTTCTTTTTCTGCCCTTTGAACACTAGGATTCAGTAAGATAGATGTTGGTGAGGACAAAAGCCTCCATCACTAAAAGTAACTTTCATTATAGCAATGAAAAGCAGAACATGTGTATCTGTAAGCTTGGAATTTCCTAACATGAGTTCTTTCTCTTCAGAAAGAACTCCTTCCATTTCTCGGGAATGGCCCTGCTTCTCTATGATTGTACTGATTAAAGATGTTACCCAACACTGGCATCCCTCGGGCATCAGCATGTTTCCTAGGCTTGATAGTACATCATAAGTTTTTGTGGGTGAGGAGCTAAGTCAGCAGTTGATGTCACAGCAAACCTCTTCTTTCTTTTTGTCCAGACAAGCCCTTACTTCAGAGTAGGCACTCCTTAGATGGCTCCAGACTTACGGATAAAGCAGAAACTGCCCAGCCACTGTGGATAACATTAGCATTGCAAAAGCAAAAGGGGTTCCGCGAACAGCAAGCGACTCGAGAGGAGAGGAAGCAAGCCCGAGAGGCCAAACAGGTAGAAAAGCTGTCCAAAGAAAATGTGAGTAGCCAGCCTGCTCTTCAACAGTGATTTTGTTGTGTTATGTGTGACTGCCTTTTAGATCACAAGGATTCTTGTTATGGGTTTTTTGTTGTTGTTGTTGTTTGCCACTTATGGAGCTTGAACTCTGTGACTGAGCACTGTCCCCCTCAGCTGTTGTGCTTAAGGCTAGCACCCTACCACTTCCGCACATCTCCTCCACATTTGTGTGTGTGTGTGTGTGTCTGTCTGTCTGTCATCTGTGGCTAAGTGGAGATAAGAGTCTCATAGACTTTTCTGCTCTATCTGACTTCAAACTGCAATCCTCAGATCTCAACCTCCTGAGTAGCTAGGATTATAGGCATGAGCCACTGGCACAAGTAAGTTTTCTAAAGATGCTAGCTGATGGTAGGGTTTACAAAGGGCAGAGCAACAAATAAATTGACCAATTAACTTTGAAAGGTGGGAAGTGTTCTAGTATGAAATTTGGTTTGGCTTCATTATCCCCTTAGGAATACCAGATTTGGCAGAATTGGTGATGTAGTTACAACAGGGGACACACCTACCAGTTACAATAACTTTAGTTGCTCTTGACATTGTTTTGGCTACACATAGTCAACTATGATGGAAAATCCCCTAAATAGTCACTTCCTCAAACAGTGTGATGAAATCTTTTGTCATCCACACTGCATTCCTGCCTAGGAACCAAATCATCCCTTTTCCAGTGTATCTGTACTGCATATGCTGTTCACCTTTGTCACTTGATCGCCATCTTGGTTATTACATATACTGGCAATACTGCAGCCCCGTAAGAATGGTCCCAAGGTGCAATTCAGATGCATTCAAATTGCCAAAAAGAAGTTGTAAAGTATTTCCTTGCCATGTAAAGGTAAAAAGTTGATGACTTAATCAGGAAAGAAAAAATGTCCTCAGCTGATGCTGCTAAAGTCTAAGGATAAGGGGTGTATGTAAGTCAGTGCTGTCCCTGGTTTTAGGTATCCCCTGGGGTCACTGAATATGTCTTCAGATGAAGGGCAAGTATTGTATAAGAAATATAAACAGGAGGTGATCTGAGCAGAAAAGGTAACCAGGAGCTTGGTTCTGTAGCCTGAAGGTACCCTTTCCTCCTGGGCACATGACACTCAGGTGCTTTGTTGTTGGAGGCTGGGCTTGCGCAGACAGTGCTTACAAGTGCAGTCCAGCTCCTCCTAGGTCAAAGTTGGTAGGTGGAAGTGCTGAAGTATGCAAAGTCAAATCTTTCCATGTCATAGGTTAAAAACATGCTTTCCCTATCTCTGCCCTGCCAGGTGAGTGTCAGCTCACAGCCTGGAAGCAGCAGTGTCAGCAGAGCAGGTTCCCTGCACAAGTCCACTGCTCAGCCAGAAGAGAAGAAGCCCGAGACTGCAGTGTCCAGGCTCCAGCGCAGAGAGCAGCTGAAGAAAGCCAACACTCTTCCCACGTCAGTGACAGGTAGAGAGCAGATCCATTTCTACTTATTTTTCTACTGTGTTGTAAGTAGCACACCCTTAGGCATCATGGAGCACAGAAACTTTGACACTGGTAAAGCCCATTGGATAAAGACTATTAGGAACCCTCTATCAGTAGTACGACGGTAAATGTTTAATTCAGCTCCCTGGGGGAGAGGAAGAACACTGATTTGTATCATTTACCATGTGCCATGATGTAAACACTTCCTCCATGCTGGTTCGAAGCTAGCAGTGTGACATCAACTGGCTCAATAAATCTGGGAACATTTAACAAGTCAGTATGAGCCTGTAGTCTGATAGTTTTATTAACTTGTTGCAGCAAGAAAATCTACCAGAAAAACTTTAAAGGAAGAGATAAGAGCCTAACAGGATTTGAGTGGTGGTAGTATACAGTTTAAATACAGTTTAAATGGAGCTGCATTTTGATAGGCTCACACCAAAGCAAGTTGGACGTAGAGGGTTGACAGCAAGTCTAAGCTGAATAGACTCAGGGTCTGCAATGCTGGGTGAAACCTCCTACCTGGGGTTCTGCATCTGTGTTGCAAATGGAAGCTACTTCTGTGTTCTGGACCCACAGGGCTCAGATGCTCCAGGTAAAAGTGACTACTGATACGATTTCACATAGCAAGTTTCTGACAGTCTGTGACTTTACAAGGTAAAGTTTGTAGTACTGTGTCCTTGATTGACAATCTCAGATTTTTATAGTATCACATAAAGCAAACATTTAAAAATACTTTATTCTGTTAAAAGAATAAAATGATCCAATAATTTCCAACTGCTTCCTTATTACAAATTGCTTTGAGGCTGGATGGATCTGAACAAGACCCCTATTAAGGGTTAATGGGACACCTGTTTCCTTGCTCACCAAACTATTCTCCAGAGAGCATCAGTCTAAGTCCATTGCTACTGTTGAAATAGGATACCTCAGCCTGGGTAATCTATAAGGATAGGAGTTGTACTTTAGCTTACGTATCAGGATACTAGGAAGTTCAAGATTTAGGCAGCTATGTCTGATGAGGGTCTTGTGCTACTTCAAATTTGGTAGAAAGTGGATGGGTAAATGGGTGCAAATAGAATAGAGAAAAGAATAATGAAATCATGTTACATATAGATATGGGGAAAAAAGACATAGTTACTACTGGGGGTACACATGTTATATTTTATATTACTGTAACTTCTGTGGGCATTATTTCTTTTGATCTTACAGGAATTTAAGAGTATTAAGTGTCAGAATGAGGAGGGAAACTAAAGTGAAAGTTACAAAGTTGAAGAGGTCATACCTTTCTCTGCTTGATTGGAAGTATTGAAAGGGCTATTGTAACTCAGAACAGCCCCATCATAACAAAACATTGTTCTGAGATGTGTCATCTCAGTCAATCAGTGTTTCCTCAGTTCAAGAAGCATATGTGCATGTGTGACCCCAAGAAGAGATGTGAGCCCTCTGCCCTCACACAGCCTTCCACAGAAACCTACACTCTAATATAGAAAGTAGTATGATCCAAAGGAATTGCTAGCCAAGACTGTTAAGTCATGAGATTGAGGAGATGGCTGGGGCTCAGGTGGAGGGAGCTGGTAATCTAACTAGCTTGACAGATCCACACTGAAGGCTCTATCTTTGTCTTTATAATTGACTGGCTGCATACCAGAATTCCAAAATTTGCCTTTAGGTTCTTGCTTGTCATGCAGGCACCTGTGTGTAAATAAGGAGGCTCTATTTTTCTTTCTGAATATGTCTCTCTCTAGATAGGTATATATTGTCAAATCATGTTGTATACAATAAGCACATACAATGCTGTTAATTAAGTGTGGTCCTCTCCTTTTCCTTCAAAATGAATCCAGTGGAGATCTCAGATTCAGCTCCACCAGCACCACTGGTAAAAGAAGTCACCAAGAGGTTCTCCACCCCAGATGCTGCCCCTGTGTCCACAGAACCAGCCTGGCTGGCTTTGGCCAAAAGAAAAGCAAAGGCTTGGAGCGACTGTCCACAGATTATTAAGTAAAAAGTGATTCTTACTTATTCCTATTACCAATTATTGGCTCCTCTCTTGCCCTTTTTATTTATTTTTTATATGAGTAAAGAACCAAGCTAGGGAAAAGACGCATGTTTTATAGGCTCTAAAATAATGTTTAGGAACTGAACTGGTGGTGTTCATTGTAAAGAGTGTATTTGCACAACCCTGGGTCATGGTGCCTTGAGCTCCCCCTAGTTCTCAAGAGATGGTTCCTTCTGTCCAAGGGACCTCAAGAAGCAAAATCTTCAACCAAGATTCCTCAGGAGAGCCTGCCACGTCCATTCCATGGCCCTCACACACGCACACACCATCCAGAACACATGCTTTTGCCAATCTCCATGATGTGCTTTTGAGTCTCTACACTTGATTTCTTCTATCCAAAACATTTGCCCTACCATGTTTGCATATTCTACCCTTTCTACAGTAATGGTGAAAGAATTGTATATAGATAGAACAAGAATGTCCATTCTCCTGAATGCAAGAACAGGGAAAACATCTGTGCCTATGTTTGTTTTCATCAGTTTCCCCACCCTGAAGCTGTAACCAGAAGAGAGGTCTACTCCTCTCCCACACTGTGGGGTACACGGTGATCAAGACAATGTGAGTCCCCATTACTGGTACTTCCCTAAGGACATGGGGGACATTCAGCCTAGTTGGCTTCTAAGGAACATTTTTATTTGCTATGGTGAATAAATTACATATCAGAGAAGAAAAGAAGGTGCATATTCTATCTCTGAGGATCTCCCATTTAGTAGAGTGGATCTTCAGATGTCCAGGAGGCACCCAGATCCTGTGAGGATGTTGTGGGGAATGTATTCTAGCAAAAACTCTTCAAAGAATTCTAATCTATTGTAAAGGTTAAAAATCTTCAGCTACACTGACTCTAGTGTAATCAGACTGATGGGGAGGCCCATTCATCCAAAGCAGCAAAATGAGACAGGAAAACACAACCATCGTCCAAACCAGCTATCAACTTTATATGGGGCTAAAAATTCCCTTTGGTCTTTAGGGAAAGCTAACAGGAAGATTTAGAGCCTTTGTACTAAGGACTCCTTAAAAAATGGGGTTTTTCCCTTTGCTGTAATCGAACCATTCATATTTAGAGTTGAATGTTCAGTAGCATTTACAATTTAGAGCATTCACCTTGCTACCTTTACAAAATATCTCAGAGTTTAAGTGGCCTTGTTATTATCATACACAAAGAAGGGACCTGGCAGTTTCAAAGCCACATCTTTTTTCTTTTTTTAAACTTTTATTTCCCTAAATTTGCTCTACTGGAAACATAGACATACCAGCAATCCCTCAACCACATACTGCTGACACTACCTTTACATTTCATGGCATTGCCATCACTCTTAAGATTCTTATTCCTGAATATAGATGTGAATTCTTTGTCTAGTGTAGGGGGGATTACGTCCTTTTTCCTCTCATTATAACATTTTATAGTATCCACAATTACTTTCCTTTATGCTTACTCAATATGCAATGTGCTGTTATTCTATCATTTACCTTAAAGAATATCAGCAAAGCTGTTTACCTTATAAACCATTTTCTTTCTAGGAAAAATGGCTCAGCTTCACTGTAGTAGCTGGCATGTGTGGTCAAGTGGGTAGATGTACTCTTACAAGTTGGATTTAATACTATATATACTGGATTGTCAGACAATGTTAAGAATCAGTGTAACTTTTCTATTGCTACTGGAAGCAATTAATATTCTACTGCACGTTTTCCATGATGTTCACTGATGTTCACTTCTAATCTTATATGTAAGCATTTCTTAGTTCAATGATTTCCTCACTAATATAACACTTTTTAATACACATCTTTCAACCTAAAGCCCTGGAAGTATAGTACTACAGTAATTCTTCCAAGTTGACTTTTCTTTCTATCCTATTAGCTTTGGACTGTTACAGTTTTGGCAGGGAACAAATGGGGAAAGAAGATCATTCACCAAGAATGGTAGACGAGTGAACCCTCTCCTAGCACAAACACCACTGAGCCCATACCAAATAGGAAAAATGCCTCAGTTCATAACATCTCACCAAAGTCTTTAAAGAAGAGTCTACTGAGGGAAGGGCAGTCACTACCTATCCTAACAACCTCTGAAGGGTATATGTTTAACATTTCATTTACAAATCATCCCAAATTTGCACTAAATACCAATGAAGTGTTATTTTGCTTTAGTTGTGTTGCAGTCTTTTCTGAGCAACAAACTATGTATGGGGAAATTCTGTAAAAACATATAAAAACTTCAAGACTTTTTTAAATGAATGATTGCTATGTTAAATACATAAGCTTTTTTTTTTTAATTTAAATTTGTTTTTCCTGGCAAGGTTATAGATGATTAAGCTTGTTCATAGTTATATGTATATATATAGTCATATATATATATATATGACTAGAGAGTTTTTTGTTTACTTTTTTAATTTTTCAAGTGCAATTGTTTCCAATACAGAAAATAATTACTGTTAAGCTATCATTTTTAGCAAGTTATCTGCAAATGTATAGTATGTATTCATTGTCTCTTCTTGTGATGTTTAGTTTGCTTATTTTAAAGCAGAAACACTAGCTACAAGTGTCTTGTAATATTTTTACCAACAATAAAAATTAAGTAGAGACTTAATGAAAACACTTTAGTGTGATTCCAATATTATTTGAGATTTTTGAGTGTAAAATGTCCATAAATGAAGGGAAAGATCTTTCAATAAAAAATACCAACAAGACCTTTGGCATTAATGGAATTTCCTTCATAGTTTTTTTCAACTTTGATGATGTTCTACAAGCAGTCTCAAATTTATCTATCTTTTGATGAACAAGAAAAATTACAAGGTATGAGACAGTACTTATTTTTTCACTATGTATTTTGGGGAAAAATAGTCAATAGTGGCAAATGCAAATGTTTATCTCAGTCCTAAATTGGAAATTAGCCTACAACCTCCTTACACTGAGGGCCAGGTACCACCACCACCAGCTTCCTCTGAGAACTTGTGGGCAATGTGGCTTGGAGTCAACTGCCACTGAGCCACATGGCAGCCCAAGCTGAGCATTTAGAGCTTAAAGAATAGCAGCTGTGTCTTTACCAGTGTGGGCTGAAGAACTGTGAAGATGTTTTGAGTTACATAGCTAGGAACAATGAATGCCTAAAATCACAATATGCCAAATTGTACAGCAAACACCTTTTATTCTACATTATTAGCTCATTCCAAAATACCAAATAAGCTGGGAATACATCTCAGAAGCAGAGTACTTACTGAGCATGCATAAACCGTGAGTTCAGTCCTTAACAACATACACACCAAATAAAAAAATCATATTTGATAAATTAATTAGCCTTTTGCAGAATTAATTACCCTGGGTAAGTTAGTAAATGGTATGTCACATTACTGGTTCTTTTAAGTCACTAAGTCTAGCCAAACATAGGCTCTCTAGAAAACCAAAACATTTACAGGACTTATCCTCATCTGATTATGGAGACTGAAAAGCTTCACCATCTGCTGTTTCCAAGCTGGAGACCCAGTAATGCCTATGGATACTTCAACTTGGTTCAAGTCCAAACGCTCAGAATCAGGGAAGCCAATGATGTGTAAGTCACAGGCCTGAGAAGCAGGGAGAGCTAGCATCTGCTGGTGTAAGCCCCAGAGTCTGAAAGGCCCCAAACCAAGAACTCTGTTGTCCAAGAGTAGGAAATCTAGTTTCTCCAGATTAAGAAGAGAATTTCTCCTCCTAAACTTGCATTGGATTGGATAATGCCCATCCATACTGACTCACTGGTCAATCAGGCTTATTCAGTGTCCTAAATCAACCTCATACAAATCTGTTCTAGAAACATCCCTACTTACAAATTCAGAAACAGTATTTTACCAGCTATCCATTTTACTGTTGTAATAACTATCAGGACTAGGGAGCTTTTTTTTGTTGTTGTTGGTCATAGGGCTTGAACTCCAGGCCTGGGGGCTATCCCTGAGCTCTTTTGCTGAAGGCTAGGGCTCTACCACTTTTGAGCCACAGCGCCTCTTCCTGTTTTCTGATCGTTAATTGGAAATGTGTCTCAGATTTTCCTGCCTGGTCTGGCTTTGAACTATGATCCTCAGATCTCAGCCTCCTGAGTAGCTAGGATTACAGTAGCTTGAGAACCTTTTTTTCCCCCCAAATGTCCATTTGGTTATTTATAACATCATTTCCTGGCCACATAAAATTGTCAATATTGGACTGGGAAGATGGCTTAGTGGTAGAGTGCTTGCCTAGCAAGCAAGAAGCCCTGGGTTCAATTTCTCAGTACCAAATAAACAGAAAAGGCCAGTAGTAGCACTGTGGCTCAAGTGGTAGGGTACTAGACTTGAGTAAAAGCAGCTCAGGGACAGAGTCTAGGCCCTGAGTTCAAGCCCCAAGAATGGCAAAAAAATAAATAAAAAAAATAAAAAATAAATAAATAAAAAAAAATATATGTATATGTAGACAGATGGTCTTTATTTGACCAGATCTGATGAAAGCATACATTTGTCCTATCATATACCAGATGGTTTCATAGGCCTCACATGGACCTTACAAAGATCAGGCCAGATGTTCCTTACAACCATATACCACAGAGTAATTTGTAAAGAATAAAGGTTTATTTGACTTATAGTTCTGAAGGCTGAGAAGTTCCAAGCTCAGGTAGCCTCCTCTGGTTATGACTTTGCTGCTGGGGACTCTCCAGAGTCCCAAAGGCAGTTCAGGGCAATGCAGAAGCTCCTAGCTGTGGTCTCTCCTCTCTTTTTCTTTTTTTTTTGAGGGGGGGGGGCAGTCCTGGGGCTTGAACTCAGGGGCTGGGCACTGTCCCTGAGCTTCTTGTGCTCAAGGCTAGCACTCTGCCACTTGAGTCACAGTGCCACTTCTGGCTTTTTTGTGTATATGGTACTGAGGAATCAAATCCAGGGCTTCATGCATGCAAGGCAAGTGCTCTACCACCTTCCCAGACCTTCTCTTCTTATAAAGCCACAGTCCCAGTCAGGGGCTGGCAGCTCATGCTTGGGATCCTAACTACTATGGAGGCCAAGATCTACGAACCGAGGTTTTTGAAGCCAATGGGAGCAGAACAGTCCATGAGATTCTTATCTCCAGTTAACCACAAAAATCCAGAAGTAGATTTATAGCATAAGTGGTAGAATGACAGTCTTGAGCAAAAAAATCTAAGCAAGAGCACATTGCACCAAGCTCAAGACCCAGTGTCAGCATACACACAAAAAAATTAATTAAAAAAAAAAAAAGCTGGGCACTGGTGGCTGCCTGTAATCCTAGCTACTCAGGAGGCTGTGATCTGAGGACCATGGCTCAAAGCCAGCCTTGGCAGGAAAGTCTATTACCTACCATTAAACACCAAAAAGAAAGCCAGAAGTGGAACCATTGCTTAAGTGGTAGTGCACTAGCCTTGAGCAAAAAAAATCTCAGGGATTAGGGAGGGAGTCAGGAGGGGAAAAGTGGAGAGAATGAGGGAAGAGGTGACACGGTTCAAAAAGAAATGTACTCATAACCTGATTTACGTAACCGTAACCCCTCTGTACATTATTTTTACAATAAATTTTTTTTAAAAAAAGCTCAGGGACAGTATCCAGGCCCGGAGTTCAAGCCCCAGGATCAGTACGCACGCGTGCACACACACACACACACACACACTCCAAATAAAGCCATAGTCCCTTTGGATTAGGGCCCCACCTTGTGACATCATTTAACTTAATACCCTGAAGGTCCCACCTCCACATATCACATCAGATTAAGTTTCTGAAACTCTCTTGACACCTCATAATGTGGATTAATCTTCCATGAGTTTTGAGATCATTCAGACCATAGCAGCATCCTTTACATAATTTAAAGCAAAAGCTAAATATACTGATGTGTTTTACCCTCTCTGTCTGAAAGCTTAGGCTACTCCTATAGGAAGTAAATATGGTTCTTCTCTATTGTAGTACAAAAATTTCTTAGCCAAAATATAATCTTCAATGTAAAACTATCTACATATTGTATAATGATAAAATATTTTCAACATCTCACAAGCATATACTTATTGGATCAGGACTTGATTATTTTTTATTGTTATATAATAAATCCAGACAATAAATATAATTATTTCTACACCCAATAATGAGCATTGATTCCCACACCACAGGAGAAGAGAACACCTCTCCAGGAAGTTCATATACACCTTGCAGTTGCCCACTCTGGGATTCCAAGATCCAGAGTTTCCCATCAGTTGATGCTGCTGCCAGAAATGTCTCACTGCTATGATTGGGGTGATGGAAAGCAAAAGGGGTTGCATATACCCTTGAAGTAGTTTCAAGTTTCCACTGGAGGTGGCCGCTCATGTCACAACAGTAGATAAAGCAATCATGGGAACCAAAATATACTTCTTGCTCTGATGCTGAGATACAGGGGGATGAAAAGATTGGTCCACCAGCAGAGAACTGCCAAATCTATAAAGGGAAATAAAAGCACAATTAATTCATTTAACCACAAAAATGTTACCTGTAGGGGTGGGAAGCATCCTGCTCTAACTTGATGAGACAGACCTGTATATGCCTTGTTGGTTGCCCTAGGCCTAGTGCCTATACTGGATCATCAATGATGCTACATATTCAAATGGCCCTTTGCAAAAGAAGGGTCCCTATCTCTATCTTAGACTAAAACCCTACAGGGCTTTTTAAAGAGATGTAGGCTAATTAGTAACTATGCATATAGAAAATAGTGGCTTTTTATTTTTTTATTATCATAAAGGTGATATAAAGAGGAGTTACAGTTAACATAAGTCAGGTAAAGAGAACATTTCTTGTCAGGTGCTGGTGGCCCATGCCTGTAATCCTAGTTATGCAGGAGGCTGAGATCTGAGGATTGCAGTTCAAAGCCAGCCCAGGCAGGAAAGTCTGTGAAATTCTTACCTCCAATTAACCACCTGAAAATCTGAAATGGCACTGTAGCTCAAGTGGTAGAGTGTTCACCTTGAGGTGAAGAGCTCAGGGACAGTACCCAGGCCAGAGTTCAAGCCCCACAACCGACCAAAAAGAAAAAAAAAAAGAGGACATTTCTTTTTGGACAATGTCATCCCTTCCCTTATTCTCTCCCAGGTTTTCTCTCCTATCCCCACCCACAAGTTGTATAGCTCATTTTTTTAACATAGTGTCCAATGAGTACCATTGCAATAGTGGCTTTATAAAAAGTATCACCTGCATAGACAACTTCTGTCCTACTAATAAAATACAGGACAAAATTGAAGGGTACAAGATTGGTAATTATGCATTATATTATGAAGTAAAACCAATTTTGGACTCAGTCAAGGGTTGTACTGCTCAGAGACACTGAGTTCAAAGACAAAACCATGTTGCTTTTAATTAATTGTATTAAGAAATGCAACTTGGACTGGGAATGTGGTTTAGTGGTAGAGTACTTGCCTAGCATGCATGAAGCCCTGGGTTTGATTCCTCAGTACCACATAAACAGAAAAAGCCAGTAGAACTGTGACTCAAGGGGTAGAATGCTGGCTTTGAACAAAAGAAGCACAGGGACAGTGAGTTCAAGCCACAGGACTGGCAAAAAAAAAAAAAAAAAAGAACTGCATCTCTCTCTTGTCCAAATGTAATGAAAAGAAGTGAGGCTTGGGGCTGGGAAGGTGGCTCAGTGGTAGAGCGCTTGCCTTGCATGCATGAGGCCCTGGGTTCGATTCCTCAGCACCACATAAGCAAAAAGAAAAAAGCTGGAAGTGGCGCTGTGGCTCAAGTGGTAGAGCGCTAGCCTTGAGGTGAAGAGCTGAGGGACAGTGCCCAGGCCCAGAGTTCAGGCCCCACGACCGGACCGCCACCCCCCCCAAAAAAAAGAAGGCTGAAGAATATATATGAAATAATTTAAATTAGAACTTTAAAGCTACAAGTCATATGTCTGCCTATATACACTATTTTCTTCCAGAAAGATTTGATTGCCAATTATTTTGAGTAAAAAAAATATAAGGATGAACAAACAAAAACCCACAAAAGTCTATGGTAGTGTTTATAAATGCACTAGTAGTATAATGGGGGGAAAAAAAGCCTAGGATATTCACAAAGTAAGATTTATAATCTCAATGCTACTCCTAACCTATAATACAAAATCACTTTTATTTTTCTATCAAAAAAAAGTGCTAGATCTACAGGACATACATACCCCCCCCCAAACACACACACACTCTTAAATATAAACACAGAACATGATTCTAACTATGGGACTGTCTAAAGGTGAAATAAAAGGGACAAAAAGATGGAGAATGAACAATTTTAAAACGTATTATAAATATATTGTGAGAAGTTGGCACAAAGAATTTCAATGAAAGCTGCTGATAATCAATTGGAGGTTGGAAGAGTCATCTGATTAAAATATACTAGCTGCAAGTCTAAAATACCCAAAGGCACAATACCTCTGAACATAGACAATAATATTTATCAAAATGAATTCCAGGAACTGGAAACAAGATGTTTTTGTTTTGTTTTCTGTTGTTGGTGAAGAAGACATTGGCTATTGGCTGTTTTTGCTTTTTGGTGTTTTTTTTATTTGTTTCTTTGCATTTTTTTTTCTGTCTTGTTTATCTGTCTTTCAGAGGGTAAGTGAAGACATAGAAATGGAAGGACAAATGGTGAAAAAAATGCAGAAGTAGTACTTAGTAGGCACTGTATTGAAAATGAACTATACAACTTATAAGCAGGGATGGGGAGGGGAAACTGGGACAGAGTGAAAGAAGGGTGACATTGCTCAAAAGAAATGGACTTCCTACCTGACTTACAAAATGGTAACCCCTCTGTATATCACCTTAATAATAATAATAATTTTTAAAAGGTAATACATGAAATAGCATGGTGAAATCCCTTGGTGCAATTAATACACACTTAAAAAAAAACCCTGATGACAAGAAAATAAGATAGAAACTGTTGGCAGGGGAGGGGGGGCGTAATCGACAGGAGGAGGCAGGTGAATGGAGAGGGTAAATGAAAATGAATGTTCAAGGGAGTGAGTTTGATCAGGGTACATTATATGTAAGTATAAAAATATCACAAGCTGGCGCCGGTGGCTCATGCCTGTAATCCTACTCAGGAGGCTCAGATCTGAGGATCTCGATTCAAAGCCAGCCCAGGCAGGAAAGTCCATGAAACTCTTATCTCCAATAAACCACCAGAAAACTGGAAGTGGCGCCATAGCTCAAGTGGTAGAGTGCTAGTCTTGAGCTGAAGAGCTGAAGGGCAGTGCTCAGGCCCAGAGTTCAAGGCCCACAACCGACCAAAAAAAACAAAAAAATCACAATGAAATTTCCCATTATACAACTAAGATAAGCTAATAAAAAATGTGGAAAAAGTATATGTACTTCTTCCTTATCAGGAATCAAAAGAGGAGACTATACACAAACTTATAAACAAAAACATTAAGTGAACATAGTAAATTTCATCATAAATGAAGTAGCATACAAAGCCACATAAATAGGTAAACCCATTTATGGTAAATATAGAAATAAATATAGAGTAAATAAATATAGAGAAATAAATATAGAGTAAATATAGAAGAAGATACATCCAGATCAAACCCCATTCATCAGTGAGCTAATTTCTTTTTTTTTTTGGTCGGTTGTAGGGCTTGAACTCTGGGCTTGGGTGCTGTCCCTCAACTCTTCAGCTCTCCGCTAGGCTCTACCGCTTGATCCACAGTGCCACTTCCAGTTTTCTAGTGGTTTATTGGAGATAAGAGTCTCACGGACTTTCCTGCCCGGGCTGGCTTTGAACCATGATCCTCAGATCTCAGCCTCCTGTGTAGCTGAACTACCGGCGTGAACTACCGGTGCCCGGCCTAGTGAGCTAATTTCTATTAGAGCTATTGTACTAGATATAAAAAAATAACCCAAGTTAAGTGTGTGGCAATGAGCTGTAACTGACAGTCATTTGTAGACACTTACAGAACTGGAAATTAAGTCCAAGTTAACAGCTAATTTAACATATAAGAGACTTGCCTTTTCAGTCATAAAGCTGAGGAATGGGATTTCCACACAATGGAATTTTGGTTTACACACTAAAAGGTAGGGGCTTCTTTAACCTTTTTTAGACTCTATGAAAGTTACATAAAACTGGGTAAAGATTTTAAAAATTGGGGAAGATGGAAAAAAATACAATGCTGAGTAGACAGCTTTTAAACCTATCATACCATGATTGAAAGTAGAAATACATGACTTGAGGGAAATACATAAGCCAAGCACTCATGGCTCATGTCTGTAATCCTAGCTATTTGGGAGGAAGAAATAGGAAGGGTTGTAGTTCTAGGACAGCCCAGACCAAGTGAAAATTTTCAAGACACCTACTTTTCAATCAATAGTTGGTTAAAACCCAACCAATACTTGGATAAAGTAGCAACATATACCCTTCATCCCAGCTAAGGAAAGAAGCATAAATAAGATGATACAGAGTAGATGCCCCAGCAAAAATGTGAGAGACATGCCAGCGTCAATGGCTCACACCTGTAATCTTAGCTACTCAGGAGGCTGAGATCTGAGGATCCCAGTTCAGAGCCAGCCTGCGCAGGAAAGTCTGTGAGACTCATTTCCAATTAAACACCAGAAAAAAACAAAAACAAAAACAGAAGTGGAGGTGTGGCTCAAAATGGTAGAACACTAGCCATAAGCAAAAAGAGCCCCGGGACAGTGCCCAGGAGAGTTCAAGCCCCATGACTGACAAAGAAAAAAAAAAAAAGAAGGGCAGGAACCATTATTTAAGAGGCAGAATGCTGACCTCACAGGTGCTAAACCCTAAGTTCAAACTCAGTACCTCTACAAATATAAAACAAAAAAAAAGACATATAAAACAGAATTAGAACTTTTACCTGTTCTCCCAAGTGAGTAAAACATAGTAAATTCCCATCTACAGAGCCAATACAAAGAAATTGTTGGAAACACCGTGGGGAAGAGAAGAGTGGTTTTCCACAGGAATGTTTCCAAACTACATTCCCAGTGGTCTGTCATGGGCAAAAAGCAAATCAAAGGATTAAAAATTATTCCACTGATCAATTCCTATTTTTAAAACAAACTCAAATCTTTCAGAGACAGAGTAGAACATTAGACACAGCTATAGTGATATACTGGCATTATACACGAAGCTAGCACATATGTATACTATGAAATAAATTTATATTACTTGTAGGGCTAGAAAACAAGTTTATGAAAACCAGGGTGGGAGGGGGAAGCCCTGCAAAGTTACCACATAAAATCTAGCTTTATAAAGAAAACAAAACAGGAATTGCATGCATATGACAATAATAACAAAATCTATCCTTACAATGAACAAGATGTACTTAATACCATAAAATTCTGCCTAAAAATTTTTAATAGCTGGGTGCCAGTGGCTCACACCTATAATCCTAGCTACTCAGTTAGCTGATATCTGAAGATTATGATTTGAAGCCAGCCCCAGCACGAAAGTCCATGAGACTCTGATCTACAATTAACCACCAAAAAGCTAGAAGTCGAGCTGTGGCTCAAGTGATAGAATGCTTGTCTTGAACAAAAAGCTCAGGGACAGCACCCAGGCCCTAAGTTCAAGCCCTAGGACCAACATTATCCTCCCTCCCCCATCCAATGTTTAAAATAGATAAAAACATACATGATTTAAAAAATTTTAAGATGAATAATAAAATCAACATATACTACTTAGTGCCTACAGGTTTCACAGCCAGTAGAACTCCTCCAAGTGTGGCACAATAGAGATGATGTGGAATCAGACTCAAACAAGGTGAAGAAAAAACAGTTCCTTCACATTTTAACTTCCAAACACACTTCTTTTTCTGCAAATAAGAATGCAAACGAATTGACTTTTGCTTGTTACAATTCCTATATAATTTTTATATCCTGAAATATTTTTATAATCAGGTCTTAAAATACCTCAGTGACATCTTTGTGACTTTTTTCTATTGTTAAGATAATTCTAAGTTCTTTATATTTCATAAATTATTTCTGGGAAATCTGATACGAAAGTTAAAAAAGTTAAAAATATCTGAAGACAAGCTGGGCACTGGTGGCTCACGCCTGTAATCCTATCTACTCAGGAGGCTGAGATGTGAGGATCGCAGTTCAAAGCCAGCCCAGGCAGGAAAGACCTTGAGACTCCTATCTCCAATAAACCACCAGAAAACCGGAAGTGGCGTAGCTCAAGTGGTAGAACACTCACCTTGAACTGAAGAGCTGAGGGACAGTGCCCAAGCCCAGAGTTCAAGCCCCACAACCAACAAAAAACAACAACAACAAAAATATCTGAAGACATTAGGACTTATTTAACCACTTCTTTATAAACTAAATGCTAAATAAACTTGGTCCCAAACTCAACAGCATTCCTGTTCTGTTGTACTTATGCTATAAGACTGATGAGGTGAATTCTTACATAAATATCTAGAGCATACACATGTTGATCATGAGAGCCAATGAAAAGGAGTCCTGTAGTTGGATCCAAAGTCGGTGAGCTTTTGACAGCATCTTCTGTAGTAAAGACCCAGTATATCTCTCCACTGTTACTTTGTAGAACATAAACTAATCCATTATAACAGCCTAGAGAAAAGAAACATAAAATATGAATTTATATACATCACAATTCTTTAGCCTAAATTGTAATTTATAGTTGATGTTCTTCTTATGAACTTACTTATGGTGAATTATCTGATTTAAATTTCAGCAGTATAAAGCAGAAAATAAATGGTAATCACTTTTGTGAAATACCCATGTAGTGATACTTCATGAACCTCTCACTTTTTTTGGGGGGTGGGGGGGGGAACAGAGACAAGGCCTCATTATGTAGCCGGGGTGGCCCAGAACTGTAGGCCAGAAAGGATATAATTTAGTAGTCTTTTCCAAAGACAGTGGAATGATACTTCTAAGTTGCTTAAAATAGAATAGAAATTCTTAATTCCAGCATATTCCAGAGCTGCTTGTAACAAGCAAGATGGTCAATAGTACTCAAATGAAAGAATGGGCAGGGTGTCATGGTCCTCCTAAGCTCCCAGATCCAGCAGCCCCTTATTTTTAAATGTACTATCAAGTGCTTCACTTCCAAGAAAAAAAAGAAGCATATTATAGAAGAGGCTTTGAACTTCTTGGATTCAAATGCCTGTCACAGCATTCACTGAGCCATTCTCCCAGCATTACCTAGCCTCAAGTTGTTAGGCATAATTTGGATTCATCTACTTCAGGGGTTATTATAACTATTAATAAAATGTACATAGATGTCCAGAGTACAGAAAGTGTTCAAAAAATGCTAACAATAAGAATCAGTGCCCAGGAGAATGATGAAGTGATTGACCAAGAAGCACCAACAACTCTTCAACAAATGGTTGAAGAGTTAATGTTCACTAAGCATTTACCTGCTTTTTTAAGTATTATATATAAGGTAATGCATTTAATCCTCTCAGTGAAATAAGCATGACAATACTGTAACAGAGTGACTAACTTACTAAGGTAAAGCCATCAAGCTCTAGAACCTAGATTCCTAATAACGACACTAAACTGTTTTCCCAAATTGTGGCCATGAATGAAAAGCCAAAGCAGAAGTCCCTGACCTTGGTGTAGAAAAATAACTTTGAGTGAAAGGCACTCAGGCTCCCTGGGTAAAGGCAAATTCTACAAAGTAGAATTTGAGGATAGCTCTTTAAGGTGATTTCATTTGTCATGGTGATGGCCATAACTGCTCACTTGAAACTCAATTTCCATACTTTCTGTGATATCTTTTTTTCTAGTAATGGCTATTTAGTAGCAAGAGATTAGTGACTTGTTAGTGATGAGAAATTCCCTCCACAGTAGAATATTCTAGAACACGGCAGAGGGATTTAAAAACAAAAAATTCAAGTTTTCCAAGAGCACTGGGGCTCATGCTTATAATCTTAGCTACTCAGGAGGCTGAGATCTGAAGATCAAGGTTTGGAACCAGCCTCTGCAGGCAAATATGAGGGACTCTTACCTTTAATCAGTAAAAGGCAAGAACTAGAAGCGTGGCTCAAAGTGATAGAGCAACAAGTATGAGTAATAAAAGCCAACTGATAGTGTAAAGCTCTCCAGTAGTAGTGTGACAGTACCAGCATAAAAAAAGAAAAAAAAATACAGGTTTTTCATAAGCTTGTTTGCTATCAACAAAACATAACAAAACATGTTTTTTTTTTGTTGTTGTTGCTGTCATTTTTTCAGCCATGGGGCTTGAACTCAGGAACTGGGTACTGTCCCTCAGCTCTTGTTGCTCAAGGCTAGCACTCTACTACGTGGAGCCATAGCTCCACTTGCAGGTTTTCTGGTGGTTAAAAAGTCTCACTGACATTCGTGTCCTGACTGACTTTGAACTGTGATCCTTAGATCTCAGTTTCCTGAGCAGCTAGTATTATAGGCACTCACCACCATTACCCAGTTTCAAAATACCATGTTAAAAAAAAAAAAGAGAAAACATGCTAGGTGCTGGTGGCTTATGTCTGTAATCCTAGCTAATCAGAAGGCTAAGATCTGAGGATCCTAGTATGAAGCCGCCAGTGCAGGAAAGTCTGTGAAACTAAAAACAAACAAACAAACAAACAAAAACACCCAGGGACAGCAACAGGCCTTGAGTTCAAGACTTAGAACAGACAAAAAAAAAAAAGCCATAAAATGGGATTTTTTTTTTTTGGTAAAAAACATGTATCTGATAAAGGATTTTTATCAAGAATACGATAAAAATTATCAAAACAATACAAAAACAAACATAAGGCACAAAAGCTACTTTGCAACAAGAAGATAGTAAACAAGCTTATGAAAAGCTGCTAATGTTATTAGTTACTGGAGAACTCCAAGTTTCTCGAATGGCTAAAAAGAAAAATTCAAAACTGACTATGAAGTGCTTAGCAAGAAGTGGAACAACCGGCCCTCTAATACATTGATAGTAGAAATGCCAAATGGTGGAAATGCTGCTTTGGAAAACAATTATACCATTTCTAATAAAGTTAAGCCTAATTATACAACCTAGGAATTACTTCCTAAGGATAGACCCAAGTAGAATTAAAACATGATTATGCCAAACTCCATTTGTAAATGTTTATAGCAGTCTTATTTATAATGACCAAACCTGTTAACAATACAGATATAAATGATAAACTATATGTCCTCACAACAGAATGCTCAGTACCATCGATAGCTTTGTTTCTAAAATTGTGTATCTTCAAATTTGCGTAGAATACAAATAGGATTCTCAATAAACTGAACTTCCTGGATGGGAATTACTCTAGAACTCATGTTCACAAGTTTTCTTATATAACACCCAAAAATGTAGATGTTTAAATGGAAGAATAAAATTCAGATTCAAGCACTAGGGAGGTAGAGGCAGGAGGACTTTAACTTGGGATATATAGTGATTTCTAGACCAGCCTGGGCTATGAGACCTAGTCTCAAAGCAAACAAACAGAAAAAGAAAATCAGATTTAAATAGATCTGCTAAACTAGCACAAGTAGGGAAATATATTCCTAAGCACTTAGGATGAGAAATGTTGATGGAGTCCATGAACATACAAAGTGAACCCTACTGTGGTTGGGGAATAAAAAGAAAGTGGTAGTAAGAAAGACAATGTGCTTTCTAGTAAAGTGAAAGTCATACAGCCAGCCCCTAATGAAAGGGAGCTGAAGCCACCAGCAAACACTAAGCATTTTATTTGTGCCTGGAAAGGTACTAAGGAACTCTTAAGATATGAATTATCTCATTTAATTCTCCCAAAAGCTTTAGTATGATGGTGTGGTTTAAAGTATATCTTTTTGTTGTTGTTGGTCGTGGGGCCTGCTGGGCGTGGGCGCTGTCCCTCAGGTCTTCAGCTCAAGGCTAGTGCTCTACCTTCTTATACTTACTCTTCAAGAAATAGAGCCTAATTCTTCCCTTGAATATGGGCTAGACTTATTGATAGCCTTTTAATGAACAAAATAAAGCAAAATTGAAGATATACAATTTTATTTTATTGGTTGTTGGGTCTGAACTCTGGGCCTGGGCACTGTCCCTCAGCTCTTCAGCTCAAGGCTAATGCTCTACCATTTGAGCCACAGCACCACTTCCAGCCTTTTCTGCTTATGTGGTGCTGAGGAATTGAACCCAGGCCCTCATGCATGCAAGGCAAGCACGCACCACTGAGCCACTTTCCCAGCCCAAGATATACAGCTTTAGAGATGAAGTCACTCTCATGAATCACTTACTGAAGGATTAAATGACATCCTGTAAAAACATGAAGCAGCCTATGGAGAGACTTTATGTGGCAAAACAGAAACTTCCTGCTAAGAACTAGCAAAGAACTGAAGCTTTGTGCTGCAAGCAAGATAAATAATCATCTTGGAAGCAGATTTTCAGCCCAAGTAAACCCTCAGATGGCTACAGAAACATGAAACCCTGACATCCAGATAAGTTGCTCCAAAATTCCTGACCCATGGAAACTGTTAACAATAAATTTCTGTTGCTCTAGGTTGTTACATTTTTAGGTAAGGTATGATATAGCAACATGTTATATTTTATTTTTGGTCAGTCTTGGGGCTTGAATTCTGGGCCTGGTCACTGTCCCTCAGCTCTTCAGCTCAAGGCTAGCGCTCTACCACTTGAGCCACAGTACCACTTCTGGTTTTCTGGTGGTTAATTGAAGACTCTCACAGACTTTACCTGCCCGGGCTGGCTTTGAATCGCAATCCTCAAATGTTAGCCTCCTGAGTAGCTAGAATTATAGGCATGAGCCACCAGCACCCAGCCACATTTTATTATTGTTCCCATTTTAAAACTGTGAGGAAATTGAAGTTTTAAAAATTTAGCAACTTGCCAAAGATCTCACAGCTTATAACAACTATAGAGCTATCTCAGTTCAAATCCAAGGACTGATCAAGATTAATGTTGTTTATCAACATAAAGTTAATTCTTGTTCTTTGGCAATAATCTGAACTACCACATAGGGTTATTTGTTTTCTGGTTTTATTATTTATTTATTTTGTCTGTCGTGGGGCTTGAATTCGGCCTGGGCACTGTCCCTTAGCTCTTCAGCTCAAGGCAAGCACTCTACCACTTGAGCCACTGCACCACTTCCAGTTTTCTGGTGGTTTATTGGAGATAAGAGTTTCATGGACTTTCTGGCCCTGGCTGGCTTTGAACTGAGATCCTCAGATCTCAGCCTACTGAGAAACGAGGATTAAGGATGTTAGCCACTGGCGCCTGGCTTCTGGGTTTTTTGTGTATGTGTGTGTATTCCAGTACTGTGACTTAATTTAGAGCCTCACATTCTTGCTTGGCTTTTTTGTTCAAGGCTGGTTTTCTATCACTTGAGAAACTAAACTCCCACTCTCAGATTTATCTGTCCCAGCTGGCTTCAAACCCCCATTCTCAGATCTCAGCCTCTTGAGTAGAGTCACATGTCTGAGCCTCCAGCACCTGGCTTGGGTTTGTTTATTTAAATTGGCCCTACCAACAGCACTATGTGTCTATTCTATTTAATACTACAAACTTAAAATTCAGAAACTTACCCACTGTAATAAAGTTGCCACACTTGGAAACACAGGCTGAGGATTCAATTCGATCTCCCAAAAGCTGTTCCCATTTCATCTTCCCAGAGTAAAGATCAATTGCCTTCATTCTGTGAGAATGGGAGCCAATGTACACAGTGGCTGATGACTGATCCACACCCACTATTACCAGAGGGGAAGCATCTACACATTTGCCTGTGTCTGACCTCCATCTCACACGGAACTCCATCTTCTTAGCCCCCGTCACAGGTTTCTCCTCTTCAGAAACTTTTTCAACACAGCATAGATCCTTTGACTGCCCAGTAAGAACTGAAGGATTTAAGCTTTTAAAATTTAGAGTGTTAGTCTGTGCAATGAGTTCAGAAGAACAGGCCGAAGAGTGATGTCCTAAAAACCTAGCTACATTCAGAGGAAAAATCTGACTCCCTCTGCTCAACGCAATACAAGCATTTATCTCATTGTCACCATTTAAAGGCAAGACAGACTTCTGATGGGAAGGTTCTCCGATTGCTTCCTCTTGATTGATGTCACTGAGTTTTCTTTTTGTGGCATTACTCTTGGTCAATGTCTGGTTTTCATCCATGAACACTGTCTGAAGAATATGGTTGTAAATTTCTAAAAGGGAACTGCTGAGAATAACTTCTAGAAGCCCAGGTACTGATGTGCCAACTAGTCTTTCAATCTCATAAAGGAGTCGTACGGACTTCAAGGAATCTCCACCAATATTTGAAAAGAGTGACTCATTAGGAACCTTCAAAGAATCTTCTGTGGGACTTAGAATAGACTATGGATAGAAGGAAGAAAATTGCAAAGTAAAGGCTTCAAGTCATAAGTTTTAATCACTTAAAAGTAATGCATAGAGACAACAATAACATCAAAATATAAAAAGAATACAAAAATATTTTAATTAAAATACATTTAATTTTTTAAAAATTGTACTAGGGTTTGAACTCAGGACCTCACATTTACTGGGCAGATGCTCTACCACTTGGACTACTCCAATAGTCCCCTTTTGGGTTGGTTATTTTTGAGATAGGGACTTGTCTTATGCCCAGGTTTCTTGGATGTGATCTTCCTATTTGTGCTTTCCATGTTGCTAGGATGACAGATGTACACCACTGCACCCAGCCATTGGTCAAAATGGACCTTTATGAATTGTTTTTGAATGTTTGTTGTTGAGGCCATGATCTCCCATCTCTACTTCCTAAGTAGCTGAGATCATAGGCTTGAGCCACTATACCCAGCTTAAAATAATTTTCTTTATATTAACAGACAGATTTTATCAAAATTCATTCTACAATTACAAAATATACTTCCTTCTAGAGTAGTTTTCCTACACATTAATTAAGGAATAGATCACAAGCACATCTATTTTACTAAGTATAAAGCTCTCAAGATCTTAATAGTTGATACTTTTTAATATGGAAATGATATTTATCCTCATCTACTTCATATAAATCAAAATGATTTTATAAAAATTTGAAAATGGCCAAGTACTGGTGTACTATAATCATAACTATAGAGGATTCAAGGATAGACCTAGCAGAAAAGTTCAAGAAACTCTATCTCTAAAATAACAAGCAAGCTGGGCGCTGGTGGCTCACGGCTGTAATCCTAGCTACTCAGGAGGCTGAGATCTGAGGATCGTGGTTCAAAGCCAGCCAGGGCAAGAAAGTCAGTGAAACTCTTATCTCCAATAAACCACCAGAAAACCAGAAGTGGCGCTGTAGCTCAAGTGCTAGCCTTGAGCTGAAGAGCTGAGGGACAACACTTAGGCCCAGAGTTCAAGCCCCACGACCAACAAAAAAATAATAATAATAAATAAAAATAAATAAAATAACAAGCAATAAACTGAGCTGGATATGTTAGAACTTCAGCTAAGGGAAAACAAGCAGGCCAAGAAAGCTCAAAATCCCAAGTTCAAACTCTGGTACCTAAAATAAATTTTAAAAAGTAAATGAAATAGCTAAGAGTTTTATCTAGATGAGATTGAATAAATGTACCCAAATCCTTTTCAGAGCCCTTTAAAAGAGAAAAATCTTTACTTTAAGAAAAATTGTTAACCCAATGAGACAACAAAAAAAAAAATCTCCAAGTATGATGGTTCACATTTATACTCTTGGTACTTATGAGATGAGTGAGATAATTAGTTTGTAACCAGCCCAGACGTAAAAGGAGGCATGGCTAAAGTTGTAGAGCACCAGCCCAGCAAGTTCAAGTACCTGAGTTCTAGTCAGAATGCTTTCTCCCAGAAAAAGAAATAATCTCTTAAGCAGAAACCCAAGCTCTGGGCTAATGATGTGACGAACTCCAAGTTAGTAGATAGTGATGTGGTGTAGAAGATTTCACTGATTTCTCAGCTCTGACAAGTGTTGTTGTGTTCACTGCTGCTCAGGGAAAAGTGATCTCCACACAGGCTTTGCTCACTTGAGCCTCTTTTTTTTTTGGTCAGTCGTGGGGCCTGAACTCCGGGCCTGGCCACTGTCCCTCAGCTCTTCAGCTCAAGGTTAGTGCTCTACCACTTGAGCCACAGTGCCACTTTCAGCTTTTTCTGTTTATGTGGTGCTGAGGAATAGAACCCAGGGCCTCATGCATTCTAGGCAAGCACCCTACCACTGAGCCACTTTCCCAGCCCCTTTGAGCCTCTTTTGACTACTTAACTTCCAATAAATTTTTTTTGAGGAGCTTCATCTAATTTTACAGACAAACCTTTATTTTAATGCAAACTTAATGAAGGGAGCTATATACTATTTGACATCTGTGTAGCAATAACTCTTAGAAAATTTACCAGATTTTGGGAGACTGTCCAGAGCATGACAGGATGTGAGCAGTACCCTGGACCTCTTCCCTCAGTAGCAGCCCATTTGTTCCTCTGTGACAACCCAAAATGTCTCTAGACTTTCAGATCCTGAGCAGGAGGTAAAATCATTCAATGCCCACCTTTGGTTGAGATCACTACTATAGCTCGGAGCATGGGTAAGAAAGAGAAAGGACACTCAAAGCAGAAGCCCACCATCTCAAATACTCAGAAGCAGTACCTCCACTTGGCAGGGCTGACCTCACAGCCCAGGACAAGGAAACTTCCTGGTTTGATAGCAGAATGGCTTCAGCAACCATGCACAAGGCTTGTGTAAGTCATAAGGCTTGTATAAGATTGTATAAGTCACTTATTATTATGTGAAGATAGGCAGATCCATTCACCTCATAGAATTTCAGTTTTCCAGCCTCTAGGAGCTGCATGAAACTTGCCACCGACCCCCAAGGATGTTGGGAGGGGAGGAGGACTCCTGCCATCACATTCAGCATTCAGTCATGGCTGAGATTCACAGAGATAGTGTCCCCTTATTTCTTTTTTGGTCCAGTCGTGGGGCCTGAACTCTGGGCCTGGGCGCTGTCCCTCAGCTCTTCAGCTCAAGGCTAGCCCTCTACCACTTGAGCCACAGCGCCGCTTCCGGCTTTTTTCTTTTTGCTTATGTGGTGCTGAGGAATCGAACCCAGGACCTCAGGCATGCAAGGCAAGCACTCTACCACTGAGCCACCTTCCCAGCCCTTGTCCCCTTATTTCTAAGAACAGCAAAGTTTTTGTTTGTTTTTAAATAGAAAGAAAGAAAATTTATGGGCAGGGAATGTGGCTTAGTGGTAAAGTGCTTAACTAGCATTCATGACGCCTGGATTCGATTCCTTGATTCCACATAAACAATAAATAAAAAAAAATTAGTAAAATAAAAGGAAAATAACCATTAAAATTCTTTTTAAAAAAGGAAGAAAATTTACTAGACTTATTAGGATTGCTACCATTTCCTAGAATGAACTCTTTATAGCCAAAAATTTGTCTTAAAAGTTATACCTTCCACAAATATTGTAATTTCTTCCAAAGTTCCTTTTTTCCATGGAGCTTATTCTCAGGCTTTGAGTTTAGGTAGTCTAAATAAATCTTGTTTAGCTCAGAAATATCAATTTTGCCTTAATATAAAAGAGAAAAAAACAAGATGCTTTAAAAATAATGTTGAAAATGTTACACTTCATGGCTAGGGATGTAGCTCAATGGCAGAGCATGTACTTACCATCAACATGGCCCTGGGTTTAATCTCTAATGCCATAAGTTTAATCTCTAATGCCATAAATAAATAAAATTTTACTCTGGATCCTTTTTATTTTCATTAGTAACATACAGTTTTCATCATAAAGCTTAGAAATCATATAGAATGGAGTTCATCATACACAATTCTTTTTTTTGAGGGGGGGAGGGTCTGGTCGTGGGGCCTGAACTCTGGGCCTGGGCGCTGTCCCTCAGCTCTTCAGCTCAAGGCTAGCGCTCTACCACTTGAGCCACAGCGCCACTTCCGGCTTTTTTCTTTTTACTTATGTGGTGCTGAGGAATTGAACCCAGGGCCTCATGCAATCAAGGCAAGCACTCTACCACTGAGCTACCTTCCCAGCCCCCATCATATACAATTCTTATCACTCCAATGCTACTAAGTATGTATTAAATGAGAGAAGAAAAGGAAGAGCTTGTCAGGCACTGGGGCTTACTTTGTAATCCTAGGTACTCAGGAGGCTGAGATTTGAAGATCTCAGTTCAAAGCTAGTCTGGGCAGGAAAGTCCCTGTGAGACTCTTATTTCCAATTAACCACTCAAAAACTGGAAATAGAGCTGTGGCTCAAAGTGGTAGAGCACTAGCCTTGAGCAAAAGAGCTCAGGGACAGTGCCTAGGCCCTGAGTTCAAGTCCCACAACTGACCTAAAAAAAAAAAAGAGGAAAGAAAGAGCTAATGTTTGTCTAAGGTTAAGAGCGAAAAATTGTTAACTACATTTTGAAATATGTAAACTAAAAATAATTTGGGAAGGCAACATAATATGATGATTAAGAGTCTATATTTTGGGGCTGTGACTAAAGTGGTAGAACATCTACCTAATACAGACAAGGTCCTGAGTTCAAACCCCAGTACGGCCAAAAAGGAAAAAAAAAGCAGATATTTTGAAGCCAAACCATACTAGACAAAAATATAACTGTGGAGGTTTATTTTATATGTCAATTAAGTAGAATCTGGAGTGACCCACTGCTAAGATTAACATAGATTAAACACTTTTTGGGTGTGTCTATAAGGGCATTTTAGCATGAAAATAGTATATGACTCAACAGACTCAATAACTAGATTGGAATCCCAAATTATTTGAGTATCATCTATATGTAACAAAAGTAGCAGGGAGAAGAATTCATTCTTTTTTTCTGCCTCACTATCTGATTGAGTTGGGAGGTCTCATCTCATCACTTCCTGACCTCTGGGATCTGCAGCATTTGTGCACTAAATACTACCATTTCTTGAGTCTCCAGCTAGCAGGTATGGGACTTCTTAGCTTCTATAATAGCATGAGCTAATTCCTAACACTAAATCCCCTTCTTATAGATCCTTCTAAATATTGATTTTGTTCTCTGGAGAACCCGACTAATATAAATCACTAACTAGCAAAGTGATTTGGAGGCAAATTACCTAATTTCTCTAAGTCTTACTTTCTTCATCTGTAAATAGGGATAATGTCATTTACACATAGGATTTTTTGAAGATAAATATTTAAAATAATATTTATGCAGCCACTAAACTAATTATGAGTATAATTACTATTATTTAACAGTGAACATATCTGATTTAAATTATTTTACCATGAGATGTAAATGGTAGCGTATCAATCAACACAAGTTCATCTGGGATGGCATGATTTGGAAGATGTTTCTGCAGTTCTTTAAAGATATAATCCTTTACTAAATTATCTTTTGGTACTATGAAGAGAATTAACTTTTCCTGATTATACCATGTAACTGCACATGTTTCCACTTGCTGAAGTTGTTCAGAAACCTTTAAGAAAGATTATTCAACTTATTAGTGAGAATCCTTGAAAATTAACTTCCTAAATGCTAAGATTTATTATATCTTCAATCAATATAGCTGAATTAAATATACTGCAGATACAAATACAGATTTTTGAACTACAAGCATACATGTCCTTAACCTCTTTTCAGAGACCTCAAAATCCAATAGATATGTAATATTTAAATAGTTCTACCTGTTGCACAAGTTCAATGTTAAGACGCTTGCCATGGCGTTTTATCTGACTGTCTTTTCGTCCCAAGAAAAATATCTCTCCACCTTTTATAGTCACGAAGTCTCCTGTGGCCCTCATCGTACCGAGTGGTACTGTCATTTCATCATCTAGAAAACACACTCTGTTTTTCCCACCTTCCAAAGACATAAAAACAATGTCATACAACTCCATAGAAAATATGTTAAAAATCAATGAAAATCAAGAATATTTCCAGTTGTTCACTAAGTCTCAAAATTGAAACAAATTTCATTTCTAACAATATCTATGTGATTTAAAAAACTGGTAACATACTAACTAGATATCATTTTGTCTAGAAACACAATGGTCCAAGTTATGATTTCTAAAGTACTGATATAGTATACTAAACATTGTACATGAAAAAATATGGAAACACTGAATACTTCATGACTAAGAGAATGAGATTGGTATTTATCACATTTATCACTGAAAAGCACATTGGACATTCAAAAAAAAAAATCAAGAAAAGAATAAACAACACATTTTTTTCTCGAAAAAAATCCCAATTAACAAATATAAAACAACCTAAAAATACTTGGCCACTGCCTTCTTGAATTGTGAAACCATTCGTATCTCTGACTTCAACTACTGTTTCAAACAGTGGACATCCCAGTGGTACAGGCAACTCACATCTATGAAAAACACAACACAAAGCTGATTAAAAGTTTTATATTTTAAATGAGTAGTGTGTTTCCCATTCATTTAAATTGTATTGATTGTATTTAAATCACAACATGCCAAATAAAGAAAAAATAGCTTTGAAATAATTCAAAGACTGACAAGAAGAACTGGCTAGATGAAAAGGCTATCATATAGTTATTCATCATCATTCAGTCATGAAAAGTTCTAGAAGGATCTCAGCACCAGTTACAATAAGAAAGGTTCTAGATTCCTTATTTAAGATACTAGATAAAATAGAGTTTCTAAAATTATTGCCCCGGTGCTGATCAAAACACTGTTATTAGGAGTTAGGAGTGTAACACAGTGTATAGTAGCTTATCTTGCTGGGTTGGATCCTCAGCAACTAACAAAACAAAAACACAACTACAGAAAGATTTCATCATTATCATTAAAATTCTAGAAAAATACAGTCTCTCCCCTTTCTACTGAGTAAAATTGAAACTCTTACTTCACAGTAGAGTTAAGAACCTCCTCTGGAATCCTGTAAAAAGTCGCCCAACTTGATACCTCTGTGATACCATAAATGTTGAATATTTGAGTTTTATTGCCTTCTTCTCTCCAGCTACTGAGAATAGTCAGTGAGGGAAATGCTTCCCCTCCAAGGGCTAAAACTCGAAGAGAAGTACTGGCTGATAAAACAGTTGATTTGATAAGTTGAGATCCAAATCTTCTCAGCAATGTTGGTGTTGCCTGCAAATATATTAAAATAGTTACACTCTCTCTCTTAAAAAGTAAATACTAGAATAACTAATTCAAAAATTTATACTTGGAGGCACATGGAATTTAAAGCTGTGTCGATCCAAACCATATTTGAAAAACTACTAAGGCAAAAATTTATTTTTGATGTAGAAAAGGATAAATATATATATATATATATGAAGGAGAAAACACCAAAAATATTATTTATCACTTTTATAGTTTTCTTTTTTACAACAGTGGAGATCGAAACCAGAGCCTAATACATGCTAGGCAAGCACTGAACCACTAAGCTATATCTCCAGCCCTATAGGATTTTTTTTTTTTTTTTGTTGGTAGTGAGGCTTGAACTCTGGGCCTGGGCGCTGTCCCTCAGCACTTCAGCTCAAGGGGAGCGCTCTACCACTTGAGCTACAGCACCACTTCCGGTTTTCTGGTGGTTTATTGGAGATAGGAGTCTCACGGTCTCTCCTGCCCGGGCTGGCTTTAAACCTCGATCCTCAGATCTCAGCCTGCTGAGTAGCTAGGATTACAGGCGTGAGCCACCAGCGCCTGGCTTAGGATTTCTTATTAAAGAAAAAAAAGGGAAAAAAATCTGTAAATCCAATTTATATCTATTTCCCATTAGTTGTCTATACAAAAGTTGTCTATATAGAAGAGAGTTAAAATAGTGCTAAGCAAAACCATATGAATACAAAATTTTAACAGCGTTAGTGACAACTGATATAGATTATTAAATGTATAATTTAATACAGACTGTGATGTATGCATATACCACTGAAACTGTCAAACAAACTAAATGATGAAGATACCTCCTTGAGTTTCTTCAGGTTGCTGAAACAAAAATACCATGCACTGGATAATATAAACAGACCTTTACTTCTTATAGGTTTGGAGGCTGGGAATTCCAAGAGCAAAGTGCTGGAAGATTCAGTGTCTACTGAGAGCTCTGTTTCTTCCCCAAAGACAGTGACTTTTTGTTATGTACCCCGCAAGGTAAAAGAAACAAAGAAGTTTTCCTGGCTTATTTTATAAGGGTATTAATTCCCATTCAATATTTCTTTTTTTTTTTTTTTTTTTGGGGGGGGGGGGGTCTCCGGTCGTGGCCTGAACTCTGGGCCTGGGCCCTGTCCCTCAGCTCTTCAGCTCAAGGCTAGCCCTCTACCACTTGAGCCACAGCGCCACTTCCGGCTTTTTTCTTTTTGCTTATGTGGTGCTGAGGAATTGAACCCAGGGCCTCATGCATGCAAGGCAAGCGCTCTACCACTGAGCCACCTTCCCAGCCCCTCAATATTTCTTTGCTCTTATGATCTAGTGACTTCTCAAAGGGCTGCATCTTAATATAAACACAGTGGATTTCAATACCTGAATTTTAAAGATACAGACTATAGAAAGCATATTACCCTTAAATTACCTAGTGCCTCTATAATTCTTCCTTCTAACTGGATCCTTTCTCCAGACAACTGTTGATTCATTTTCTTTAACTATAGATCAGTTGGCAATTTGTATAATTTTATTTTTATTTTGGTTGATCATGGGGCTCAAACTCAGAGCCTGGGTGCTGTCCCTGAGCCTTTTTGTTCAAGGCTAGCACTCTACCACTTTGAGTCACAGCTCTACTTCCGTTTTCTAGTAGTTAATTGGAAATAAGAGTCTCATGGGAGCCGGGAGCCAGGTGCCGGCGGCTCACACCTATAATCCTAGCTACTCAAGAGGCTGAGATTTGAGGATCACAGTTCAAAGCCCGATGGGGCAGGAACAACCATGAGACGCTTATCTCCAATTAACCACCTGAAGTGGTACTGTAGCCCAAGTGGTAGAGTGCTCACCTTAAGTTGAAGATCTCAGGGACAGCACCCAGGCCCAGAGTTCAAGACCCACGACTGACAAAAAAAAGATTCTCATGGGCTTTCCTGCCCAGACTGGCTCAGATCTCAGCCTCTTGAGTAGCTAGGATTACAAGCATGAATCACTGGTGCCCAGCTTTATTTTAATAATTTTTTATTTACTTGAGGTTCCTTGAAAGAAATTCACTGTATTTTTCTATCATTGGGTGGAGTGTCTTACAAATGCCAATTACACTATTGTATAGATAACGTTACATAAGTCTCATATAGCATTATAGATTTTTCTGTCCACTTTTTCTATTAATTATGAAGTATTACAATCCCCATTTAATTACCAGTAGTTTATTTCTTTTTTTTTCTTTCCTTTTTCTTTTTTGTCTGTCGTGGGGCTTGAACTCTGGGCTTGGGCGCTGTCCTTGTGTTCTTCAGCTCAAGGCAAGCGCTCTACTGCTTGAGCCACAGCACCACTTCTGGTTTTATAGCAGTTTATTGGAGATAAGAGTCTCATGGGGACTTTCCTGCCCGGGCTGGCTTTGAACCGCGATCCTCAGATCTCACCTCCTGAGTAGCTAGGATTACAGGCGTGAGACACTGGCACCCAGCTCAGTAGTTTATTTCTTCTTCCAGTTTTTATCTGTTTTTGCTTTGCCTGCCCCACCAGTGCCCAGCTGTATAATCTTATATAAGTGGAATCATATGTACTCTAGTTTTAACTAGACATCTTTCACACAAAATATTTTACAACTCATCTATGCTCCTGTAAATATTATTGCTGAGTGGCATTCTATTGTATGGATCAGGACTGGCTTTAACTTTTCCATAAAAAATTCTAGGATTACAACCAAAGTACTAGGCCAAAGGCCTAACTCCAGGAGTCTAGAGGCCTACTTCTGGGGGTTCTAACATCAAGTCTGGCCATTCAACCCTATACACTAAGAGGTTAATAATGGAGAAGGGCAGAAAATGAAGATTTATTAACCTACTGATCACTCTCTGATTGACAGCTAGTACTTTAGATCATCTCTGGGATAAAGATGAGCATTAAGTTTTAATAGGGAAAGAATTGGGCATGCGGTGGAAGATAAGCCTAATTAAAAGTCCTGGTCAAAAATGAGGTCCCGGGGCTGGGAAGGTGGCTCAGTGGTAGAGCGCTTGCCTTGCATGCATGAGGCCCTGGGTTCGATTCCTCAGCACCACATAAGCAAAATGAAAAAAGCCGGAAGTGGCGCTGTGGCTCAAGTGGTAGAGTGCTAGCCTTGAACTGAAGAGCTGAGGGACAGGGCCCAGGCCCAGAGTTCAGGCCCCACGACCGGATCCAAAAAAAAAAAAAAAATATGAGGTCCCATTGATCCTTACCTCAGGATTGTTCCCACAGGGGCCTTGCCAGGATAACAAAGTTACTTTTTGGGGGGTTAAGTTACATTTCTCCACCATTCCTGAAACCCAAGGTGACTACAGGAGAGAAAGATCCAGAGCAAAGACAATGCAAAACAAGGCAGAGATGCTGAGTTCTTTTTCTGTTTTTAGTTACCCTTTGGAAATTTACAGTTTAAGTGAAAAGGCTATGCTTTCAGAAAAAGTAGTTTCTAAGTACCTGCTTTAATATCAACTTATCAATTTCAACCAAAAAAAAAAAGAAAACCCTACTAGGATTTTGGTAGAGACTACCTACACTTTAGATATAGCTTGGTTTACACAGAACTGAAATATTGGCAATATTGAAAATTTCAATTCATAAATATGAAATGCCTTTTTAAAGATTTTATCAATAATGTTTTGATAATGTTTTTCAGTGAAAAAGTCTTACCCTCCTTTACTTTATTCCTGCTATTTATTTATTTATTTATTTGTCAGCCATGGGGCTTGAACTCTGGGCTTGGTCACTGTCCCTGACCTCTTTAGCTCAAGGCTCCGTGAGCCACAGTGCCACTTCCGGTTTTCTAGTGGTTTATTGGAGATAAGAATCTCAGGAACTTTCCTGCCTGGGCTAGCTTTGAACCGTGATCCTCAGATCTCAGCCTACTGAGTAGCTAGGATTACAGGCATGAGCCATTGGTGCCTGGCATTACTGTTATTTTTTGATGCTGTTGTATATATAATTATTTTCTTAATTTTACTCTTCAGTTTTCCTTTACTATAAATATACATATATAGAACTATGTGTGAATGCATGCATATATGCATAAATAAAATTTCAATTGATTTTTTTGAGAAACTGAATTTATAGTCTCCAAATTTGTTAAAATGCTTATTAGTTTTAATAAGTCTTCTTTTCCTCTCCCTCCCATCATTCTCTCTCAGTTTTCCATGGTTCTATCTGCATATGAAGAGTTTTATTTCCTCTTGTAGGTGCCTTTAGTTTCCTTTTCCATTTATTTATTTACTTGTTTATTTATTTGCTTCATTGCACTAGCTAGAACCATGCAGGTAAATGACAAAAGCAAATATTGTTGCCTTGCTCCCAATCCTGCAAGAAGGCATTTAGTGTTTTATCAAATACAATGTTAGTTGTAGCTTGTTGTTTTTCAGTAGATAGTCTTTACTTTTTTTTGGTGGGGGGGACATTAAATCTCGTCAAATACTTTTTCTGCATCTATTAAATATATGCCTTTTGTCCTTTATTCTTTATGTTTTATTTATGTACTGTATCAATGGATATTTAGATGTTTAAAATCAAGTATACATTCCTAAGATAAATTCTTCTTGGTAATTTTTTTTTAACATTATGGATTCATGTGTTGCATACAGTCAATAAATAGATAAGCAATTATATAATAGGCAAATACAAACATTACAAGGATTTTAGATTTTTCTTTTTTCTTTCTTTTTTTTTTGGGGGGTCCAGTCGTGGGCCTGAACTCTGGGTCTGGGCACTGTCCCTCAGCTCTTCAGCTCAAGGCTAGCGCTCTACCACTTGAGCCACAGTGCCACTTCTGGCTTTTTTTTTTTTCCTGCTTATGTGGTGCTGAGGAATCAAACCCAGGGCCTCATGCATACAAGGCAAGCACTCTACCACTGAGCCACCTTTCCAGCCCCAGGATTTTAGATTTTTCTAAAAAGTAAATTCTTATTCATTAAGAAAAAATTACTGGCCAGGCACCAGTGGTTCACGCCTGTCCTAGCTACTCAGGAGGCTGAGATCTGAGGATCATGGTTCAAAGCCATCCCGGGTAGGAAAGTCCATGAAGATCTTATCTCCAATAAACCACCAGAAAACCAGAAGTGTCACTGTGGCTCAAGTGGTAGAGCACTAGCCTTGAGCTGATTTCAACAAAACAACTTGCTGAAATAAAGCACAATCAGTAATAAAAGGTAAAATTCACAAAGATGATTAGTTAATACAAGATTACCATGTCTTTGATGTCTTGGTAGGAGTAGGAAGTACTCTGAAATAAGGATACTAGGTCTAAATAGCACCATCTTGGAAATGTGGTAGATGGTAAGGAATTGGGTCTAACTGGTACCATCTTGGCTTCTTAGTGGATAAAGGTGAAGACTCATCCCCAGGTAATTGGTATGCCTGAATTCCTAGAGGCAGAGGCATGGACTTGGATAACAGGTTACTGGAACTGCCAGCCCTATTCTATGAACTCTCTACTCTTTGAACTATCAGTTCCCTGTAACTCTGCCTTCTGACCATGACCCTATTTAGGCCCTCAACCCCCACCAATTCAGCAGCTATTTTGTACCATGCCTTGTGTCTGCTAACTCTCCTCTGGTCACCATGGCGTCCCTCTTCAGCTCTCCATTAGAGGTGATCTGGTTTGTTGAGATTGTTTTTCTGTCTTTCTTTATTCTACTACCCTCACGACCCAGTTTTAAGTATTAGTATTGTTTGAGGCTGCAAGTTTCTTGGGGAAATGGGTCTGCCTGCAGTCACTGGCTTTCTAATAAAGATTCCCAATTCGACCTCTCAAAAATGTGGCTCTATTCAATAGCTGTATCTTGCAATCGAATTCCCATATAACACTCAAGGTAGTTTAAATATTCTTTTTAGAGAATTTACCATTTAAAGCAATATTTTTTTTTCAGTAGTGGGGCTTGAATTCTGGGCCTGGGCACTGTCCCTATGCTCTTCAGTTCAAGGTGTGTGCTCTAACACAGTGCCACTTCCGATTTTCTGGTGGTTAATTGGAAATAAGAGTCTCACAGATTTTCCTGTCTGGGCTGGCTTTGAACTGCGATGCTCAGATCTCAGTCTCCTGAGTAGCTAGGATTACAGGCATGAGCCACCAGGACTTGTCTAATATTTAAATCTGATACAATAAACTATACCTCATTTTTTAATCATATTGCTAACATATTGCTAAACTATACCTTATTTCTGAATCATATTGCTAAATCACATTTATTTTTATTTATTTTTATTTTTTTGCCGGTCATGGGGCCTGAACTCTGGGCCTGGGCGCTGTCCCTCAGCTCTTCAGCTCAAGGCTAGCGCTCTACCACTGGAGCCACAGCGCCGCTTCCGGCTTTTTCTGTTTATGTGGTGCTGAGGAATCGAACCCAGGGCCTCATGCTTGCAAGGCATGCACTCTACCGCTGAGCTACCTTCCCAGCCCCCACATTTATTTTTAATGTTAGGTTGTAATTGAAATATGGATACTGGGTCTAAGTAATATCATCCTGTTCTCATCATCATCGTGGCATCTTAATCAATGATGGGGACTTTTCATCCAGTTCTGAAAACCCTAGGGGTGAAATAAGTCATTCTCTGAATTGCTGATATGTCATGTAAGTTTAGCTCCAGGTAAGTCTTGCTCCAGGGAATTCTTGTATACCTGGCATCATTCTACCTAGCTAGCTTTGCTTCTGTAAACACACTTTTGATAGGTTTAGTTCCCCCTTCGAGTCATGTGGTTTTTGCCTTTATAAACTTTGTACTAGCAGCATTGGGGCTGCAGGTTCTTTGTGAATATGAGTCCACCTGGCTTTCTAATAAAGACTCCTGATGCGACCTCCCAAAATGTGGCTTCTCCGTATCTATTGATGGAATTCCTGTATAACATAATTATATACCTAACAAGACAGTTCTAACACAAAAGGGTTTCTTGGTCATATTTTAAGATGTAAAAGAAACAGCATAAAAACCAAAGATAACACATTTTGTCCTTACTGCAGAAATTCCACATTCCTCTTGAGTCTCATTGTACTAGATGAAAACTTGATATATTGAAATCCTAGCCCTCAAGGGTAATGAAGTAGAGCATTTTGGAAGAGTTTCAACCATATAGGTAGAGAACACATAAAAGGGATTAGTGCCCTCATAAAGAGTCCCAAAAGACAATCACTGTTCTTGTACCATCTGAGGACATAGACAGTGGTCTATGTAACAGTGAGTGTGTCCCTTACATGAAACTGAATCTGCAGTTGCCTTAACTTTGGGTTTCCAGAGGCCAGAATGATGAAAAATAAATTTATAAGCTACTTGGTTCTTGGCATTTGTCATAGCAGTCTTCATGGACTGAGACACATTGGGTATCAGGAAATAATGCTATACTATATCATTTATTTCCTATTAGGTGAAACAGATATCATTTCCATTTATAGATAAAACCTGAGTTTTAACTCAGTAGTTAAACACAATATGTATTATAATTTTACTAACTGCCTAGAGTATCTTTCACTGTTTATAATGAATCTTAAGACTAGCATAATACAATTTCAAGTGCACAATAAAGAATGTTTTAAAAGGTAAAACAGGAAAAAATGTTTCTAAACATTAATTAAATACTGATTTAATTTAAAACTAAAAACATCAAAATACTTAAGTCATAATTTACTTATAAGCTTTTGGTACAAAATATATACTCAAGTTTTAAGATAGAAAACATATCAATAACATATTTCAAAAGATTTGAGTCAGGTTGGGAATGTGGCTTAGTGATACAGTGCTTACCCAGCATGCATCAAGTCCTGGGTTCAATTCTCCAGTTCCACATAAAAAGAAAAAGCCAGAAGTGGTACTATGGCTCAAGTGGTAGAGTGCTAGCCCTGAGCAAAAGAAGTTCATGGACAGTGGCCAGGCCATGAGTTCAACCCTCAGGACTGGCAAAAAAAAAAAAAAAAAAAAGATTTGAGTCAATGTCAAGTTATTTTAGTTGTTACAATATGCATAAAACACATGGTAAAATAGTTTTCCAGGCAGAATAATGTTTTTCATGTTTTTTTGTTTTTTGGGGGGTCTGGTCGTGGGGCCTGAACTCTGGGCCTGCGCGCTGTCCCTCAGCTCTTCAGTTCAAGGCTAGCACTCTACCACTTGAGCCACAGCGCCACTTCCAGCTTTTTTTTCCTGCTTATGTGGTGCTGAGGAATCGAACCCAGGGCCTCATGCATGCAAGGCAAGCGCTCTACCACTGAGCCACCTTCCTAGCCCATGTTTTTCATTTTTAAATAAAGAAGTAACATCATAAGGTGAAAGCTCTTGAAAATCTAACTATAATAATAATTATTATTAATCCATTGCAAAGAACTAGTACAATATAAAGCATCTTCTAAAGCACTTAAAAATATTGACTAATGAAAAGCAAAACATTTTATTTGCTCTGAAAACATACCTGCAAAACAGTGACTTTGTGATGGGAAAAGAGAACAGCAGCTAATTTTGATGGTAGTACTTTGACAGAAGTTGGTACAATAAGCAGTGAGGCGCCACTTGATAGAGCAACAAATATTTCCACAATAGAAGGATCAAAGGTCAGAGGTGAAGCCAGAAACAAAACATCTTCTTGTGTAATGCCAAAAAGTATTCTATGGAAAAGAATATAGACACAAGAAATATCTAATATCTGGTAGATCCTGAAAAAGTATTCGTGATGATCTAGTTTCTGAATATTGCCAGGACTTCAGGGGTGGGGAACACCTGTCTGGCCCAAAGGCCAAACAAAGCCCTGGAAATCATTTGGTATGTGCAAGAACAGATTCCCTTTCTAACATGATTCTCATTAAAGTGGAAGAGTTGAACAAAAGGGAGGCAGCTGCCATTTGGTAACATCTACACCAAATTATTCACCCAAATCCCAATCTAAGCTTAAACTATTCAATTGGAAGATTATTCTGATTGGCTGGCTTTTCTCAGTTGGAAGACCTTTAGTATGAGCTTTTGGCCTTCTCTGAAGAAGTGACAAACAACAACTAGTTCTGCTATTAACCCTGGATTGTTTCTTTGGACTTGGCCTGTGGACTATCTCATGTATGTATGTTCCATCCTGCTCCTACACATCCATTCTCAACTGCCTACTTATGGGCTTTAGTCTTGCTTAGCCAGCTCCCACAATGTGTAAGCCATGTCTTTGTAATATTCCCCCTTAATATATCCTCCCAGTTTTACTCCTACTTATTCTGTGACACTTATTTCAATGGCTAAGAGATCTCTGACTACTATATCCCACTATTTCTTATTTTATCTCAGTATCTGAACAAAAGCAGAATATATTTTGTCAGGTATTATAAAGCATGCACAGTATAACCTTATGGTAATGCATTACTGGATACACAATCCCACAATACCTAAAAGCAGAGATTAATTTCAAAAGATCCTCAGGTATGGTATAAAAATTAAAAGGAAAATCTAACTATGGAATAAATGTGTCTTCCATAATAGTCTTTCATCATATATGAAAGACTACAGGTAAACTTCAATTTTTAACGTAATTATTCTCCATAAATACTATCTGCTTTCCTGGTTAGGTATTTAGGGGAGATCTAACAGATTTCTAAACAAGTTTACAAGAAGCTTGAATCAGGAAAAAAATTTTGGTGTATCCATTTTACACATAAAAGTAGGTGATGTGAAACATTCATGGTCTTTAATTTCAAGAAAATGTAAAATGCACTCAATAGGCAAAGCTCGGAAAAGAGAGATTTTACAACAACAAAAAATGTTGGGACTAGAACTAAGGTGTGAATTTACAATTTGTGAGGCTCAGTGGTGGTTTTCTAATAAACTGGTTATTTTTTTCAACCACTATATGAAGCAGGGATGGTTATAGAGATGTAGATCTGCTTGGAACCCTAGAGTTGGTGTGTTATAGATTATGCTGAAGACACTTGACATTGACCAGATGCAGAAAGAAATCTTAGAGACTTTCATTCTGAGAAAGAAGCAACAGTAAACTTCTTCAGAGTGGCTTTTCCCCTGGAAGACTAAGGTTTAAGTCTGTAAGTTCTTTCTGAGCAAAGTTGGATGGCAATGAAGGAGACCAGAAATCACTGACTATAAAACTATTCCCAGAAACTCCCTTTGTTCTTTGCTTTCCTGAAAATTCATTTGTCTTTCCTTAAAAGAAATCCACTTGTCACTACTACAAGAATCTTTTTCTGATCTTCTTTTTGTACTAAATTAGGTAGATAACCACTTCCCAACCTATATCTCTTAATCTTCCCTTTGTCAGTTTAATTTGCAAGCCCTTAAGTACCCAGTTTGTGGAAAACCTTTTTTCCCTAGGTTTTTTTTTTAAAGTACTGAGGTTTGGACTCAAGGCTTTAGGCTTGCTCTTCAGGCATTTTACCACTCCAGCCTTTTTGCTTTAGTTATTTTTCAGGTAGGGTCACATGTTTTCAATCAGGCATACCTCAGATTACAATCCTGCTACCTTTCCTTCTCCCAAACTGAGATTATAAGCATAAACCATAACTGGTGGCTTGTTAGTTGAGATGGAGCTGTTAATAACTTTTTGCCCAAGTAGTCTTCCCATGTCCTCCTGAGTAGCTGAGATGACACCAACCTCAGAGCTCAGCAACTATTATTTTTACTCTTAAGCCCCATTTTAGTTTTCTTTGTTGTTGCTTTGTTTTATCTTTTGCCAGTCCTGGAGCTTGAACTCAGGGCCTAGGCACTGTCCCTGAGCTGCTTCTTTTGCTCAAGACTAGCACTCTACCACTTAAGCCAGCACCACTTGCAGGCTTTTGTGTTTATGTGGTACTGAGGAATCAAACCCAGTGCTTGCGAGGCAAGCACTCTACCACTAAGCTACCTTCCCAGCTCTTAATTCCCATTTTAGAATGGAGAAAATTAAAGTTCACAGAGGTTAAGTAAATTCTGCAAAGTCATACCCATCATTATTTTAAAATAACACTTAAATACTTTAAAATTGTACCACCTTTTAATTTACAAAAAAATACTGGATGATTGAAAGAAAATTTGGAACATAAAATTTGTTTTTAAAAATGTCAATTGAGCTAGACGTAAGTGGCTCACACCTGTAATCCTAGCCACTCAAGAGCCTGAGATGTGAGGACTGCGGGCTGAAGCCAGCCCTCGCAGGGAAGTCCATGAGACTTTTATCTCAAATTAACCACCAGAAAACCAGAAGTGGAGCTATGGCTCAAAGTAATAGAGTGCTAACTTTGAGCAAAAAAGCTCAAGGACAGTGCCCAGGCTCTGAGTTCAAGTCCCACAGCTGACCCCCCCCAAAAAAATAAAAAATAAAAATCCTGTTGTTGCAGTTTTCTTTTGGGGAGTAGGAAAGGAGAAAGTTGATTTATTTTTGATAGTGTTGCACTATGTTATCTTAGCTGGCCCTGCTAGGATTACAGGTATAAATCATCACACCTAAATTGAAACAGAAGTTCTAAGAATCCTAAGTTTAGGACTTACCGAAAATGTTGGACATTTGGCAGTATACATGCATGAGGCACTCTGACAATCTTTGGGGTTCCTGTAGTCCCTGATGTATGCAGGACATAGGCCAAACAGTGCTTTAGCCTCACATCCATGTGTTCTTTTTCTTCCTTGTTCTTTTCAGAATTCATGCAGTCTTTTCTGTTCTTTTTTTCATTTTTGTCTTGTCTATCATTTAGCATCAAGTTCATGTCAACATTTTCCCAGTGTAGTCTGAAGAGTACTAGATCACTATGTTCTACTGTAACTGTATCATAGTTCAATAATGGTTCATAGGAAGTTTTGAATTTCTGTTAGACGGAGGACATAGTTTACAATATTAATGTTAAGATGTGTTCTTTTATAAAGAAGAAATATGAAATATATGTTACTTATTTAACAATGTTTTCGGAGGAATAATAATACTTCTGTATATTAGGAATAAAAGGACAAATGAGATAACTCAAGCAAGTGTTATATATATCTTCAAATTAACCTTCATTGCTTGATAAGAAATGTACTCATTATCTTGCCCATGTAATTGTAACCCCTCTGTACAGTATTTTCACACACACACAAAAAACAAAAAACAAATTGACCTTCATAATAACTAACAAATGAAAACATGCCAACTGCAATGCAATGTGGTCTATGCTTAATGTCTAATCATTGTTCCTTTGTTAAATAAAGGAATACATATACTATCATCCAAATAGTAGAAAGGAAGAAAGGGACTTCATATGGGGTTTTACTATGTGCTCAAGTCCTTATTAAGCATTCATAAAGAATACTTGGGGCTGAGTGCTGGTGGCTCACATCTGTAACCCTAGGTATACAAGTGGCTGACAGATTCATGAAATTTTTGTATCTTTTTGAGTAACCAGCCAAAATTCAGAAGTGGACGTGAGGGGTAGGGGAGTCAGAAGTGGAAGTGTAGCTCAAGTGGTACAAAGCCAGCCTTGAGCAAAAACAAGTGAGAACATGAGGTTCTGAGTTTAAGACACAGGATCTGCACAAACAGAACCTCTGGCTGAGCATGATAGCACATGCCTTTAATCCCAAGGTAGGCTGGTATATGAAGAGTAAGAATTTGAGTTTGGGCTCGTTTATATGAGACTAATGTCTCAAAAAATAACAACAACAAACAAACCCTAAAATATCTGAGTAAAGTGACACATTCAAACCTGTAATCCCAGCTACTCAGAGGTCAGAAACAGGAAGGTCTCAAGTTCAAGGCTAGCCAATGTGAAATTAGGAGACTATCTCAAAACAAAACACAACAAACAAAAAAGGTTTGTTGAAGGAGGCATGACTCAAGTCTACTATGCACTCAGCCCTGGATTTAATTCTGAATACTACACAACAAAAACCAAAACCCTACCAAACCTTGATACTGACAGAGAGACTCTATTTAGACCATATTCATCCTTTTTTGTCCCCATTAGCCCAACTCCTTCTTACTAGTACCCATGCCCTCAACACAGCATGTTGACAGATAATTTCCACAGCCATCCACTCCTTTATAACACCAAGGTTGTTAAAAAAAAATGTTGGGCTGGGAAGGTGGCTCAGTGATATAGCGCTTGCCTTGCATGCATGAGGCCCTGGGTTTGATTCCTCAGCACCACATAAGCAGAAAAACAAAAGCTGGAAGTGGCACTGTGGCTCAAATGGTAGAGCGCTAGCCCTGAGCTGAAGAGCTGAGGGACAGCGCCCAGGCCCAGAGTTCAGGCCCCATGACCAGACCCCCCCCCCCCCCAAAAAAAAAAAAAGAAAGAAAAACAAATGTTACAGCGTCATTTCAGTCTTACTTACCCACAATAAAAGACTTCCAGGAGTACAAAAGAAAGCTTTGGCCAAACATAGATATGTACTCATTTACTTTGTTTCTTTTTTTCTACATATATAATTAACATCAATTAGTTCATTAAAAACGGAGGATGGGGCTGGGAAGGTGGCTCAGTGGTAGAGCGCTTCCCTTGCATGCCTGAGGCCCTGGGTTCGATTCCTCAGCACCATATAAGCAAAAAGAAAAAAGCTGGAAGTGGTGCTGTGGCTCAAGTGGTAGAGCGCTAGCCTTGAGCTGAAGAGCTGAGGGACAGCGCCCAGGCCCAGAGTTTAGGCCCCACGACCGGACCCCCCCAAAAAAAAAAAATAAATAAAAATGGAGGATGTTTCCTTTTTATGCATTCATATATGCATACAAGTTACTGCCACTCATCCTCCATAAATGCTTAATTTAAAAAGACTTATTCATCAAATTAACACTTTAATTTTCTTTCTAGAGACCTTACTCCATACATCTTGAGATCTTGATAACTCTTGTGTATATGCAAATATACACACAACACATACAAAGCTTTTATTTTATTCCCAAATATAGACAGGTTTATACAGGAAATGGCTAAAAGCAGGCTAACTTAAATATCTTCTATAATGTTCTTCCTTGGTAGAATATTTTATAAGAAATTTATAGAGAGGGGTGACAAAAAAAAAATGTACAGTACTCATTTCCTGATTTATGTAACTGTAACCCCTCTGTACATCACCTTTACAATAAAATTTAAATATATATAAATAAGAAATTTATAATATTTTCTTTATAAGAAATAAAGAAATATACATATGAAGAGGCACTTGGGTATTGCACCTTTGTGATTCTCTAAGACTATCTTCTTTCGGTCTCACTATATTTGAGTATCTACAATTCTGTGAAACAAACTCAATTCCTCAGTACCACATAAACAGGCCCTGAGCTCAAGTCCCAGACCGACAAAAAGATAAAAATATTATTAATTTGTTTTTTTCCTTTTCTGCTGACTCTGTATTCTTTATCTTATATATGGTGTACTCAGGTACCTATCAGTGCAAGGGTACAGGGAGGGCACAAAAATCAGAGGAAAAAGGATGAAAAGTGCAGCAGTGAAGAGCACTGGACATTGATGAACTATGCAACTCATGGGTGGAGATGGGAGGGAAGGAATGGAAGGGAACAGATGACAATATGTGGAAGGAAATGTACTTATTACCTGTTGTATGTAAAGGTAACCCTGTTATATATCACCTCTAAAACAACAATAAATTAGGGGGAAAAAAAGAGAAAGAAATAATAATGAAAATTGTGAGTTGAGTATATAGCTGAGTGGAAAATTTGTCTAGTATACACAAAGTGCCAGTGTCAAGTCTCAGCACAAAAGAAAAGTTTGTTATTTTATTTATTTATTTTTTGGGTTGTGGGCTTGAACTCTGGTCCTAGGCACTGTCCCTCAGCTCTTTAGCTCAAGGCTAGTGCTCTACCACTTGAGCCATAGCGCCACTTCCGGTTTTCTAGTGGTTTATTGGAGATAGAGTCTCGTGGATTTTCTTGCCTGGGCTGGCTTTGAACCGTGTTCCTCAGACCTCAGCCTCCTGAGTACCTAGGATTACAGGCGTGAGCCACTGGCGCCTGGTAAAAGACAAGTTTTAAAGCTTGTCTGGAATAGAAATGAAGCTCAGTGGAGGAATAATTCCTTAGGATTCATGAAGCCCATCAAGAAGGAAGAAAGGGGGGCTGGGGAGGTGGCTCAGTGGTAGAGTGCTTGCCTTGCATGCATGAGGCCCTGGGTTCGATTCCCCAGCACCACATAAGCAAAAAGAAAAAATCCAGAAGTGGCGCTATGGCTCAAGTGGTAGAGCACTAGCCTTGAGCTGAAGAGCTGAGGGAAAACGCCCAGGCCCAGAGTTCAGGCCCCACGACCGGACCCAAAAAAAAAAAAAAAGAAGGAAGAAAGGGAGGAGAGCAAGAGCAACAAACAAGGGCTGCCTCTTGCTGAACATGTATTGCTAATTTCTTACCTCTAAAATAGTACTCTTAGCTATATCTTTAGCATTTAAAAAAATAATAAACTTAGTTTTCCCTAAAGGTCTAGTCTAAAATTCAATCTGTTCTTCAAAATGTAAGCATGGTTATAATTGACTTTCTTTCTTTCTTTTTTTGTTGGTCCTGGGCACTGTCCCTCAGCTCTTCAGCTCAAGGCTAGTACGCTCTACCACTTGAGCCATAGTGCCACTTCTGGTTTTTTAGTGGTTTATTGGAGATAAGTGTCTCGGGGACTTTCCTTCCCCCAGCTGGCTTTGAACCATGATTCTCAGATTTCAGCCTCCCAAGTAGCTAAGATTACAGGCATGAGGCACCGGTGTCTGGCTAATTCTTTTTTTAATATTTTTCTTTTGCTGGTCCTGAGGTTTGAACTCAGAGCTTGGGAGCTGTCCCTGAGCTTTTGTGCTCAAGGCTAGTGCTCTGCCACTTAAGCCACAGCTTCAGTTCCAACTTTTTGGTGATTAACTGGAGATAATAGTTTCAAAGACTTTCTTGCCCAAGTTGGCTGACTTCAAACCACAATTCTCAAATCTTAGCCTCCTGAAAGGCTAGGATTACAGGTATGAGCCACCGGCGCCCAGCAGGTTTTAAATTCTTTGATGATGTTGACCACTATGATTGCCATAAATATATAAAGATAAAACTTTCAAATACTATAAAAATTTTCCAAGCCAGGGAGCCAGTGGCTCACACCTGTAATCCTAGCTACCCAGAAGGCTGAAATCTGAGGATTAAGATTCAAAGTCCCTCCCCACTGCTAAAAAAAAAAAAAAAAAAAAGCCAGCCCAGGCAGAAAGTCAGAGAGACTCTTATCTCCAATAAACCACTAGAAAACCGAAAGTGCTCCTGTGGCTCAAATGGTAGAGTGCTCATCTGAGCTGAAGAGTGCAGAAACAGCACCTAAACCCAGAGCTCAAGCCCCACTACCGACCAAAAAAAAAAAATTCCAGTATAGGAAATACTCTGGAAACAGGTAATACAGAACAATGCACAGATATTATTGATTGTAAGGCTAAAAGATACTTTTATGCCATAAAGTAGTAGTTCTCAATGAAGTACGAGGGGCAGAAAGGGACATTTGACAGTGTCCAGACATGTTTGACAATTACAATGGGAAGATGCTATTGGTGTCCTTTAAGTGAGGAGTCAGAATATTGCTAAACATCTTACAGTACACAAGACATTTCCTACAACAATTAATCCAAAATGCTGATAGTGCTGATTAGAAACACTACCAGAATCAGTAAATTCAGAAATCAAGACAAGGAAGTAACTCTTAAACTCAAAGATAATACAACACACACATACACACAAACTTAAACAACTAGACTTACATTAATTTGTTTTTTTTCAACAAGAATATATTCTAGATCACATTTTTTCATAAAATGGGTTGATAATAATGGTGGTGAATCTGGGTCAATAGGAGTATAAGCAGCAGGAACCTGGAGAATTCTAAGGAAACAAACACAACAGTCAGCATAGAACTGTCTAGTGACTATAATCATCTCAGAATCATTGCTATTTCTCTATTCCCATCACTCGTTACCAGAAATTCCCAATGTTTGTAAGAATACGTCTTTGGTTAAATATTATTTTTTTTTTTGCCTGTCCTAGGGTTTGAACTCAGGGCCTGAGCACTCTTCCTGAGCCTTTTTGCTCTAACTAGTGCTCTACCATATAAGCCACAGCTCCACTTCCAATCTTTTAGTGGTTAACTGGAGATAAGATTCTCACAGACTTCCCTGCTTGGGCTGGCTTTGTCCTGCAATTCTCAGATCTCAATTTGTTGAGTAGTTAAGATTACAGGCATAAGCCACCAGTACCTAGCTTCATCTTGCTCTTAATGAGAATCTGAAATAGTATAAAATTCTTTAGTAAGTTATTATCACTTCATATAAGCATATGAGTTTTTTTTAAAGTACAGGTATTACAGCATAGTAGCTTGATTAACTGGCCACCAAACAGAAAACAGAATCTAATTTCTTCATGTGTCTATACAAGATAACACTAAAGAAGCTAAACATTCATAGGAAACTTACTAAAAAAAAGTGTATTTTATCAATCAGAATAATGTAATGAGGGGATAAAAAGCCACCTTTTAATTTTTGTATGTAGTAACACTTACATTAAAAAAATCAAGGATCAGGAAGTCACTTTAAGCAAAAATACTTTGAAGGCCAGGGGTTGATGTCTCATGCCTGAAATCCTAGCTACTCAGGAGGCTAAAATCTGAGAAACATGGTTCAAAGCCAGCCTAGTAAAGTAAGTCCAGAAGACTCTTACCTCCAAATAACTAGCAAAAAAAACCCAAAAAGTAAAGGTGTAACTCAACTGATATAACACCAGGCTCTGGCAATAAAGCTAAGGGAAGAATGGTGAGGCCTGGAGTTCAATCCCAATACAGATACAAAACAAAACAAAACAAAACAGGTAAAACAAATCATTGCACATAAACTTTTTGGTCAAGTGATTGAATGAGAAAACCTTGTAACATTCGTCAGCTTACATATTAATCTACTAAGACATATGAGACAAATATCAACCTCTGTAATTCTTTGGAAGCCCTTATTTACTTACAATACCCAAGAATATTAAAAAAAAATCACTCTAAGAGGATAATCTATTAGCAATTTAAATGATTAAATATCATTCCAAGCCGGGCGCCGGTGGCTCACACTTGTAATCCTAGCTATTCAGGAGGCTGAGATCTGAGGATCATGGTTCAAAGCCAGCCTGGTCAGGAAAGTCTGTGAAATTCTTATCTCCAATCAACTACTCGAAAACCAGAAGCAGTGCTGTGTCTCAAACAGTAAAGTGCTCACCTTGAGCTGAAGAGCGCAGGGACAGCGCCCAAGCCCAGAGTTCAAGCCCCACAACCGACCAAAAAAAACCCAAAAAAACAAAAACCATCATTCCACAGGGCACTAGTGGTTCACACATACTCAAGAAGCTGAAATCTGAGGATCACGGTTTGAAATGAGCCCAGGAAGATATAATCAAGGGACTCATTAACCAGCAAAATGCCAGAAATGGAGGTATGGCTGAAGTGGTAGATCATCAACTTTGATGGAAAAAGTTGAGTAAGAGCTTAAGGCCCTAAGTTCAAGCCCCAGTACCAGAACACATACATATACACAATACTTCTTTGAATAAGTGTCTTTCAATAGATTCATATTTCATTTTGGGGGTGGAAGGATTGCTGAGGATGGAATTCAGAGCAAGTGTGCTACTACGCTGCTACATACTGATACCTCACTTTTCACATTTAATGGACTAATCATTTAATATTCTCATTCATTCACTGACTACCTACACACCTAAAACCTCAATGGTGGAATAAAACAAGTCACATTATTTCTGAAATTGTTTTATTTGCTCTAACAACAAATTGTTGTAAACTGTTATATCTCTTTCTCTTTGACAGATAAATGAAGCCCAGATATTTTGGACATATTTAAATATTCTATTAGAAAAACCTTTTAATTTCTCCTAAATAAGCTCAGATTAATTTATATGGATAAAAATAATACTAGGAAAATGTGAACTCCTTGAGCCTCTTTAAGACTGAATAAGCAGCTGGGCACTGATGGCTCAATCCTGTAATACAAGCTACTCAGGAGGCTGAGATCTGAGGATCACAGTTCAAAGCCAGCCTGGGGAGGAAAAGTCTATGAGACTCTTATCTCCAATAAATACTCAGAAAAAGCCAGAATTGGCACTGTGGCTCAAGTGGTAGAGCACTAGCCTTGAGTACAGAAAGTCTGAGGGACAGAGCCCAGGCCCTGAGTTTAAGCCCAGCAAAAACTGAATAAGCAGTACAGTACAGAAAAATCCAATACCTAAGTGGTAAAGCAGTTGCCTAAAACATAAGATGCCCTGGGCTCCATCCCTAGTACCTCAACAACAAATAAAAACTATGATAGTAAGTAGAACAAAAATTTGCAATGTGCTCTATGTATTACTAGTTACATCTTAGAGTAATATCAATATTAAATTTATTAAAAAATTACCCTAATATCCAGGAGGGTAAGTTTATCCCAGGTTCACAGTAGAGACCAATTTCTTGAATTCCTTGAAAATCACAGTGTGAAAGAAGAAAATTGGACAGTTCTGAAGCAGTATTAACCACAGTCTTATAGGTATAATAAATTGGAGGCTGGTTGTTACATTCATCAAAACATACAGCCACTTTGTCCAAATAAAGGGAGGCAGCTTGATGCACCAAGTCCTGAAGAGTCATTTTACTGAAGTTCATCGAAACAATCAATGTCAGAGAATTCTATATGCACAGAAAAAGGCAAGGAATAGGATGAGTTTTAGAGATTGCAGGAGAGAGGAAGAAATATCTCTGTAATTGCTCCTCTCAAAAAGAACTATCACTGGACCAGACTGTAAATTATGGTAAGAGTACTTGCCCAGCACTTGAGGTCCTGGGTTTGATCCCTTGCACCACAAAATAAGCAAACAAACAAAAAAGGCTGGAAGTCTGGCTCAGAGGTTTAACGAGCATAAGTTGCTGAGTTCATAACCCAGCACAGCCAAAAAACCAACCAACCAAACAAACAAAAAGCGATATCCAAGATACATAATTAAAGAAGCTTTGGACTTAGGAAATGTGCATGGTAAGTGTTGAGAATAATGAGACTGAAAATTAATCTTATACAGTTAAACTAACACTATATCAGAGATCAGCTTTTCTTTTTTTTGGGGGGGGGGGGGAGGGTCCGGTTGTGGGGCCTGAACTCTGGGCCTGGGCACTGTTCCTCAGCTCTTAAGCTCAAGGCTAGCACTCTACCACTTGAGCCACAGCACCACTTCCAGCTTTTTTTTTTTCCTGCTTATGTGGTGCTCAGGAATTGAACCCAGGGCATCATGCATGCAAGGCAAGCGCTCTACCACTGAGCCTCCTTCCCAGCCCCTCAGCTTTTCTTTTGAAGAGATGTTATACACATAAATAAGAATGAAACAGGAAAAAATGTAGACTTCTTTTCCAATTGGTTAAATTAACTAATAAAACCAAATTTTTTCATCTCCAATTTTAATATTTTTATTGTAAAAGTGATGTACAGAGGTGTACAGTTACATAAGTCAGGTAATGAGTACATTTCTTTTTGAAAAGTGTCACCTCTTCCCTCATTTTCTTCCAGTTTTTTTCCCTCCCAAACTCCCAATAAAACCAAATTTAAACAAATGTTTTCAAAATGTTCCTTCAGTTACTGTTAGAGATTAATCAAACTTTTAAATGGCAATCTTAAAATAATTAATGCAAATAAAATTCTTCTTTTACATCACTGTAGAAAGTAAGTGAAAGTCTTTTTTTTTTTTTTTAGTGTTGAGGACTAAACAGAACCTTATGCCTGCTAGCAAACACTTTACTAAGCTACACCCTCAATCCCAAAATCAATCTTGGATAAAGAGAAAAACCTCACACTACTACATCCATCCAGTTTTAGACCTATTTATAAAATTTTTATTTATCAATATAGCTATTTTTATTTTTAAGAAGCAGGCTCTTCATAGTTCCTCTTTTGGGTTTTTTTTTTTTTTTCCTGGTTGGTCATGAGGTCAGTCGTGGGGCCTGAACTCTGGCTCTGGGCCTGGGCACTGTCCCTTGAGCTCTTCAGCTCAAGGCTAGTACCCTATCACTTGAACCACAGCGCCACTTCTGGATTTTGCTGCTGAGGAATACAACGCAGAGCCTCAGGCATGCAAAGCAAGCACTCTACCACTAAGCCACCTTTCCAGCCCCTATTTTATTTTTGTCAGTCGTGGGATTTGAACTCTGGGCCTGGGCACTGTCTCTGAGCTCTTCAGTTCATTGCTAAGGCTCTACCACTTCAGCCACAATGCCACTTCTGGTTTTCTGGTGATTTATTGAAGAGCCTCACAGACTTTCCTGCCCGGGCTGGCTTTGAACCATGATCCTCAGATCTTAGCCTCCTGAATAGCTAGGATTATGGCATAAGCCACTGGCACCCAGCTGTGAGGATTTTTTTAACCCTTACTCTTTCTTTGATGGAGTATTATTTTAAATATTTTAATATTTTGTATAATCTGCTTTGTGAAGCCCAGAAAATACTGTATTGATATATAGTAATGCAGTATTAACTTCTAGTACCATATTTAGGATCTCAAATGATGACATAAAAGTTTAAAAAGTAGGAACTGCATGAGGCCCTGGGTTTGATTCCTCAGCACCATATAAACAGAAAAAGCCAAAGTAGTGCTCTGGCTCAAGTGGTAGAATGCTAGCTTTGGGCTGAAAAGCTGAGCAACAGCGCCCTGGCCCAGAGCCAGAGTTCAGGCCCCACGACTGACTAAAATTAAATAATAAAAAAAATTTTTTTTTCTCGTGTCCAGTCGTGAGGCCTGAACTCTGGGCTTGGGCGCTGTCCCTCAGCTCTTCAGCTCAAGGCTAGCGCTCTACCACTTGAGCCACAGCACCACTTCTGGCTTTTTTCTTTTTGCTTATGTGGTGCTGAGGAATCGAACCCAGGGCCTCAGGCATGCAAGGCAAGCGCTCTACCACTGAGCCACCTTCCCAGGCAAAAATAAAATTTTTTAAAAAATCCTCACAATTACTAGTGTTTCTTTGAAGGTAAAAGCAACTCTTCCTCTGAACTCTATTTTCCATATTTCACAGCAAATAAGATTTATCAAACATCCTATTTTCCATTATTTAAGTTTTTTATTTGTTCATAAAGTGATTTCCTTTCTGTTCCAAAATAAACTTTCATTCATGTTAACACCACTGAGAGAATAAAACATTCTTAAATCAAGAAAAGTGAACCAATAATGGTTAAAACCCTAAATTTTGATAATGCCTTAATTTCCAAATACAAAGCTTAAAATAGACTTTTATTTTTGTACTAAAACTTATAATATTCCTTCAAATATTAACTTGTTCCAAGATTTAATTCAAGCTTTCTGCAGACACACAATCATTATATAAGTGTAAGAATCATAACATACACTACAATTACAGGAGGGAGCCTACTTTGCAATGTAAAATTGGTGAGAGGTACCTTCTGCTCTCTCCAGAGCACATGAGCACCAAATTGCCTATACTATCTAATGTAATATACTGACATACTTAATGTGCACAACAGTCGATTTCTCCAGAAGAGAGAGATCTGATTATCAGACTACTTAAAATCACTGCACTAGGCTTAGAAAATAGTTAAGAAAACGACAGCTTATGGCAAATTATAACACTCACCATACATATCTATACAAGAACTGTTTTTAACTTCCATGTTCTCAGTGGCAAAACCCAATCTCAGGTTTTTCATTCATCGAATCATGAATACACAGACTCCTATGAATACTCCACTCATTCGATGCCCAGACATTTGGGGACCTTTTAGGAACGAGAAAGGAAAGACTAGTAAGTATATTACATGTGTAATAGTATCAAATTCAAGTTATTTTACATTATAACTCGAGAAGCTGCTTTTTTTGGGGGGGGGGTGGAAGGGTTCCTCACTAGGTTACTGGGTAAGTAATCTAAGGGCTTTATTTTCCTTTTTTCCGCCTGCATGTTAATTTGTGCAACTAAGTTTAAGAGTAACGAATGCACTGTACAGCTTCAAACATTCGTGCAAGTCCACACTACGGAGGGTGCGGAATGGGAAGCGGTGGCCCCCGAGCTCACGCAGGTCGGTCGGCAGCTCGCTCGCACTAGCTCACCGGGCTCCACAGATCCAAGTCCTAGGCCCCGAAGTGCTCTCGCAGCTCAGCAAGAGCCCGCCAATGCCTCCCCCATTCCACCTCCATCTCACCACCCCGCGTGCCGCCACGACACCCGTAAATGACCAGGAGGCGGGGCGGCCCGACCAAACTACACCTTGGCCTCTACCATAGCCTGGACCATTCCCACGCGGGAGCAGCCATCTCCCGGCAGCCGTAAAGCCAGCCCGCCGCGCAGCTCCGCACGTCAATTTTCCGCGTCGCCTCGATGACGTCACGCCCGCGACCCAGGGCTGTTGCCCCGCCCCCTTTCCCAGGGCGTCCTGATTGGACTGGATTGGATTGGATTGCAGAGCCAGAAATGGTTTGCCTGGGTTTTGGAGCTGGCCGGCTGGGAGCCGTAACCTTTCAGGCGTGCCAGAAATTCTAGGCAAGATTCTTCTTTTTTCGTCGGCCGTGGGGCTTGAATTTGGGACCCGAGAGCTGTCCTTGAGCTCTTTCTTATTTTTTCTTCGAGGCTAGTATTCTCCCACTTTGATCCACGTCTGCCTTTCTGGTGGTTTAGTAGAGATAGAATCTTGTGGACTTTCCTGCCTGAGCTGGCTTCGAACCGTGAGAATCAGATCTCAGCTTCCTAAACAGCTAGGGTTTGCAGGTATGAGCCGCTAACGCCCGGCTGGGCAAGGTTCTTGAATGTTAAAAGTTGCAGTCATCTCGATCAGAAAGTGAGGCTGCAAAAATCTAAGGTTGGTGTGAGGACATCATTGCAAAATACAAGGGGGACTGACCATGGTCTGTGGGCCTGCCCAGGATTGATGGGGACTCCAATGGCAGGTGGTAACAAGAATAGAAGTCCCTGTCATGATGAAGTTGATATTCTCATTGGAGATGCTTGGAAATGATAACTGAGAAAATCTGAAGCTTTTTAGTAGGACCCCTGACAAAACAAAACAGGCTTGAGATGGACATTTCCCTAATCCACCCACCTGAACAGATTTCCAAATGATTTGTGAGAGCTTTAGACCTGTTAATTACTACAGTGTGAAATTACTCCAGTATTATTTTATATTTATTACAGTGTGTTGGTACCCGCCCAGCAGGGGGAAAAAGATTGGGTTTTTTGCTTGTTTTCTTGGAGTGAGAGGTAAGGGCACCATGGACTAGACTTGAAAAAAACATAAGAGGAATATTTATTGGTGACCAGAAACCACACCAGAGGTCCAAGCAAGAAATACTGCCAGTTGGCAAAAGTATTTTCCCTCAGAGTAGCATGCCCAGGGCTCCTCAAACCTGCATGGCCTTTTTTTTTTGTAAAAGAAAACTCATTTCTTAATAAACTTTTCAATCTTTTTAGCTGTTTTTCATCCTGACTCCCAGATGCTCATTTGATAAGTTTTTAAGGGAGTTTTGTAATATACTTATATTTAATCCTCTCTAGCATTGACTTGAATTTGCATGTGACTGGTTAGAAATAGTTGGTTACCTGGTTCTAGAACCGTTTTTTTTTTTTTTTTTTGTTTTGGGTTGGTTGTGGTTCTTGAACTCAGGACATGGGCCCTATCCCTGAGCCTCTATGTTCAAGTTTAGCCCTCTATTACTTGAGCCACAGCACCACTTCCAGTTTTTGAGTCGTTAGTTGGGGATAGTCTCATGGTGACTTTTCTGCCCATGGTCCTCAACTCTCAGCTTCCTGAGTAGCAAGGATTATGGACATCCGGCCTAGAACTTCCTTTCTATTATCCTTTTTGAATGATTACTACTTTAAAAATCCCTTTACAAGATGCCGGGATGTAGCTCCTCAGTGGTACAGCATTGGCCAAGAATAAAGAAAGCCTGAGCTTGATCCCCAGCCTATAAATACATACATATATAAATCTGGCCTTAAAAAAGTGAACACAAGCTGGGCACCAGTGGCTCTCACATTTAATCCTAGCTACTCAAGAGGCTGAAATCTGAGGATCACGCAGTTCAAAGCCAGCCCAGGCAGGAAAGTCCGTGAGAATCATATCTCCAATAAATCACCAGAAAACCAGAAGTGGTGCTGTAGCTCAAGTGGTAGAGCACTGGCCTTGAGCTGAAGAGCTCAGGGACAGAGACCAGGCCCAGAGTTCAAGCTCCACGACTGACCAAAAATAAAAAAAAAAGAACACATATATAGACATTTGTGGATTATACATTTTGATTTGGTAATCAAGACTAATCAAAGTCATATCCTTCATGGCACTCTCCAAGAATAAGAAGCTTTAGGTAGTTCTCATTGTCAGCATCATTAACCATTTTTTGGACACAGGTCTCCCTATATAGTTTAGACTGGCTTTTAAGATGAGATCCTCCTGCCTCAGACTCCCAAATCTGAGATGTCATATATGTACTACCACACCCAGCTTATAGTCAACCTTTTTTAGAAAGGTAAACAAGTGTGCTGGAATAACAGGTGCCCTGAGATTGAAGAAAAGGTAGGCAGATGGAGACTTACTGATAAAAGCATAGTGTCCAGTGGATCTTTGTGAACTGGGAAGGCTTATATAACCGTTAGGACAAATGGGCCTTCATTCAGGCAGAATCACACCTGTAATCCTAGTTACTCAAGGGCTAAGATCCAAAGGATTGCAGTTCAATGTCAGCGCAGGTAGAAAGGTTGATTAGACTCTAAAATCAAGCTAGGTACATGACTCAAATGGTAGAGTGACAGCAGTGCAACAGGCCAACAAGTACAAGGCCATGAGTACTAGCAAACACACACACACACACACACACACACACACCCCTCAAATGGTAGAGTGACAGCAGTGCAGCAGGCACACACACACACACACACACACACACCCCAAAACCAAAAAGTGACTTTTTTCAGGCTGGAACATACCTGGCTTATCTGGAGCCAATATTAAGGCACATTACTAGCCCTGATGGCACCAGGGACTGGGTTGTAACACTACATATAGCTCTAATGAGGTTTTGTCTATAGTTAACTGCAGAAAATACAACCAGGGCTAGCATTCATGATGGTTTATTGCTCAAGATGATTAGTCAGGTTTAGTTAAATACCTTTATTAAAATAGGTTTAGTTAAATACCTTTATTAAAATAGTTCATTTTATTTCTAGCCTTATGTCTCACATCAAGCTAGTACTACCATACCCCCACCTTCTCCATTGCCACACCTGTTAATTAAGTTCTGACCATAATGAAATGCCAGAAAGGCTTTTGAACATACCAACTCCTTATCATATTTCTACAACCATGTTTTGGCTGGTTCTCTGGCTGAAAATATCTCCCTAGGGCTTGAAAACACCCCTTCTCCAGAGTTGCATATCTTCAAGCCCTTTAAAGTTATGAATCCTCTTCTTACCGCTATCCCAACAAGCCCAGTGTAATTTTGAGAGGCCCTGTGTCACAGGTTGTGTCCCTGAACATACTTGCTAGTTTTGCCAAGAATGCAAAGTCCCAACAACTGTTTATCCAGGTCACTTTTCAGTTTTTCAGGGGACATTAATCAGAGTTGAAGAGAAATCTACCCCATGAAAAGAGCAAACTTGTTCCCACTTACTCTAAAAGTAGATCACTCTCCTACTATGCATGTATGCATACATCCATCTAGACCCACCTTCACCACCGATGTGTGATGTAGTGGCATGCAAAACTGGTTCATCCATGAAGCAATGGCCTCTCAGGGTAAGTTTTACTTTCAGGAAGTTGGTGTATTACTACTTCATTCATTCATGTTTGTGTTGGTCTTGGCACTTGAACATGGGGCCTGGGCATTGTCCCTGAGTTTTGCTCAAGGCTAGCACTCTCCCACTTGGAAGTACAGCTCGCCTACTGCTTTTGGTGGTTAACTAAGAGATCTGCTTCAGTTTTTTCTGCCTAGGCTGGTTTCTAATCATGATCCTAAGATCTCAGCCTTCTGAGTAGATAGGATTACAAACCTGAGCCACCAATACTCACTTTTTCATTTATTTTTTTGACAGGGTCTCTCTGTTTAGCTCACAAACTGGCCTCAAGCTCATGATCCTATTGCCTCATCATCCTGAGTGCTTGAACGTCTAATTAGTGCTACTGTCTCTGCCATGAGTAATTATTTCTTTGACACAGATCTCTTCTATTGCAGTGAATAGAGTAGCATGATCTTACTGGCTTTTTATATGTAGTCTTTCCCTAGCAATAATACATATATCAACCCGTTTCCTGTCCTCTTACTCTTTTCCATTCCATTTACATTGGAATTTCCACGGACTAAATGCCCACCTCTACACCTTGATCGACTGGCACTTTTACTCATTTCACAGCTTCTTTTTACCCAATTATGTACTCATCTCTCAGGAATCAAAATCACCATTTCCTTCAAACAATTCGATTTGTTTTGCAGAAGTATTTTGAAATTCCTTAACCTTATTCCCAAACAAGATTAGGTAGTTGTTAGGTGCATTTGTATTAGCACATACCACAACTGGGATAATGGTACACTGTGTAATTTATTCTAACAGTGTTTAGTTGCTCAAGAGAAAGGAATGAAAATTGTTGGGTTCATCCATATATGTATTTTGACAGTCGACTGTAGAAGTAAAATGGAAGGGTAAAGGAAGACAGTTATTTGCAAGAGAAGAGCTACTATATTAGACATTCTTCAGAAAAACAGAACCTTTAGTATATCAGAAGAAAACAAATAACAGATTGGTCTTAAGAACTTGACTCACAATTGTAAGGGTTGCTAGATATGATATCTACAGGGCAGGATAACAGGTTCGTTTAGGTAAAAGTTGAGTTTATAGCCTTGAGTTCTATTCTACAGACCAACAGGGCAGAAACTCAGGCAACGTTTCTACTTACAGTCTTCATGATTCATTCCATCTTCCAAAACCCTCAGTCTTAAAACCTTCAACTGAGAACTTTCTGCTCTTAAAGACGAACTACTGAGCCCCATAATCCAACCTAGTAGATGGCTAAAACAACTATCACATCTGTCAGTGTCTATTAGTATGTCAACAATAGGGCCAAAAAAGCCAGTTTTCAGTAAACAAATTCAGATTAAGGAAGAACACTTGAAATTTCCTTTGTGAAGTAATTTTCCCAAAGTACCTAAAGTTCAACATCATAGATTATTCTGTGGGAGATTCCAAAAAGGTTAAAGCCTTGATTCCTGATGTCCCAAAACTTCTCAGCTATACAATAAATTTTGCACACAAAAACGTAGATTCAGTGGCTCACGCCTGTAATCCTATCTACTGAGGAGGCTGAGATCTGAGAATTACAGTTCACAGCCAGCAGGGGCAGAAAAGTCCATGAGACTCTTATCACCAATTAACCACCAGAAAACCAGAAGTGGTGCTGTGGCTAAAGTGGTAGAGCACTGACCTTGAACTGGAGACTGCAGGAAAAAGCACCCAGGCCCAGAGTTCAAGCCCCACAACTGACCAAAAAAAAAAAAAAATAGATTCACATTGCAAACTGTCTGAGAAATGTATAACTTGTTTTCCTAGGCCATGAAAACCGATGCCTAATACATACTAGTGAAACAATTACTTAAAATATACACTAAGGGTTTAAAGGTGGACAGATTCCTAACTATGTTTAATATATTAAATGTATTATTTTCTTTTTATGTTGTTAAAAGATGTGATCTAGAATCTTTTTATTATTTAAAAAAGCGTCAGACACTGGTGGCTCAGGAGGCTGAGATCTCAGGATCATGGTTCTTAGATAGCCTGTGACTCTTATTTCCAATTAACCACCAAAAAGTAAGAAGTGGAGCTGTAGTTCAGTAGACAGAGTAGTAGCCTTGAGTGAAAAAGTCAAATGATCTTTGTTGCTTTGTATGTCCCTCTCCCCTGGTATAATCCCTGCTTTCATTGTATTTGATGTTGTTATAATTTGTGGAGGGAAAGGGAAAAAACAAATTGTTTAAATAGGGATACAGGTGGACCCATTGCAACAATGAGAAGTACAAGGTACAAGTTGCTATGTCGAAAACGAACTTTACAACTTTGGTGGGGGGGGGGGGGCAGAAAGGAGGGTGGAGTGGGGGGGTGGGGGAAGATGGGATGGGAAGGGGAAGACCTCGAGTTTAAGCCTCAGGGCTTCAATGGATGAATGAATGAATGAAAGAGCAGTTTTAGGTTAGCAGAAAAACTGAGCAGAGGGTACAGACTTCCCATGTGCTCTTGCCCACACATAATCCTGACCACTGCCAAGTGCCTTCAGCAATGTGACACATTTCTTAAAGCTATGAGAGAACCATGCACAGCGTAGTTTCAAGACCCTAAAAACCCTAAGTTCCACCTATTCAACCTTCCCCACTAATTTCTAACATCCATTTATTATGTCCAATTTTATCCACTTACCTATTTTATTTTGATTTTAAAACCACTTCAACACATATACACTGAAAATCTAAATCTCAGTTACCCCATATTTCCAAAGGATGTTTCTACAATAGTACTTACTTGGCATTGCATTTTGTAATTACTTTATTTGACCCCTGTACTCAACCAGAACTTTTACTGAACTCGTAATAGATGGTGTATTTATTGAAATGTCTGGATTAGGGAAATAAGATCTGACTACTAGGTACTAAGTATGGGGAGCCTGGATGTTGTCTTTATACTGTTTATACCATAATGAACTATAACTATTAAAAAAAACAGTACACCATATGTAAACATATTTATAACATATATTTGTCACCAGCAGATCACAAAGAGGTAACAAAGGTTTACTTAAGTTTATAATACAAATCCTGTGAAAACAATTTCTCATCTTCTCGGCAGTTCACAATATTCTATTTATATAAATTTAAAGCAGTTATCACTTAAAACTCATTTTTTAAAAAAATCAGTAATTTAATTCACACTTCAGAAACGTGAAATGAAGGACTGGGTGGGGAAATATTAAGAAACCTGTAGAATTACCAAACTGTCACAGCATTATTTTCTTTTATAAAACATCCCAACACAACAAAATAAACATTATGGAAAACATGATGTTAAACATTATGGAAAACATGATGTTAAATCAGAGATTTTTTGGCTTAGTTCTGTCCCTGAGTCTCTTGTTTTTAAAAAATCAAATTTAATAAAGGCTATTTCATAACTGACACACAGCTCTTATCTCTATACTGCATGGGGAATACATTAAGACAAGAGGCTATACATGCTGAAATGGTCCCAGAAATGTCATTTTGCTTGTGTCTCTGTTGCAGGGTTATCTGAGCCACTGATGCACATAATCCTAAAGAACTATCAGCATGTCTCTTAAGCTGCTAAAATATACCATGTGAAACTACAAATCAAAAAAGAATTATATCAGTTATTAATAAATATTAAATTTCTAAATGGATCTGTAAACTATATACACTAAATTGTGGTAATATACCATAGGAACAAACACTTTTGATGCTTCCAGAAAGTGGCTGTCTCCTTAATCTTAAAATTGGCCCACATTTCCATTTAATAACTTAATTTCAATCATTATGTGTTTATAATACATACACAGGTATATAGTCTTGCAAATGATAAAAAACTGGATTTAAGAAGCACATTCTGAATCAAATTAAGACTAATTGCTGGAATTTAAAACTTTGCTATTTATCTCAAATTTACTTGCTAGGCTTATGTTGTTAGGGCACTAAATGTAGATCACCTTTTCTAGTCAAGTATGGCAAAATGTTCTCTATAAACAAATCTGTACAACCATCTTAGGGCATTTCAAAGAGACATAGTAATCTGTCCAACTGTACATTTCATCATAATGTAATCTCCATTGCAAACTCAATTCAAAGAAGCTAACGATCACTAGCTTTTCAAAAGCTGCTGCTGATGCAGTATCCTAAAATGATGCATTCTTATTCACTACAATAAGTATCTCATTGTATAGATGGGATATTGAGGCACAGACTTTTCTTTTTGACAGGGTCTTAAAGACTGTCTTTGAACTCAAGATTTTCCTGCGTCAGCCTCCCAACTTTCCATCGTATGCTAATTCCCTAAAATAATGGTGGGGGGAATAAGGCAGATAGAGAAACCAGCTTTGACTATAGACAGAACTGAACACCTATAATGAATTCAAACTTCACATGAATTGATATAGTTAACTAAACTGACCATGTCACAACTGCTAGTTTAACCTCTTGCAAAACTCTTAAGCATGGACTTGACAAATACCATTTAACTACCTGCCTTCTCTGACCAGGTGATAAAGATTAGCCAGTGCTTATACATATACACAGACATATATATGTATGTAAACACACACACATATATACATATACATGCATATATACATGCATGTATATATACATATACATACATATATATATAAAAGAAGTCCTGCATATGGAATCATATGCAATTAGAAGGTCAATTAGAAGACTTTGGTACCCTTTTCAGAAAAAAACTTCAAAACTTCTAAAGGCAAACTTAAGCATATGGCATTTTATTTTGTACTCATTAAGTAAATAATGTATAACCACTTTTTGACCAGCATTCTGTCTGGAAGTAACGTTATCTTTCTCTTAGCTACCATTCCAGTTCTACAGGGTATTTGCCAGTGAGACAAGCGGTACAATGACCAGACTTTTCAAAATATTCCAGACCATTTCCATTTTCTTGAATCCTAATGTCATGCTTTTTTACTTTCTCTTGCTTAAATTTTATCTTTTCTTGTACAGATGAAACCAGTCCTTCTACTGACAGATACACAACACTGTTTGCTCCTGCAGGGACAAAGAGGGAGAAACAGAAGGTTGAGAGAGTCCTTTAAAAGGAACAAATACTTTGACATAGCATAATGTCAGGAAAGAAATTCTTTTTAGCCTTTCTTAAAAAAAAAAAAAAAAAAAAAGATATAGTTGTACAGGTTTGTAGTATCAGTACGCTAAAGCAGAAAGATAAAAAGTTCAAAGCAAGCCTGCACAACTTGCTTGAGACCCTGACCCAAAAGTTAAAAGAAAAAAAAATGAACTGGAGATGTTAATCTACTAGTAGGCAGAGTGTTTACCTGGTAGTATGTATAAATACTCTGAATTTAATCCCCATAGTCAGAGAGGAGGAAAAAAAAGAAAACTCTAGACTCTTTTAATACTTTAATGGGAACAAAGGGTGTAAAATGACTAAAACAGCATAGAATGCTTCAAGCCTAAAAGGATTTAATAAGCATGATCAGAAGAATGATATCAGCAAAAAGTAACCTGGCTTGTACTTACTAAAGCACAGTTACTAAACATTTGATTTTTATTGGTTGGTTTTTATTTGTTGTGATGGTATTGGGGCTTGAACTCAGGGTCTGACAATCTACCTCAGCATTTGGTTCATGAAACTAAACAATTTAAGCCATGCCTACATTTCTGGTGTGTTGCTAGGTAATTGGAGGTAAGAGTCTACAGACTTTTCTGGGTAGGGTGGCATTGAACTGAGTAGCTGAAATCAGTGATATTTAGATAATTTATACTTTCTGTGATTTTAAATGTATGATTTCTTTTTTTTTCTTCTGGCCAGTCATGGAGCTTGAATTCAGGGCCTGAGTGTTGTCCTTGAGCTTTTCTTGCTTAAGGCTAGCACTCTACCACTTAAGCCACAGCTCCACTTCTAGCTTTTTTTGTGATTAATTAGAGATGAGAGTCTCATGGACTTTTCTGCCCAGGCTAGCTACCACCATCCTCAAATTTCAGCCTCCTTTGAATCTAGGATTTATAGGCCCGAGCCTATAAAGTGCCAGGCTTGTAAGATGTCTTATCCAGACTTCATTTTTATAATTAAGTCTACAATAAGCTTTTAACTTTTGAAACACATCCATATCTAATCATTCTATTAGAGCCTATAATAAAATAATGTTTTAATGATATGCCTGCAGCTCCTTCAAACCTCTTCTTCCTACTTGGACTGCACCTTGAAGTAACAGAGCATTTACTGTGGTGGGGATATAGTCTTTCAAAAGTGCTGAATATATATAACTATATAATTGAACACTAGGTGGCAAGTTTTAGATTTTCTATTAACAAGTATAAAAATTTGTGTGTGTGTGCCAGTCCTGGAACTTGAACTCAGGACCTGAGCACTGTTGCTGAGCTTCTTTTACTCAAAGCTAGTGCTCTAGCACCTGAGCCACAGTGCCACTTCTGGCTTTTTTTTGGTGGGTTGTGGGTCTTGAACTCTGGGCCTGGATTCTGTCCCTCAACTCTTCAGCTCAAGGCAAGCACTCTACCACTTGAGCCACAGCTTCACTTCTGGCTTTCTGGTGGTTAACTGAAAGATAAGAGTCTCACAGATGTTCCTCCCTGGGCTGACGTTGAACTGTGATCCTCAGACCTCAGCCTCTTGAGTAGCCAGAATTACAGGTATGAACCACCAGTGCCCACCTTTCTTCTGGCTTTTTTTTTTGGGGTCCGGTCGTGGGGCCTGAACTCTTGGGCCTGGGCGCTGTGCTGTCCCTCAGCTCTTCAGCTCAAGGCTAGTGTTCTACCACTTGAGCCACAGCTTATATGGTGCTGAGTAATCAAACCCAGGGCCTCAGGCATGCAAGGCAAGCGCTCTACCACTGAGCCACCTTCCCAGCCCCTCTTCTGGCTTTTTTGATAGCTAATTTGAGATAAGAGTCTCATGGACTTTTTTTGTCTAGGTTGGCTTACCAAGATCCTCAGATCTCAACCTGTTGGGCAACTAGGTAAACCACCAGCACCCTCCAAAATTGTATACCTTTTTTTTGTTGTTGTTGTTACTCCTGGGGCTTGTACTCAGGGTCTGGACACTGTCCCTGAGCTTCTTTTGCTCAAGGCTAGCATTCTACCCCTTGAGCCATGGCACCACTTCTGGCCTTTTCTGCTTATGTGGTACTAAGGAATCGAACCCAGGACTTCATGCATGCTAGACAGGTACTCTACCACTAAGCCACATTCCCAGCCCTGTATACAATTTTTAATACCTACCTAGGTATTCTGCAAGATGATCAAATTCTGGCTTGTTGGCAATCAGCTCTTCTTTTGTGGGAATGTTTATTCCCATAAAGCATGGATATCTAATTGGTGGTGAAGCTACTCGAATGTGTACCTTGAAAAGAAATTCAAACACTCAGAATAGTTATATGAAACTTTTCATTCATTATGCAACATAAAACTGACAGACAACACTGTAACAACATATAGGTATAAGGTAAACTATGAAACTTGTTTCACTGACCAATACATGACATTTTCATTTTCTTTTACCATCTATTAATAAAAGTTTTCTTTCTTTAGATCTCATTTAATGACTCTACATTCCTAGTGCTACTTTCATATTCTGTTAACACCTGGATTGTATCTTTGTCTCCCTTTTATTTTACCATATGAAATATAGAGCTATGATCCATTAAGTTGTAACAAATATCTACTATTTACTGTTATAGAACTATTTTTCCACTGGGCACAGGTGGCTCACACCTGTAATCCTAGTTACTAAGAAGGCTGAGATTTGAGGATTGTGGTTCAAAGCCAGCCCAGACAGAAAAGTCCTCGTGAGACTCTTATCTCCAATAAACTACTCAAAAAAGCTCAAAGTGGTGCTGTGGCTCTAGTGGTAGAGCGCTAGCCCTAAGACAAACAGGCTCAGGGATAGCACCTGGACCCTAAGTTCAAGCCCCAGAACCAGAGGGGAAAAAAAAAACTATTTTTTCCAATTATTTTTAAACTTAATCTTCAAAGAAATGTTATAACTGAGTCCTATTTCATCACACCACTACATTACTTTGTACCACATTTTGCTAAACTATTCTTCTAAAGATAGACATTTAAGCCATTTCTAAGTTCTTTGTTTTTTGTGTACTATGTCTTTACTATAATAAATACTGAACTGATACCTTTGTTTTTTTTTGTTGTTGTTTTTTGGGTCCGGTCGTGGGGCCTGAACTTTAGGCCTGGACGCTGTCCCTCAGCTCTTCAGCTCAAGGCTAGTGCTCTACCACTTGAGCCACAGCGCCATTTCCAGCTTTTTTCTTTTTGCTTATGTGGTGCTGAGGAATCGAACCCAGGACCTCAGGCATGCAAGGCAAGCGCTCTACCACTGAGCTACCTTCCCAGCCCTAATACCTTTGTTTTTAACTACATAATTATGACAGAATTTCAAAGAATGAGATGATCATAATCATTACCCACCAAAGAAATGGCTGAAAAGTTATAATTTTAAAATACTTTAAGTATGGTAAATGGAACTGTGGCTCAACTGGTAGAGCTCCAACCTTAGATATAAAATCTAAGGGAGAGCACCCAGTCCCTGAGTTTGAGTCCTAGTATAGGCAAAAAAAAGAAAAAAGAGAGGGAAGGAGGGAGGAAGGGAATTTTTCACTCAAGGTTGGCATTCTACCACTTGTGTCATATCTCATACCTTGAGACTCTTATGCTTTTTCACTCAAAGCTAGTGCTCCTACCATTTTGAGCCACAATGTCACTTCCAGTTTTCTGGAGATAAGAGTCTCAGACTTTTCTGACCAGGCTGGCTTCCAACCGTGATCCTCAGATCTCAGCCTCCCAACTAGCTAGGATTAGAGGTGTGAACCAGTGCCTGGTACTCAGCTGCCTTTTGGGGGGGGAGGGAGGGACGAGCGCTGGTCCTGTAACTTGAACTCACAGCCTGGGAACTGTCCTTGAGCCTCTCTGTGCTCAAGGGTAGCATTCTACCACTTGAGCCACAGCACCACTTCTGGCCTTTTCTGTTTATATGATGCTGAGGAATCGAACCCACACTCTCATGAACACAAGGCAAGCACTCTACCACTAAGCCACATTCCCAGCCCCCTCAGCTGATATTTTTAGAAACAAATTTTCATGTTCAAATTTTCTTTTTTTTTTTTGTCGGTCGTGGGGCTTGAACTCTGGGCCTGGGCGCTGTCCCTCAGCTCTTTAGCTCAAGGCGAGCGCTCTACCACTTGAGCTACAGCGCCACTTCTGGTTTTCTGGTGGTTTATTGGAGATAGGAGTCTCACAGTCTCTCCTGCCCGGGCTGGCTTTGAACCGCGATCCTCAGATCTCAGCCTCCTGAGTAGCTAGGATTACAGGCATGAGCCACCAGCGCCCGGCTCATGTTCAAATTTTCTATTAACTCATTCAGCAACCCTTCAAGCCTTTATACAACTGAAGAGTTACTGGGCTTACTTCTGAATTAAGTTCTAAATTAGGAAATTTGGCTACGATCACTAAGCCTTTCTCCTTACAGCAATAGTGTGGTTTGCTTTATCGTTCCTGTGTTCCAAATAGAAGTTACTTACCTCCTTTGCACCAGATTCTTTAAGTAATTTTATTATGGGTGAGATGGTATTGCCTCTTACAATTGAGTCATCTATAAGAACAATTCTTTTGCCTTTAAAATTGTCTGATAATACTCCAAACTTTTTTGCCACACCAAGTTGTCTTAACCTCATGTTTGGCTGAATGAAGGTTCTTCCTACGTAGCGGTTTTTACACAACACCTCCACATATGGAAGTCCACACTGGCAAAGAAGAAATAAAAATGGACAATAAGCAGCAGTATTTGGACATTTCCAGGCTCCCATTTTCTTCTCTAGCTTTCATTGCTACTTTAATATGTGAAACTTCAAATTTTGATGTTATTCTGAATTTACCATTACCAGAATAAATTTTTTTCCTACCATTTAACCTATTTTTATGAGAGTAGAATGAGATTCTTTTTAGATTTTTGCAATGTTCACATCTGCAATGGACATCTTGGGGATGGGAGCCAAATCTAAACATGAAATTCATTTATGATTGGTAGACTCCTTGTACACATAACCTCAAAGTAATTTATACATCACTTTTAGTGTATCTGAGTTTTGCCAATGACTAGGTATTGGAAATTTCCATTTATGGCATTAGATTGGTGGTCAAAACTTTTGGATTTTGGATTAAGTGTGCTCAATCTGTAATTCTACTAAACTCATTACATATTCATCATATTATTTTAAAAAAAGGAGTAGGCCAACATATGCTAGTCTTTAGGTAAAGTTTTTTATAGTCTTCAGAAGACTGCTATTGAATGAAAAGGTTAGTAAGTAATTCTTGCAAAGAAAATATACTCCAAGCCTTCTTTTCTCCTTACAGTAAAGTTAATGAATTTTTCTTTATAGGCCAAGAATTCTTATTCTACTAAGAGAGCAATTTACTGCATATAAATTAAGAGAAAATACCTTTGCTGCGTAACCAAGAGCAGCGGGTGTAGCAGATTCTGGAACAGTGCTAACCATGTCTGCATCCACAGGAGCTTCAATTGCCAGCTGCTGACCACAACGGTATCTGACTGTATAAACCATTTGCTCTGGTGGGTTTGAAAAAGGAAACAGATTATTTCTACTTGGCTATTCTAAAAGGCTAGTGATAGAATTCTACATAATGAGTCTAAAAAGAAAAGCAATATATAAAACAAAGTGGAAACTAGGGATCCATTGTATGGTACATCTAAAACCTGATCTAAATGCAGTCCGAAAAATCAATCCTGATTCCTAAAAGAAAATCAGATCTAGAGTTCAAAGGAAATAGTGACCTTATTATTTGCAGGATAACTAATATATGTATAATATATAATTATGTGCCTCCCAAAAGTCATGGGAGCACATGGAGTCAGGAACTGCCATGTTTCATTGAGGCAAATAAGAGGTTTACATTAGCAGTCAAAGAAATGAAGTTTCCTTACCTTCAAAGATGCTATCTGGTCTTGCAAAATAAACATATTCAAATATACAAAAAGCTACTGGGTTTCCTTCAGACCTTGAAATAATGTCAAGAGTTCGGACATTATGTCTGGATATTTCCACAATTTCCCCAGGCAAGACTTCCCGGCAATATCTTGAAAAGCAATGTTAAGACAAAAGAATTCTAATAAATCAGTATTTAAAGCTGCTAATAATTCCAATTATAAAACACAGAGTTTCTGGGCTGGGAAGGTGGCTCAGTGGTAGAGCGCTTGCCTTGCAATGCATGAGGCCCTGGGTTCGATTCCTCAGCACCACATAAGCAAAAAGAAAAAAGCCGGAAGTGGCGCTGTGGCTCAAGTGGTAGAGCGCTAGCCTTGAGCTGAAGAGCTGAGGGACAGCGCCCAGGCCCAGAGTTCAGGCCCCACAACCAGACCCCCCCCCCCCCCAAAAAAATAAAAAAAAAACACAGAGTTTCTGTTACACAAAGAATGGATTCATTTAAGTTTAAGATGGCTTGAAAAAGAGAGAAAAGGGCCAGATACTGGTGGCTCACCCCTGTAATCCTAGCTACTCAGGAGGCTGAGATCTGAGGATCACAGCCCAGGTAGGACAGTCCTTAAGATGCTTATGTCTCCACTTAATCACCAGAGAACCAGAAGTGGTGCTATGACTCAAAGTGGTAGAGCACTAGCCTTGAGCAAAAGAGCTCAGGACAGTACCCAGGTCCTATTCAAGCTCCATGACAAACGAAGAAAAAAAGTACTATATACATATACATTTATGTATGTATACTCATAAACCTATTTTGTAAAACAACAACAGGAAAACGTATGCCTTACTTATTAAGTTCTTTAAATGTTTCTGTTATCTTTAAGTTCTAATTAAGAATCTTTAAAATACCCTACTTTTTAATTTTTGAAAAAGCAAATGATAAAGAAGGATGAGACTGAAGGAAGTAACACAGATCAAGATGCAATGTATTCATATACTGTTTTGTTAAATGACATCTCTCTTATACAACTAAATAAGATAATAATAAAAAAAAAGAAAAGCAATTTTTTTTTTTTTTACCATAGCTTAAGTTTATCCTGTGCCAAGAAAGTCCTTCCTTTCTAAAATCTTTTGGTATTTTATTATTTTTTGGCGGGGGGGGGGGGGGATCCGGTCATAGGGCCTGAGCTCTGAGCCTGGGCACTGTCCCTTAGCTCTTCAGCTCAAGGCTAGTGCTCTACCACTTGAGCCATAGTATCACTTCTGGCTTTTTTCTTTTTTGCTTATGTGCTGCTGAGGAATTCAACCCAGGGCCTTGTGCATGCAAGGCAAGAGCTCTACCACTGAGCCATGTTCCCAGCCCCTCTTTTGGTATTTTGTTTTTTTTTATTTTTTATTTTTTTTTATTTTTACTTATGTGGTGCTGGGGAATCGAACCCAGGGCCTCATGTATGCAAGGCAAGCGCTCTACCACTGAGCCACATTCCCAGCCCTATTTTGGTATTTTGAAAGAAAGATGACATTTTAGAGCTGAGCACTGATGGCTCATGCCTATAATCCTAGTTACTCCAGAAGCTGTGATCTGAGGATTGTGGTTCAAAGCCAGCCTGGGCAGAAATGTCCATGAGATTCTAACCTACAATTAACCACAGAAAACTAGCAGTGGCGCTGTGGCTCAAGTGGTAGAGCGCTTGCCTTGAACTTAAGAGCTCAAAGACAGCAACCAGGCCCAGAGTTCAAACCCCACTCCTGCCCCCACAGACCAAAAAAAGAGATAACACGTTAATGATCAGGAGATGGTGTTATGGGACTATTTAAGCCATACAACTGCAGAGCACAATGAATGTAACAATGCATTTACAAGTGCTTTCTTACAAATTGCATCAGTGAAAATAATTTTAGGTAAATATCAAAAGAGGGCCAGGTGGGCTGGGAATGTGGCTCAGTGGTAGAGTGCTTGCCTTGCATGCCTGAGGCCCTGGGTTCGATTCCTCAGCACCACATAAGCAAAAAGAAAAAAAAGCCGGAAGTGGTGTTGTGTGTGGCTTAAGAGGTAGAGCACTAGCCTTGAGCTGAAGAGCTGAGGGATAGCGCCCAGGCCCAGAGCTCAGGCCCCATGACCAGATCAAAAAAAAAAAAAAAGAGGGCCAGGTATAATTGTTTATTCCTATAATCCCAGCTACTTGGGAAAAAGAGACAGAAGAACTGCAGTCTGAGGCCAGCATGAATAAATAGCAGGACCCTATCTCAAAAGCCAGGTAAGGTGGTGCATGTCTATAATTCTAGTCATATAAGTGGCATAGGTAGGAGGATTGGGGCACAAGACATTTTCTTAAAAATAAAGTAAAAATAGGCTAGGGTAGAACAACTACCTATGAAGCATAAAGCCCTAAGTTGTACCACTTAAAAATCATAATTTTTCTTTTCTTTCTTCAGTCATTTGCTTTTTTAATTTGAGACAAGTTTGCCCAGATCAAATTCCTACTCAAGTAATGCTTCCACCCCAGCCGCCTGAGTGTGCAACTATATGAGTTTGTTATCTAGTATGAAAACAACCTTTTTGCTCTTGCTCTTGTTATACATATAACTCAGGTTGGCCTCAACCTCAGGATCCTCCTTCCATACTATCAAAGTACTGGGATTATAAGTATGAGCCACTATACTTGGCTAAAAATTTCTTAACCATGTAGAAAACCTTAGTACTGAAGTGATACTTACCTCGCACCAATAGATAAAAAGCTACATGATTCTGAGGACACCACCCATCCTTCAGTTTCTGATGTTTTCTTTCCTGTACATCACAGGACAAAGAGGTAATTTCAATACAACAGTTAAACATTAAATAAATTAAAAAACTAACAGCTACAGAGGAGGCGGAGGTCCAAAGCAGCCCAAAATTAGCATAAAATCCTGTCTGTAAACCAACCCAAAAATAAAAGGACTGAAGGTGTGGCTCAAGAGGTGTAGCCCTTGCCTGGCAAACATGAGGCTCCAATCCCCAGTACGGAAAAAATGAAAGAAAAAAAGGCAAAAAAAAATAAAGACACATAATCCTCATTTGAAGTAAGTTACATATAACATAAAGAATTCGAGTCCTTTCTAGTATTATGATCTTATGGTTTCAGTAAGACATGACTTGATAAGGCAAGCTTGCCTAATTAAAAAAGAAAACCACTAACATATGTAAAAATAAGGATTCTACTAAATTTTTTAAAAGAGACCCATCCCCATATGTAGTCAGGGAAATGTTCTTTGTATATATGCGCGCGCGCGCGTGTGCGTGTGCGTGTGTGTGCGTGTGTGCGCGCACGTGCGCGTCTAAACCTGTCAATACTGGGCGGGGGCTCAAGGCATCACACTCTCTGACTTTTTTGCTTAAGGCTGGTGTTCTATCGATGGAACTATGCCTCCCTCTTCTTTTTGGTGATAAAGAGCCTCACAGGCAGTCCAGGGTGCTTTCAAACCTCAATCCTCAAATCTCAGCCTTCAGAGTGGATAGGATTACAGGTGTAAGCCACCAGCACACAGCTACAGAAATGTTATTTTAAAACTAAGAATGCCATTTTCTTCTTTTTCTGGTACATTATATTTAAAGAGTTCAGGACTGTACACTAATTAAAACGACTTTAAACAGCATTATGAAAAGTACATCCCAAAAAAGGAAAGAAAATTACGTTCCTTCTGAGGTTTATTACCTTTATCATTTATATCAGAAACAGGAATAAGACGACCAATGCATAGAGGACGATTTCCGTAAGGATCCCGTACTGCATAAATAACATCTCTGTGCATTATAATCAGGGAGTATGCTGTGGGTGCTTCCTTCATTAAATTTTTAATCCTGGAATTAAGTAACTCAATGAATCACATCAGCAAAGCAAATCACATACACAAAGCAAAGCTTTTACTACCAGAGTGGCTAGTATAATCGTTTTACAATTACCTTGCTACCCAGTCTGGGGTGTCATCTCGTTCCTGAGGTGGGGTATATGCCAGTAACTGGGTAATCATTTCACTGTCAGAGCTTGTTGACAGACCAATGCCATGACGCAGAAGCTATACAAAAGAGAGATGCCATCAGAAGGGTATTCCCCATCTTCCTCTCACTCAATAGCCCGCCTAGGAAATGAGGTACCTTGTAGGCGGTTATGAAAACCCTGAACCTTACTAATGTATATGGATACAAGAAAGATCCCATCAGAAGGGTACTCTCCATCTTCCTCTCACTTGATAGACCACCTAGGAAATCAGGTAATTTGTAGGCAGTTATGAAAACCCTGCACCCTATTAATATATATGGATATTAGTAGAAATTGTCTCTGGAGGTTTTCAAACTGAAAATTACAATCAAAAATTGCCTCTAGAGATATAAAGAAAAGGTGTTTTTGTTGTTTTGCCAGTTTCATCTTTTATTTTAAACTAAGCTCCTCTGCAATGTACTAGGAGTTTCTGTATTTGTCCAGAACAAACATAGGCAACCGCATTTCACTCCTGTACTAAAACTAAGTGAAATCAAATAGATATGTTAAATATTACAGGTAATAAGCCCAAATAACATACTATACACAAGAGCTCAAGAATCCAACTACCAAAAAACATTGAAAGATTAAGTTTAGAACTAGCACACAGAATTGAAAGGGAGGATGGGGGTTGAATTGTGGGCCTTTTGTTACCCTTAAAAATCCTGACCACTGGCTGGGAATGTGGCTTTGTGGTAGAATGCTTGCCTGAAGAATGCATGTATGAAGCTCTTGGTTCTATTCCTCAGTACCACATAAGCAAAAAAGCTAGAAGTGCTGAGGCTCAAGGGATAGAGTGTTAGTCTTGACCAAAATAGAAGCTCAGGGACAGTATACAGGCTAGGAGTTCAAGTCCCAGGATTGGAAAAAAAAATCCTCACAAACCCAGGCACCGGTGGCTCATGCCTTTAATCCTAGTCAGGAGATTGAGATCTGAGGATTGAAGTTCAAAGACAGCCCGGGCAGGAATGTCCATGACTCTCATCTCCAATAAACTATTCAGAAAAAAAAAAGCCAAAAGTGGCACTGAGGCTCAAGTGATGGAACGCTAATCTTGAGCACAGAACAGCTCAGGATAGTGCCCAGGCCCAGCACAAAAAAAAAAAAAAAAAAAAAAACCCTGACCAATAAATAGGACACATTTCTTGTATAGTGGTATACTATAGTGATAACTCAAAATGAATTTGTAGGTAGCAGTGATGATAGCTTCCTATCCTCTGTTATGATTGACAAGTGTTAAGAATCAACTACAGTAACAAGTACTAAAGATGTGATAACACTGGTTACATGTACTCAACTGGCAATTAGAAAGTTCTGAACAGGAGCAGCACTACAGACAGGCCCAGAATGACTTAAGTATATACTACAGAACATTTTCAGTTGACAGCTAAATGTGCAGATATGAAGTCTAACATCTGAGTAAAGGGTATGTTTAGAATTGAACTCTTGGTTATTATCTTTAAGTGGTGAACTTATAGTAATTTACTTCATAGTTCTACTATTGTGATTGCCTGAATTATTTAAATGAATTAATTATACTTTTATCATTTGTAAGTAGAAAATAATGTGTACTAATCATAATGTTATAGCCTATGAAGAAGGCATATCATGAAACAGACAGATTAATACTCCTTAAGAGTGTCTGGTTAAAAGACAAACATTATATATATTATGTGTGTTAATTTCATCACAGATGTTTGTTGCAAGCCTGGGTTAATGTTATTCTTTGTGTGTGTGCATGCGCGCACGCGTGTGTGCCAGTTCTGGCACTTGAACTCAGGTTCTTGAACTTTTGGTTCAGCTTCCTGGCTCATAGTAGGAACTCCACTACTTGAGACATGACTCTAGTCCAACCATTTTTCTGGTTATGGAATCTGGAATTTGGAAATGGCTGGCTTTAGACCTCAAGTCCTCTAGGACTCAGCCTAGGATTACAAGTGTGAACCACCTGTATCTGGCTTGCTTTTTATTTTTTAATAAAAGAATGAGCCATTAGGCTACTTGATTAAAAGCTGCCAGACACTTCCCAAGACTGGCCAAAGCAGCAATTGCCCAAGAGGAACTGAACAATAGCCTAGGAATGAGCAGGCAGCTTGGGAGCTGCTACAGTTGCCTCCACAGCCCCAGGCCCCATTCGGCAGGCCTGAGAGACAGTGTAGTGACTCCTGAAATTCTATGGGAGAGGTAGCAACTGCTACTTGAGTCTGTGCCATTTTCAGGAAAATTCTAGAAGCAGTCCATCAAGCAATTGCCTCTACAGAGATTTTTTTGTTGTTGTTGGTCATGGGGCTTGAACTCTGGGCCTGGGCATTGTCCCTCAGCAATTCAGCTCAAGGCTAGCACTCTACAACTTAAGCCACAGTGACACTTCTGGTTTTCTGGAGATAAGAGTCTTATGGACTTTCCTGCTAGACTGGCTTTGACAGCAATCCTCAGATCTCAGCCTCTTGTGTAACTAGGATTGAGTAACTATAGCCACCGACCTCTGGCTGGTCTATCTACAGGGATTTCTTAAGCTGTCATCAGCAAAACTGAAATTGTTTTCAAACTCTTCAGCTGTTGAGAGAGACTTATTTAGCCACCAACACCTGAAGGAAACTTTGATCAGCTGTGGATAACACAAGAGACTTGTCCAGTAGAAGGGAAGTACTGCCCCAGTTCCAGGTTGAAATGAATTATAGGATACCTACTTGGTATCCTTCAGAAAATTGGTTAAGTGAGATGTCCCCTCTCCACCACCATTTAATCATATGTTGGGTTGAGTTTGAATGTAAGAAACAGTTTGCTTTTTCCTACCTCAAAGAATCTCTCATCCCAGGAACAAAGTTATAAGGGCAGTAAGTACCTCCAATTAACCCAAAATTTTCTGTGTTTCTTTTCTTTTTCTTTTTGGTCAGTCGTGGGGCTTGAACGCTGGGCCTGGGCATTATCTGAGCTCTTCAGCTCAAGAGGAGTGCTCTATCACTTGAGCCACAGCGCCACCTCCCATTTTCTGGTTGTTAATTGGCCAGCCCGGGCTGGCTTTGAACTGCGATCCTCAGATCTCAGTCTCCTCAGTAGCTAGGATTACAGGCATGTGACACTGACACCCAGTTTCTCTGTATTTCAAATAGTAGTAATTAATCAATTCCAAATCTCAATTTGAATACACCACAGACTATACTTCAAATCAACTCTGAAGTGACACTGTTAGAATCTGCAATTATAACAAGTACTCCAGGTCATTCTGTGGTGTTCACTGCAGTTAGGTTAGGTAAACACTGACAATAATCAGAACATGTTCTTTGCCAAGAATTTCAACTTCTTTTTATGAATTAATCTGATCATGATAAAAGGAATTAGAAAACACCTTACCTTTTTCCTTAATCGAGCAGCATTTACCAATTCACCATTATGTGCCACAGCTATTTTCCCATGAAGTGTTTCAACAACAAAGGGCTGACAATTTTCTAATTCACACTTTCCTGTAGTGGCGTATCTCGTATGTCCAATTCCAAGATTTGAAACATATAATTTCTTTAAGTTGTCTTCAGTAAAAACATGATTTACAAGACCCATTCCCTTGAGAAACAGAAGTCAAAGTACATCTTAGAAGATAAAGAGTTATGAAATGAAACCCTTTTGTACAAATAAATAAATAAACAAATAAAAACAGAGCTAATATGGCTAGTAACTAAAGCCTTTCTGCTCAGGCAATACAAATTAGACAACATAGTTCACTTTCTCTATGCTTCAGAATTCTCATCTTAAAGAATCAAGACAAGGAAAGGGCAAAGAGAAAAATAAAAGGGTACAGGTATGGGCAGGGAATGAAAACCTAATTTTAAGACTTATAAGGCATTTATTTAAAAAATGTATTGAAATTCACATAAAATTAAAATACAGTAGATTTAGAATGTTTGTAATGTTGAAATAGTTATGTTTTTTGACATTTTGCTTAAATAGAAATGAGACACAGCTGTACTATGTGGCCCTTGATGGTCTAGATCTTATTATCATCCTGCCTCTTCCTCACTAGGGCTGGGATTACAGGCATTACCACCATCACACCAATCTTCTACTTTATGACATTTTTTTATTAACACATGTAAGAATATATGTACTAGGCAATAAAAGTTGTCAAATAGTACTGTGCATTAAAAAAAATCAAAACATCTTCAAGTACTTAAATTTTTCATTGAAGTCAATAAACAAGAACTTCATTCTAATTTGACAAACTTCAATATTATATAGAGTTGGAAAGGGACAATCTAAATACTATTAATTAGAATTGCAAATTAATGACTCATAACTAATGAAAGTCATCTTTATCATCAAAAATTTCAACATTCAGGTCCAGCACTGGTGGCTCATGCCTGTAATTCTAACTACTCAGGAGACTGAGGATTGAGGTTCGAAGCCAATCCAAATGGACAAACCCAGAAGACACTCATCTCCAAATAACCAGCAAAAAGCTCAAAGTGGAACTGTAGTTCAAGTGGCAGAGGACCAGCTCTGCATGAAAAAAACTAAGGAGAAACTTCAAGTCTTGAGTTCAAGAACCAGTTAGACACCAAAAAGTAAATAGACAAAATTGTTTTCAGTATTCAAATTTACCTTATGTACTTTGAATGTTGGCACTGAATTCCCATCACTGGTCACAATTCCTGCACTCTCCTGACCCCTGTGAATATACAAAAACACCAATTAAGTGTGCCCAATTGATCAGCTTCTTCAGCACATTATCAAGCATACCTTTCTCACAGAGATTCAGAAAGAGTCTGAAAACACATTACATGTATCAGTACTGTAGGTATGGACGTTTTTGATGACTAGCAATGATGCAATTGCTTGTAACAGAAATTCTAATACCAGTTACTGCCCTAAGCTTTTCTTTCTTTTTTTCTTTTTCTTTTGTCGGTCGTGGGCCTGAACTCTGGGCCTGGGCGCTGTCCCTGAGCTCTTCAGCTCAAAGCTAGTGCTCTATCACTTGAGCCACAGCGCCACTTCTGGCCTTTTCTGTTTTATGTGGTGCTGAGGAATCAAACCCAGGGCCTCATGCATGCAAGGCAAGCGCTCTATCACTAAGCCACCTTCCCAGCCCCGCTAAGCTTTTCTTTACATAAAAAAAAAGTACCTTGGGGCTGGGAAGGTGGCTCAGTGGTAAAGTGCTTGCCTTGCATGCATGAGGCCCTCGGTTCGGTTCCCCAGCACCACATAAGCAAAAAGAACAAAAGCTGCAAGTGGCGCTATGGCTCAAGTAGTAGAGCGCTAGCCTTGAGCTGAAGAGCTGAGGGACAGCGCCCAGGCCCAGAGTTCAGGCCCCACGACCGGACCCCCTCTCCCCCCAAAAAAGTACCTTGTCTTCAGAACAAGTGCTATGACTATCATTCCTATTTCATGCATAAGCACACTAAGGAAAGAAGCCAAAGTAAGTTTCCCAGTGTGGCACAAGGTGATACTGCCAGAATTATAAACACAGGCAATCCAGCTATAGAATTTGTGCTTCTTGGCAAATAAGGCTGTTAGGCAAATGAGGTTGTGGGACTTAAGGTTAAGTGTGGTCATGTTTCCCCAGTATTACCCCAAAGAGTAGGGAGATCAGGTTGATATGGAGAAGAAACTCAACCAAAATTTTCTCCAACAAATACTTGTAACAGTAATGCTCAGTCTAGCCTGCACCATTAGGTACACACAAAAGTTAAATTCTTGGGGGTAAAGGTGATGGTGTTTGTTCTTGTTCTGGATTTTAAAAATTCTAATGTTGGGGGTAGTGATGGTGTTTATTCTTCCTTTGGGTTTTATCCCCTTCTGGTGGGGAGAGATAAAGGCAGGAGACAGAAAGGGAGAGAAAGTAGGAGGGCTAACAAATGCAATAATGCTATTTAGGGGCTGGGAAGGTGGCTCAGTGGTAGAGCACTTGCCTTGCATGCCTGAGGCCCTGGGTTCGATTCCTCAGCACCACATAAGCAAAAAGAAAAAAGCCGGAAGTGGCGCTGTGGCTCAAGTGGTAGAGTGCTAGCCTTGAGCTGAAGAGCTGAGGGACAGCATCCAGGCCCAGAGTTCAGGCCCCACGACCAGACCACCCCCCCTCCAAAAATAATGCTATGTAGAAATTAACCTATGTAACTCTGGGCAGGGACAGGATAGAGAAACTGGGAGAAAGTAAAGGGTGACATTGTACAAAAGAAGAAAGTAAAGTACTCATTACTTGACTTTTGAAATGGTAGCCCCTCTGTACAACACAATAATAATAACAATATATTTTTGTCTTAAAAAAGGTTTAGGGGCTGGGAAGGTGGCTCAGTGGTAGAGTAAGTGTGCCTTGCATGCATGAGGCCCTGGGCTCAATTACTCAGCACCACACAAGCAGAAAAAGCCAGAAGTGGCACTGTGGCTCAAGTGGTAGAGCGCTAGCCTTGAGCTGAAAAGCTGAAGGACAGAGCCTAGGCTGAGTTCAGGCCCCACGACTGGCAAAAATATAAATAAAAATAAAATAAAAAGTAAAATAAAAAAAGGTTTAAATAAAGGCTCCAAGTACTCAATAACTTAACAGTTCTGAGCAAGTTCTAAAAATAGTAGATGATTATTGACAAATTTTCCTTCCAGGGTAGAAATAAAAGCCAAACCTCAGAGCTGAGGGTATGGCTCAAATGGTGGATCCAACTAGCAAGTACAGTACAAGGTCTCTGTCTCTCTCTCTCTCTCTCTCCCCCTCCCCCCTGCCCCCCACACCACCACCACCACCACCACCACCACCACCACCACCAACAACAACAACAACCTCTCCCATATGCATAATACTACATTGTCTATGAGACTAAATAGTGACTTGGAATTTACTTAGTGACATGATGTGGTCTTTATATTCATCGATGCTAGAAAACCAGTTGATTTATGTCAGAGAAAAGTGAAAGCATTAGCTATATATCTCAACAGCACAATGTAAAACATATAGCTCTTAATATCTGCTCTAAACCTAAAAGAACCTCTGCCAACCATTTCTAAACAATTTTTGAAAATCAACAACCACAGCAATTATGTAAGAAAGCAAATACAGAAAAAAAAAGGGCTATCTCTCCCTTTTTCCTCATCAGTATAAATTTTTCTTAAAGCTGAAAATAACAAGATCAGCAATTATGTAGATTCAGGCTTCTTTAATCACAAAGCCTGTTTATTTGGCAGTTTCTCAAGTTACTCCCACAGGAAGCTTGAACCAGTTAAACTAGATCCTTTCAGGCTCTCAGGAGCTTATTGACAACCAGCTGTCTGGTTTCCTAGGAAACAAAACTGTTGGCTAGAAATAGTGAATCATTTCCAGGTCACTTTCAACATGGAGAGTGGAGCAGGGAAGCACTGGACTGAGGAGGAGATTCAAGCTTTATTAAGTGTCTGGGCAGAAAGAAATATACGAAAGCAACTTTATGGAACACTGAGAAATAAAGGAATATTTATTTACATTGCTAAAAGATTGCAATCACTAGGAGTATACAGAGATTGGAAACAGTGCCGGGCAAAGTACAAAAACCTCAAATATGAATACAGAACAGTTAAACATGCCTACAACTCTGGCGACAGCTCTAAGACTATGAAGTTCTACCATGATTTGGATGCAATCCTGGGGCATGGACCTTCCACACAATTAACAGACAACCAGGCTCCAAGCGGCCGCCGGTCTCTGGCAATGCTGAGCCCAAGCACAACCCCAGACACCACTAAAGGTAAAAAAGTATTCATTGTTTTTGTCTGTTTTTCTTTTGTTTTACAATGTTACTGTAACAAAAGCATTCAGGACTTCTGAGTACATTTGAGAAATATAGCCTGAAATATCAGGTTAAAAAAAACAAACAAACCCAACTTAAATTTTGTTGCACAAGATAAGAATTTTTAAAAAGATGGTGAATACTTCGCACATTTATACAATATGGAACAAAGCTCATTAAAATGGTATTACCTGTGAATTGTGTTTCAGCTGATTTGAAAGATGGGTTGGGTTCAAGAAATAAAGGTTAAGAGTGGCCAAAAGGAGGAAAAATACCAAAAATGCTGCTAAGTGACTATTTTCCCCATTACTCCATACAAGATAAAAAGCCTTCTCTATTTTAATAACACTATTTTTCTAAATTTATAAATAAGAATACTAAATTACCCAAATGGCTCCTAGGAATTAGGATTCCCCCAGGAAATTCTACACTGGAAATAAAAATGAGATCACCTACAAGAAAGATACAAAAAGGAGACCCATTTTTCTGGGAGAAATTCTATCTCTATTTGTGTATTTCTCTACTTTCTTTTCAACTTTTCTGTCTATAAGTTGTCGCACATTTTATGGGCAAGGCAGAGACCGATTAACAATTTCTCATCCGTTCTGATCAAAATTAAATGAGCTCATTTTTTCCATTTCTCTGTATAGTATGTTTTAACGTGGCTGAGCACTAGCTGGGTAGTGATGGCTAGGGACACTGGTAAGGTAACAGTCTTTTGGATGTGATGCTACTAGAGTTTCCCTCCTGGCTCACTAGCCCTGTAGTACTTCAGAAAGCATCTTTTCTTTCCCTTTTGGCCACTTACAAATTTTGCCACCTAAGTGGGAAAAATAGAAAATTGAATTTTTGAAATCTACCACCAGCCCAAAGTATATTAACCTGGTAAAACTCTTGCAGGTTGGGTTGTGCATCCCAGACCTCATTTTTCTTTCATAAATAGAATTTGGATTTCACAGTCTTTTTATAGGCCTGGCAAATTTGTATTATCATACAGCCTTGTTACGTATTATATCTAAAGATCTAAAATTCATGAGATGCCTTTCCACTTTGTTGTGGCTGGGATAACAGACATGCATCAACTGCACCTGGTCGCTCAGTGAAACGGATGCTGGATGCAAACTGTGATCCTCTGATTTCTGCCTTTCAAGTAGCTACCATACCTAGTTTAAGACACCACACAGGGGCTGGGAAGGTGGCTCAGTGGTAGAGTGCTTGCCTTGCATGCATGAGGCCCTGGGGTTCGATTCCTCAGCACCACATAAGCAGAAAAAGCTGGAAGTGGTGCTGTGGCTCAAGCGGTAGAGCACTAGCCTTGAGCTGAAGAGCTGAGGGACAGCGCCCAGGCCCAGAGTTCAGGCACCATGACTGGCAAAAAAAAAAGACACTACACACACCCTTACAAGATGCTATTTTTAAGAGCAGAGCTATTCAAGTACCACTGTCTGTTTGTACCATGTACAAAGCATGAGTATACACACATCCAGTGATGTGAAGTCTCAAAAAGGATCGTAAGAGAAAATTACAAGTAGTATATATACTCAAAGTACCAAATACAATGGAGTTTAAGAAGATAAACAAAACAGCTAAATTAATGTTGGATTATCATCTTTACAGCACAAAAATAAAACATTTGGTTAAAAAAAAAGTACCCCATTTAAAATACCTTATAGCATTTGAGATACTGAACCAGATTCTGGGGAAGCTTCACAATCATTAACCATGCTAAACAATAATTACAGTACTTTCCTCAGGTAATCACTCAAGACGCTAACATTTAAATGCTGTCAATACTGGCTAATAAGTCACTCAGTTTTTGAAAGTCCCTGATTTTAACCAAAGGCTGGTCTCATGAAACTGCAGAAGCTCATACCTCTCCCCCCAGGACCCCAAATTCCTTCGCTTCATCATTAGCAGAGGGCCTGTATCAGCAATTTAACCAGGCATGTGTTTCCCAAACCCCCAAACCCTCTTTTTCTCACTAAAAATCAGTCATCCTATAAACTGCTTCCATTTTGGTAATGTTGTATTTCAAATACATACAGAAATGTTTGAGATATTAATGTCCCCCCCCCGCTTTTTTTTCCTTGCCAGTTCTGGAACCTGAACTCAGGCCTGGGTGCTGTCCTTGAACTTCTTTTTGTTCAAGGCTAGTACTCTACCACTTGAGCAACAGCACTACTTCTGGCCCTTTCTGAGTAGTTTATTGGAGATAAGAATCTCAAGGACTTTCCTGCCCAAGCTGACTTCAAACTGTGATCCTCAGATGTCAGCCTCCAGAGTAGCTAGGATTATAGGTCTGAGCCATCAGTGCCCAACTCTGCTACATTCTTAATACCACTATCTAGAATTTTATCATCTCTCATTCAGATGGTTAATATAACTCTTTAGCTGGTCTGAGTTTCTATTTCTCTCCACATATCTTCCCCAATGCTACCAAAACAAAATATGGCCATAATAAATCTGTTTTCATAATTAATTCAATTCTCGGTACTACTATTATTATCAGTTATGATAATTTAACATTCACTTCCTTATACTTTTAATTATTATCATTATTATTATTATTTGTCAGTCATGGGGCTTGAACTCTGGGCCTGAGCTCTGTCCCTCAGCTCTTCAGCTCAAGGTTAGCGCTCTGCCATTTGAGCTACAGCACCACTTCCATTTTTCTGGTGGTTTACTGGAGATAAGAGTTTCATGAATTTTTCTGCCCAGGCTGGCTTTGAACCATGATCCTCAGATCTCAGCCTCCTGAGTAGCTAGGATTACAGGCGTGAGCCACCAGCGCGTGGCTTTTGTTATTTTTTTTGTTATTTTTTTTAATGCAGTACTGGAACTCAGGGCCTAGGTGTTATCCTTTGACATTTTTCACTCAAAGTTAGCACTCTACCACTTGAGTCACAGCTCTACTGCTGTCTTTTGAGGGGTTAATAGAGATAAGAGGTTCATCGACATTCTTTTTTTTTTTTTTGTCGGTTGTGGGGCTTGAACTCTGGGCCTGGGTGCTGTCCCTCAGCTCTTCAGCTCAAGGCGAGCGCTCTACCACTTGAGCTACAGCGCCACTTCCGGTTTTCTGGTGGTTTATTGGAGATAGGAGTCTCACGGTCTTTCCTGCCCGGGCTGGCTTTGAACCGTGATCCTCAGATCTCAGCCTCCTGAGTAGCTAGGATTACAGGTGTGAGCCACCAGCGCCCGGCTTCATAGACATTCTTGAGTATGCTGCCTTGGAACTAATCCTCAGATCTCAGCTTATTGTGTTGCAAGGATTATAGGCATCAGCCACTGGTGCCCTGCTTCCTTTTACTTATTTCTAAAAGAAATTCTGTTCTCCTTCCAGGCAAAAAAATGTCAGTTCCATTAGAAGACAAGGAAGATACCTTGGGAAATTCTTTACTTTTGGTTTCACACATCAGGCCACTGGCACTAGGTACAGTATGATGGGTCAAAATTATAATACAGTTGATCTAATTTCAAGTTGCAAAGACTCACTCAAAAAGAAAAGTGGGGAAGGGGATCAAATGTGATTAAAAATAACTTTACGAAAGCCAGTCAAATGCCATGACAATAAACAGATGCAAGTTCTATACTCTGTTTGCTCATCAGTTTAAGGAAAAACCTAGGTTATAACTTGTTATTCTGTCTTCTAAGGATAAAATTATTTTCTCTGCCAATACTGTGTCCCATCATTTATCATGTTTGATGTATGCAATCCATGTATCTCTTTCCCTGTCCTCCCCAGATGATGCAGGAATCTCAACATCAATAATGGAACCCCCTAATAATTCAACTTTTATTCCAACGGTAGCAAATGAAGGAGGAAAACACTGGACTGTGCCCGAAGTAAGGGCTCTACTAGGGATCTGGTCAGATAAAAGCATACAACGGCAACTAGAGGGAACAGTAAGAAATAAAAGGATATTTGAACAAATTGCAGCCAAGTTGCAGAAAATTGGAATAGAGAGAGACTGGAAACAGTGCAGAACAAAGTATAAAAACCTAAAACATGAATACAAGACTGTAAGAAGAGCTCAAGACCTAGGTATGACTAGGAGTATGAAATATTTTACTGAGTTAGACACAATTCTGGGACATGACAAGACAGAGAAATCACAAGAGCATGACTGTCAAGATGCAGAAGCCACACAATGTGTTGACATAGAAATGGAGGATCAGTCAGGTAGGAAAATAAAGAACATTCTATTTCTTTCTTTTTGGGGGGGGAAGGAGAGGGAGGTGGCAGAACTGGGGTTTGGATTCAGGGTTCACTTGCTAGGTGCTTTACCACTTGAGCCACACTCCCAAGCCTTTTTGTGCTTTAGTTTAGGTCTCCTTTAGTTAAGGCAGTGTCTCCTTTTTTTCTAAAGATGTCCTCATTCTGCAAGTGTATACAATACCATATCCAGGTATAAGAAAGTTGTGAATATGTGTGTGGGGGGGGGGGGCAGGTAATATACCAGTATTGAGGGCTGGGAAGGTGGCTCAGTGGTAGAGCGCTTGCCTTGCATGCACGAGGCCCTGGGTTCGATTCCTCAGCACCACATAAGCAAAAAGAAAAAAGCCGGAAGTGGCGCCGTGGCTCAAGTGGTAGAGTGCTAGCCTTGAGCTGAAGAGCTGAGGGACAGCGCCCAGGCCCAGAGTTCAGGCCCCACGACTGGACCAAAAAAAATTAAATTTATATATATATATATATATATATATACCAGTATTGGGGCCTGAACTCAGCCATGGGTACTGTCACTTAGTTTTTTTGCACAAAGCTGGTACTCTCAATTGAGCCATGGTTCCTCACACTAGCTTTTTGCTGATTAACTGGAGATAAAGAGTCTCACAGACTTTCCTTTCTGGGCTGACTTTGATCCTCACATCTCAGGCACCTGAGTAGCTAGGATTACAGGCATTGTTACCAGCTTTTTGTTAAAAAAAATCCTAATTTTAACTGAGCCTTTGTGGAACCTTGAAGCACTCTATAGACTTATTGCCTAAAGTGTGAAGACTGGACAAGACGGATTTGACCACTGACAGTATGATTACCACAGTTCTACAGACTTTATCATCTGTCTAGAAGACAGGGAAGGGGCTGGGGGAATGATGGAGGGAAGATGGGACAACACTTCACTAAGAAAGAAACTGGTATGTTACAAAGTTATACTTGCCTCTATTAAAATTAAAAGGTAAGACATCTGGAGATAAAATAGTCCAAACAGCATTGCACTCCAGCAGGTATAGCTAAAGATAATTACTTATCAGTTAGGCCTGAAGACCTGGAGATTTATCTATGTCCAATACCTATAGTAGTGACCCAATGCAACATGATTCTTAAAGGTGGGGAATCTCAACTACAGAGAAACAATCACATTTTGTCAGGTACAGGCTAAAACAAAACAGTAGCTGGACTTTAAAAGAACTATAAGAGGAAATTTTAAAAGTAAACCATTCTATATCTCCTCATGTCACAGTCACTGCTACAGAGGTTACTGAAGACAACTTGGTCAGAAATAAGTCTGAAGACACAGGAGTTTCACATGTAAAACAAAACTTTGACTCAGGTAAGTACTCTGCTTTTTAATGTGTATTCACATTAAAAAACTTGAGGCCCCAATTCTCAATGTGTGACCTCAAGTCACAAACAATTCAGGTTAGATGAGGTCAAGAGAAAGGGACCTTATTGACTGGTTTCACATATACACTCACATAAATTATTAGGCTGCAGCATCAAAATTCTGGAGTCAGGGCTCAGCAATCGGTTTTAACAAGTCCTCTAGGTGATTCAGATACATATTAATCTGAGAACCATTGCCTCATGAAATTCTGAAGTGTTCTCAAATGACGCTTTTTCTCTACTGCTCTAAGCGAAGTAGGAAAGAGGGAAATCTGAAATTCATGTAAAATCTGAAATTCATGTAAAATCTGAGTTATCAAAAAAACTTTACATATAAAGAACCATACAGCCTTGAGAAGTATTTTAAAAAAACCTAGGTAATCAAATTTAGCAAACTTCTTTCTTTATTAGCTAGACAGATTCTACTTGCCTTAGGTTTCACAAAGTACTCTAGTAACATCTTTGTTACAGAGAATTAAAACTGATTATATGGCGGGAGGCAGGGCCTGAAGCCTATAATCGTAGCTGCTTGAAGGTGGCTATCGGGAGATCATGGTTGGGAGGGGGGAAAAAAACAAGTTTGAAATTCCATCTCAGCCAATAGATGAGAGAAGTGGACAACTAGCCACATGGGGAAGAACAAATAAAAGAACCACTATCTAGGCCTAGGTATAAAGCAAGACTATGTAACCAATGTAAAAAAGAAGCTGGCAGAGTGGTCAAATGGTAGAGAGTTTGCCTGGCAAATCGCAGTGTATACACCTACATATGTACGTGTGTGTACACACACACACACACACACCAAGTTTATACTGCTTAATAGAATGACAAGCAAGACCACCATACACATATAATAAGTAAATGAATATAAATAATAGATTACACTGCTAATTAGAAAGAAAAAAGTGAAGTTTTAGATCGAAAACTCAGTGGTACCAAGAGATTGCCTAGCATGCTGGAGATGTTGGGCTGATCACCAGCATTGAAAAGAACAAACAAACAAAAAATGGAAATAATAGCATCCCAAAGATTTCAACTTATTAGTATTCAGAAAAACTCAAACACAGTGCCTCAAGATAATTTTTAATACATAAAGATTTAAGACATATCTAAACTGAGGTTCTTTTCACTGACTAGATTTAGATGATGATTTGAAACACATTTAGAAATTATCAACAAAGTATGATATCTTAAACATTTACATGGAAATGAAAGCAAAGTTATAAACCTACAAAGATCCAATCAATTAAAAATATGAAAAAAATTAAGAAAAGATTTTAGGCATATCAAATATACCTATTAATTCACAAATCATACCATTCAACTACTTATAGGATTGTAATGTTTACACTATATATATGAGTCTTACATATATCAATATTTATTTTCAGGAAAAAAATCCACATCAAATATTCTTTATAAAAACCCAAAGTTATGGATACTTTCATGTAAAACCAGAGGTTCTCATTCTGATTTTTATATTTTGTTGACTAACTTAAAGTCATTATTGCTTTATATTTTTAACTTTGACACCTGGTCATTTATAAAACAGAGTCCCCCAAAAAGTACTTTGTTTCTTTTTGTTCTTTGAGACAAGGTCCTGAAATATAGAGGCCAGCTGGCAGGAAACATGAGATTCTTGCTTCAATCTTCCACACCCAGTCCCCAAATATTTTCTTATCTTAAATACTTTTGTTGTTGTTGACTATATGGGTCTTGAACTCAGGATCCTAAGCAGGTACTCTACCATTTGAGTCATGCCCCTAGTCCTTTTTCTTAGGTAATAGGGTTGTTGTTCAGTTTTTGCCTAGGTGGGACTTGAAAGGGATCGTAGTTTGCCTACTGAATAGCTGAAATGACTGGCCAGGTGGAAAATTCTACAATTAATCAGAAAAAGCTGGACATCAAAGTGTGGCTCAATGGTAGATCACTAGCCTTGAGCTAAAACGTCAATCAACAGCATAAGACCCTGAGTTTAAGCCCCATGACCACCACCACCAACAAAAAAGAACAAAAAGAACACATTCTGCAAGAAAATCATTCTGATCTGTAGTCTAAAAGCTCCAAGTGAAAAACCACATTGTTAATCTAAGAATAACTCTAAAAATGTATTTTCAAAATTAAATTGTTAAAAAAATAAAATGTTCACTATCCCCATAATTAACAAAAATTAGCAATGAGACAATGTGATGGCCAGAAGGTGGCATGATAAAGTATTGTTAGTCTCTTAAAAGGTATGGCTGGGACTGTGGCTTAGTGGTAGAGTGCTTACCTAGCATGCATGAAGCCCTGGGTTCAATTCCTTACTACCTCATAAACAGAAAAACTGGAAGTGGCATTGTGGCTGAATGCTAGCCTTAAACAAAAGAAGCTCAAGAACAGAGCCTAGGCCCTGAGTTCAAGCCCTAGGACTGGCCAAAAAAAAAAAGGTTGCCAAGAATCTTTTTTTTGTCAGTGTGGGGCTTGAACTCTGAGCCATCCCTGAGCTCTTCAGCTCAAGGTGAGTGCTCTACCACTTGGGCAACAGCATCATTTCTGGTTTTCTGATAGTTACCTGGAGGTAAGAGTCCCACGGACTTTCCTGCCCGGGCTGGCTTTGAATTGCAATCTTCAGGTCTCAGCCTCTTGAGTAGCTAGGATTACAGGTGTGAGCCTAGTGCCCTGCAAGAATCATTTATTTCAACACACACACACACACACACACACACACACACACACACACACACACACTAATTTTCTTTAAACATGAAATGTTTAAATATTTCTGTGTATTGTGCATGCAACCTGGAGAAGATTAATAGTACAATTATTAAATAATGTACTTTAGTCATTTGAGACATAATGTTACTAAGTGCTTTTTTCCCCATTTTAATCCAATAGAAGACCCAAAGAAAGAAGAATTGATTACTAAAACTTTGGAAAACTCAAGAATTATAAACATAAAAAAAGAAAGTTTGGAAATGGGTAAGACGTTAAATTTAAATAATGCAATCAGTTAGCTTTACATGAGTTCTAGCCAGGTGTGGTAGTACTCTACTGTAATCCTAAAGAGGCAGAAACAAGAGGATCTAAGTTTGTGGGCCTGGCCTACACAGTGAGAACCTGATTCTAAAATAAAGGCTTGAGTTTTAAAAGTCTTACTGGTAACAATACTGCAGTCAACTTAAGAAACTATAGCTAGTCTTAGTCTCCCCCCCCCCCCACACACACTTCTTAGTATAGTTTCAAAAACATTTAGAACTTCCAAGGACAGAAGCATTAGTGACACCACTGAGGCTGTACCAGGTGGTTCCCACACAGCTTCAGGATCTTGTGATTAGAGGGTTGCAATCCTGAGCCAGCATGACCTTGTGGGAGGAAAGCAGGGCCTGAGGGCAGTTCAACCTTTTGATAATGATTTAATCAATCATATCAATAAAAACTGCTTCCTGGTTGATGACACATCTTGTTTCCAATTAGAAAGTATGTGGAAATTTAGTGCAGCGCGCACAAGGCTTGCATTTTTTTTTTTGAGGTCCTAGGATTTGAAGTCAATGCCTCAGGCTTGTTAGGCTCCACTACTTGAATCATATCTACAGCCCTTTCTCCAACTTTGCCTGTAGCTAGCCAGTGGAGCACCATCTTCCGATTTGTGTCTCCCACATAGCTGAGATTACTGGGAGGTCTCACTAACATTCTGCCACAGGACTGGTCTCAAACGTGGATCATACCAATCTCTGCCTCTTTCAAGTAGCTGAGATTAGACTTAGATAGGAAATTACTGATGCACGCAGAGAACTGGAGAGTTCTAGAAACATCAGTTTTAAACTACTATACTATTCTCTAGGAAATGAAGCCACCATGAGTATATACCATCTCAAAAGTGGGGGATAGCCCCTCAGCCCCACGATGTATTCCCTACGTTTAAAATGTTGAATCTTTTTTTTTTTCCTTTCTTTTTGCCAGCCCTGGGGCTTGAACTCAGGGCCTGGGCACTGTTCCTGAGCTTCTTTTGCTCAAGGCTAGCACTCTACCACTTGAGCCATAGCACTACTTCCGGCTTTTTCTGTTCATGTGGTACTGAGGAATTGAACCCTGGGCAAGCACTCTACCACCAACCACATCCCCAGCTCCAAAATGTGGAATCTTAAATGTTCTCTTGATATATCAAGTTTAATATTGCCTGAAAGTAGCTTGCTAAAGGACAGTCTCTATTGTGTATTACCCCAAATGCTTCTTATATATCTAATTTGGTAGAAAATATGGTAAGGAAGGACGGAAAGTATTCTCTCTTCTTACTAAAAGAAATTAGTAAATAATGTAACTTTTGCATTTCTAAAAATCCGATGAAGATCATCTATTATCAGGGAACAATCAATCTGCTTTATTTTTGAAATGCTGAATATAGATTTATGAAAAGTATTTTGACTGTCATACTGAATTTATTATTACTATAATTTTCAGTGTTTTACATGTTTCAAGAAAATAGGATTTAAGAATTAACTATAAGATGAAATTATGTTGATTTAAAGGTTAATAGTCTCTAAATGCTAAAAATCATCAACAGAACTTATTAGTGACCCAGAGGCTGGAAAACACTGGTCTGACAATGAGGTCAGAGTGTTGATACACACATAGTCTGACGAAAAACTAAATCAAATGCTGGATGGGGCCACAAAAAACAAAGAAATATTTAAGGAAACTGCCAGAAAATTAATACAGTTTGGAATATACTAGAAGCGATACACAAAATATAAAATTTTAAATGTGAATATAAAGTTTACAAAAGAAAAACGTTAACCCTGAAAGAAAAATGGGCTTTTTTTGTAATTTTTTATTGTAATTAAGTGATTATATAAATTTCACACATTTCACAGTATTGTGGGATAGTGATATTTAGTTAAAGTCACAAACACAGAAAAATGAGATCATATGAAGAAATTTTAGGCATCCTAAGAGGACTAACTCTTAGAATTACCAAATGGAAATATGGTAACCTTGGAAGTGACTATTCAAAAAAAAAAATCCTAAACTCTTCTCTTGGAAAACTCTTAAGAATAAAATCCTAAAACTGTATTTTTAAGTGGACATTAAAAAAAATTAGAAAACAGCTGGGAAGGTGGCTCAGTGGTAGAGTGTTTGCCTTGCATGCACTCCACATAAGCAGAAAAAGCCAGAAGTGGCACTGTGGCTTAAGAAGTAGAGGGCTAGCCTTGAGCTGAAGAGCTAAGGGACAGCACCCAGGCCCAGAGCTCAGGCCCCACAACCGACCAAAAAAATAAATAAATAAAAAATTAGAAAACATGTCTAATTTGAGTTCCAATTCCTTTCCAAACCTTGTAACCAATATTTCCTAATTCTTCCACTCATCTTTCTTTTTCCAGTTGCTTACATGTTCTCACTTTGGTATACTTGAAGGCTTAAAAACTGTATCAAAAGATGTTACATTCTGGTTTTCCCCCCTATGCTTTTGTTTAAGAATTATCTGAAGGTCACAGTAAAAGCCAAGGAACTTGGAGCAACAAGAGAAAAGTACAAGATGGTAAGAGCCTGAGAAACACCCGTTTTTTTCTACATTGTTATAACTTTGGCTTTGTCCTGATAAGTGATATTTAGTCCTGTCCTTGACAAATTAGTCTAAATACATTTTTCTATGGTCTGTATGAGAAGAGAATGAGAAAATTCTTTTATAGCTCATTAGAAGTAAAAGCAACATTTAAAGTAACTGGATAACCCCTCAGTACAACCTCATAATCATAATAAAATTATATTAGAAAAACAAAAATGGAAACCTATATTAGAAAGACTAATTTTGGTTCTAAATTTTGGTTTCAGCGGGGGCATTAGTGGCTCATGTCTGTAATCCTAGCTAGATCAGGAGGCTGAGATCTGAGGATCAAGATTGGAAGCCAGCCAGGCAGAAAACTTTGAAATTCGGTAATTTGGCATGTATCAGATAATTAGATACGAGGGGAAAAAATACAGACAAGAAAATACACTATGCTGGTTCCCCAGGACCCGTAGTGGGGGGGGGGGGGAGACGGGGGGACGGGTTCCAGGACCTTCCCTTAATGGATACTAACCATGTTCATATAGTCAAGTATCATATAAAAAGTATAAAAATAAAAAAGTATAAAAGTTTGTATTTGCATACAAACTATACATATCCATCTATTTTAAATCATCTCTAGAATATTCATCCAGTAAGAGAATGTAATTGCTATGGAAATAGTTGTTATACAATATTAGTTAGGAAATAAGGACCAGAAAATGTACTGTAAATATAACTCAACAATTTAACAAAAGTATTTCACCTTCAGTTCACTAAAACCATAAGGCAGAACAGATGAATGACTGTAAAGAAAATGCACATGACGAAGCCAGATGCTGGTGGCACAAACAGAAAAACAAACTGTAATTCTATATACTATCTACCAAGACCTGGAAACTTACATTTTAGAAACTACCATTAAGAATAGTTAAAAAAAAAAATTTTTTTTTTTTGGGTCCTGTCGTGGGACCTGAACTCTGGGCCTGGGTGCTGTCCCTCAGCTCTTCAGCTCAAGGCTAGCACTCTACCACTTGAGCTACAGCGCCACTTCCGGCTTTTTTCTTTTTGCTTATGTGGTGCTGAGGAATCGAACCCAGGGCCTCATGCATACAATGCAAGCGCTCTACCACTGAGCCACCTTCCCAGCCCAGTTAAAAATTTTTTTTAAAAAGCTGGGCATCTGTCCCTCATGCCTATAATCCTATCTACTCAGGAGATCTGAGGATTACAGTTCAGAGCCAGCCCAGGCAGGAAAGTCCATGAGACTCTCATCTCCAATTAACTACCAGAAAACCGGAAGTGGAACTGTGGCTCAAGTGGTAGAGCACTCACCTTGAGCTGAAGAGCTCAAACCCCACGACCAACCAAAAAAAGAAAAAAAGAAAAGAAAATGCACATAGCAGATAATCAGAAAACCTGAGTCCTGCTGCCTATATCCTACTAAGAAGGCTGAGATCTGGGGATCGTGGTTCAAAGCCAGCCCAGGCAGCAAAGTCCCCAGGATACTCTTAGTCCCAATTAACCACTCAAAAATTTGAAGTGTACCGGTGGCTCAAAGTGGTAAGCAGAGCTCTAGCCTTGAGTAAAAAAACTCAGGGAGGGCTGAGAAGGTGGCTCAGTGGTTAAAGCGCTTGCCTTGCATGCCTGAGGCCCTGGGTTCGATTCCTCAGCACCACATAAGAAAAAAGCCGGAAGTGGCGCTGTGGCTCAAGTGGTAGAGCGCTAGCCTTGAGCTGAAGAGCTGAGGGACAGCGCCCAGGCCCAGAGTTCAGGCACCATGACCGGACCCAAAAAAAAAAAAAAAAACAAAAAACTCAGGGATAGCACCCAGGCCTTGAGTTCAAGCCCCACAACCAGAAAAGGAAGGGAGGAAGGGAGGGAGGGAGGGAAGGGAAGGGAAGGGAAGGGAAGGGAAGGGAAGAGAAGGGAAGAGAAGGGAAGGGACACAGAGAAAAAAATACAGAAAGGAAAATACATTATGCTGGTTCCCCAGGACCCTTAGTGTGGGGGGTGTTCCAGGACCTCCAAGAGGGAGGGAGGGAGGGAAAGAAAGGAGAGATTAGAAAGAAAACCAGAGTTTTTGTCTCTTTCATAAGTCAATAAAGACAACCATTATATTTCTCTGAATTTCTATGACAATCCAGCTTTCGTGTTTTATAGATTCACTGGGCAAACACAAATACCTGAAAAGCTAAATAAAGTATTTTTAATATAATAAACACACCAAGTGACAATCACCAAAGTAAAAAATAAACAGCATTCTGGAGGCTGAGGCAGAAAGATTACAAGTTTGAGGCCAGCCTTGGCTACACAGTAAGACTGTCTCAAAAAAAAAAGTCAAATAAAATTATCAGGTCCCCAATAACTAAATCTCCTCCTATAAAGATTAACACTACTTTGGCTATTACCTATAGATTAGTTTTGGGTTGTACCTGTTTTGTTGTTGTTGTTGTTTTTTAATATAGCATTAGCTTCTAAATGTCAGCTTCTTTCATGCAACATTGATTCATTTATAATTTTACTTGTAATGTCTTGTTTTCCGTTTTTGGGTTTGATTTTTTTCCCCCCGATCATGATGCTTGAACTCAGGGACTGGGTGTTGTCACTAGGCTTTTTTGCTCAAGACTAGTGCTCCACAACTTTGAACAACAGCCACTTCCAGTTTTCTGGTGGTTAAGTGGAGGTAAGAATCTTATAGACTTTCCTGTCCAGGATGGCGTTGATCCACAATCCTCAGATCTCAGCTTCCTGAGTTGCTAGGATTACAGGCATGAGCCACCAGCACCCTGCTAATTTTTTCTTTCAAAACAGCTATGGAATATCCTTTATAGGAATACACGTTCCATTAAAAAAAAATCTAGTCCCTTGTTGGACATTCCAATTGTTATTAGACTGGAACTGTTCTGAAAAACTTAAAATGTCTCTCAATGAACATATGCACATATTTCTGCTGAGTATATATCCAAGAATAGGATATAGGATCATAGGGCATGCTTATAATTCCGGTACTGTTCTAGACACTTTACCTGTATTAATGAATATAGACACTATCACAACTCAATTAAGTGTGACCATCAGTCATATCTGCTTTATAGAGGAAGAAACAGAGGCTTAGAGAAGCTTGTGCTTTTGACCCAAGGGCTATGTTACCTCTTTGTGAGGGAAGAAGCCACATCTACACTGTGTAATACAGTATCCACCAGGGCCTATATGTATATAATAGGAGTTCAACGAATGTTCAATAGTCAGATACTGCCTAGCAACTTTCAGTCAATGGTAAGATAAACAAATACCACGGTGGTTTCCTAAATAATCACTACCAAGCAGTGACTTTGTAGTCATCATGTTATAGGGCAAAGCAATATTCATGTGCTTATGGAAGCAATAAGTATAAACAATCCTGCACTGCCAGTCATATAAAGTACAACACAACTACTAGGTATAGTATGCAATACTTGATTACTGTTATGGCTTATGTGTTCACTATAGTATACTTTTCTGCATTAAAGTGGTCTTCTTTCTTTTCCTCCCCCCTCCCTTCTCTCTCTCTCTCTCTCCCTGCCTTCTCTCTGCTTTGCCAGTCAGTCCTCGGGCTGTAATTCAGGGCCTGGATATTGTCCTTGAGCTTTTTTGCTCAAGTCAAGTGAACTACTTGAGCAACTTGAGCTACTTGAGCTCCACTTCCAGCTTTTTTGTGTGGTTAATTGGAGATAAGAGTCTCATGGACACTCCTGCCCAAACCACAGCTCAGCAGTCTGAGTAGCTAGGATTACAGTCATAAGCTACCAGTGCCTGGCTCTTACATACATGTATTTTAAAAAGTCTACTGTTAGACAGTATGTTAGGTTACCCTGACAGCAGCCCCATATAGTTCATGTTTACTGTCTTCTGACTGCAGCAATGGCTCTCATTGGATTATTGAACTATACCACATAGGCTTGTGTAAATACAGCTAGGATCCCATGACAACAAAATGGCCTATTGATATATTTTCCAGAACACCTATCCCTGTGGTTAAGTGACACAAGACTTACAGGAGAGTAACAAGAACTCCATCTTCCCTTTTACTCCTTTGAAAGTCATTTTATTACAAATGAGTTGCAAATTGTGTATTTCCATTTTGGATATAAATACAAGTCAAATGAGATGTCACTGTTTATTGCTCCTCTTAATACCAGTGGCTATGCTATGGAAAAGGAAAATGCTAAAGGTTTACTCACCTGAAAGTGTCATTCGGAATGCACTAAATTTTAGTATTCAGATTTTAAAATATGTAACATCAGGAAGTGGCACTGTGGCTCAAGCGGTAAAGCACTCGCCTTGAGCTGGGACAGCGCCCACGCCCAGAGTTCAAGCCCCACCAACTGACCAAAAAAAAAAGTAACATTACCCCAAGAGATGAAAAAAGACTCAGAAGCTAGAAGATTAAGTTGCTATTACTGGGAAACTATATTCCAAGTGTATGTTAAAGGCTCTCCCCAGTTTGACTAGAATGACAAAGCAGTGGTACTCTTGAGACTTTGAGGGAAAGGGAAGGGATGAGCACAGATAAATTCTATTTCAGATATATGCATAAAGTTTTTTTTTAAATAGTTGATACCAGAAGAATAAAACATTTAGTGTTTTAAATAAAGGATCATTAAATTACAAAAGTCAATGGTCTATGAAAATTGAACAATGTAACCTGCTGAGGTTGACTGAAGGTGATTGATTGGAGTAAACCCCCTTACACACTGCATAACTATTATAAACTAATAAAAAAAAGTTACTGATAAAACCTTTCAAAATCAAAGGACATGCATATATCCAGTTACCTTTATAAACATTTTACATTATAATATAGGAATACTTTGTGTTTCTAGCACAACTTGTTCTTTCTATAATTAGCAAGGACAGTTTTAAAATTAATAACTTCCTCAAACCAAAAAATCACTTAGGTAGATATAAGATTTAGATTGAGAGGATGAATAAGTAAAACCCTTGCTAGGTGCTGGTGGCTCACATTTGTAATCAATCCTACCTTCTCAGAAGGCTAAGATCTAAGGATCAAAGCCAACCTGGGAAGGAGAAGTTGATAATACTTTCATTTCTAATCAACCAGAAAAAAAGCCAGAGGCAGTGGCATGGCTCAAGTGGCAGAGTAACAGCTACAAGAGAAAAAAACCAAGCCAGAGTACAAGGCCTGAGTTCAAGTCCAAGTACTGTCCCCTACCATCTCCCCTAGCCCCCCCAAGCCCTCATGTAAATGAATACTATATATTTATCCTGTCCCTAAAGATAGAAATCAAAGTAAGTTATCTCTAGTCTTGATTTGGCAACTCTAATCAAGTTCTCTGCTAATGTCCTACTGTGTTACACTAAATGAAGATCATGGGGAGCTGCTTTCATAGGTTTGTCTAAGTGCTTTTCTTTTTTAGAAGTGTCTTTTAAAAGATAATATCACATGCTCTATTTGCAGAACCAGTGTCCACAACTCTTAAGAAAACTGCTCCTAAGGTCATTACAAATCAATTTCCTCACCACAGAATAAGAGAACCAAAAGATTTCACAGTTTGTGTCTTCAGAAAAGACACTCAACTTCACCAGGTAAATTTTTACAATTTTTTAGAAATAGTATAAAAGTGTCTATCAGTTGTTAGGTTCAATTCCAAACTTAAGAGAAATGATAAACTTCTTAATAAGAGGGGTATGCTCATCAACTAACTAACCACGTTCAAGTTTAAGAGTCTGTTTTCACAGGGCCCAGGTGGCTCACGCCTGTAATCCTAGTTACTCAGAGGCTGAGATCTGAGAATCCCAGTTGAAAGCCATCCCAGGCAGGAAAGTCGTGAGACTCTTTCTCCAATAAACATCTAGAAAACCGGAAGTGGCACTGTGGCTCAAGTTGTAGAGTGCTCACCTAGAGCTTAAGAGCTCAGGGACAGTGCCCAAGCCCAGAGTTCAAGCCCCACGACCAACCGGGGAAAAAAAGTCTGTTTTCTATTGCTTAAAAAAATACCTGAAGGGCCAGGTGCTGGTGGTGCATGTCTGTAATCCTAGCTACTAAGGAGGCTGAGAGCTGAGGACTGAGGTTCAAAGCCAGCCCAGGCAGGAAAGTCCCAGAGATCTCCGATTAACCACCCCCAAAAGCAGGAAGTAGAGGTGTGGCTCTAGTGTTAGACCACTCCAAAGCCTGGAGCACAAAAGCTTAGGGACAACACTTAGACCCTGAGTTCAAGGACTAGCACAATAATAATAACAATAATACCTGAAGTGATGTAGTTTTGTTTTGTTTTTTTATAAAATTCATTTAGCTTTCAGTTTGGGAGGCTGGAAGTTCAGGATCAGGAAACTCCATCAGTTCAGTCTCTACCCAGGGCTTCTTATGTTACAAATATACCCAGGAGTCACAAGACAGACATGAAAACAGAGAATTGTCTTAGAAAAGCAAAATTTACTTCTGCAGGTTGGTGACACATCAGCTAAAACAGTGCTAACACACTGAGGACAAATTTCCTGTAAATGAGCCCTCTGAGTATAATTCAAATTACAAACCATAAAATCAAGGAAAGGCTAACCAGCGTAGTGGTGGTAGTTGGAATGGGGATACAGGTAGGAGGATTTCAAGTTTGAGGCCAACCCGGGCAAAGTTAGCAATACCCAATCTTAAAACTTAAGTAAAAACAAAAGGCCTGGGGGCATAGTTCAATTAGTAGCCACTTCCCTATCATGAGGCCTTGGGTTCAATCCCTAAGGGTTAGAGGAAGCTAACCACCTGATTCATGGCATAAATATATAAAATAAATGTTCATTATATTTGGGACTTAGTCCTTTGGCTTTTGTCTTATTTCTGAGACTGGGTCTCATGCTACCTTTGGCCCATACTGGCCTTTAACTCAAATCCTTCTATGTCCATGTTCTGATTAGTAATGCATCACGCTGCCTAGCCCTCTTTTATAGAATCTTCAAATAGGTCAAAAACAGTCTATACTCCATAAAATCTAATTAGGATGCAAAGATAAAGCTCTCTAACCTTTTAAGGGTGTCTGTTCAGAATCTGCTAACTACTAAACTGGTGTTTTCAGGACCAAAGAGCATCTGGTGACTCTAGGAATGTAGCATGAGCACATCCACACACAGTTTACTGCTAAGGAGACAGCTTGCTCCTTCTGACAGAAAGCAGAGCTACAGAATAAAGCTGCAAATAGCCAGAACAACAAAAAGTAATCCTGGATGAACCCATCTAATTAAGTATGGGCTGCAGGACTGTTTAATAAATGATGCCCCACATTTGTTTTTGTATTAAACATAACTTTTAGGTATGCAGAAATGATAGAAATCAGTCTTAAAAAATTCCATGTGTTAAAAAAATGTAGTGTGTAAAATACAAATTACTTCATTGAAGAGGGAAAATACTGGGCTGGAAAATCTCCCTAAGAGGTGAAAAACTGCTTGCCATGTAAAAGGCCCTGGGTTTGATCCCAAGAACTCCAAAGGAAAGAAAAAAGAGAAAGAAAAAAGAGACAAAGACCTATTCTTTTTTTTTTTTTAAACAGCTTTATTTATTTTTTTTTTTTTTTGGGGTCTGGTCGTGGGTCCTGAACTGTGCCTCGGCGCTGTCCCTCAGCTCTTCAGCTCAAGACTAGGGTTCTACCACTTGAGCCACAGCGCCACTTCTGGCTTTTTTTCTTTTTGCTTATGTGGTACTGAGGAATCGAACCCAGGGCCTCAGGCATGCAAGGCAAGTGCTCTACCACTGAGCCACCTTCCCAGCCAAAGACCTATTCTTTTAACTAGCCATTGAGTAAATGACAGTGGAACCTCTGGCAACAAATCACCACTTACTAAGGTAAGTGTAAATAACTAACTCCATTGATAATTAAGCTATGACCACCTATCTAGACTTCCAGTTTTGATATTCCTCTGTTCAAGGTCCTATTAGTGTGGGGTTGAGTGGGAGAGGGCAAGCCAAGAAAGCGAGCAAGCTAAGCATGAAGCACTGAGCCTAAACCATAGTACCATTAAGAATAATAATGGTGATAATAATAATACACTATCTCTTGGGACTGGGAGTACAATACAGTGGTAGAGTGTGATTAGCATAGGTTCAAGGCCTCTGTTCAATCCCCAACAGCCCCCCCCCCAAATTAGTTCTTAATCTTTCTCTCTCTTTTTTTTTTCTTACCTCTTTAGTGAAGTAAACAATTTATCCTACCTTCCAGATACATGGGAAGTTCTCTCAAAGACTGTGAACTCTGTTCATTTAAAAATCTGAATTATGCTAGATGTAGATAGCTCATATCTATAATCCTGAGTATCCAAGAGACTGAGATCAAGAGGACTGTGGTTCAAAGCCAGCATGGACAGTCAAATCCAAGAGATTTATCTTCACTTTACCAGGAAAAAGCTGGAAATGGAGGTGAAGTGTAAGTGGTAGAGTGCCAGTTTACAGTGAAAAAGCCAAGCAAGAGTACCAGACCCTGGGCTCAAGCCCAGCTATCTGCATAAATTAATTAAATTTCAGAAAGGAAAACTGAATTAGATAGGAGTTGGGGGTGGGGGGACAGAGGGGTGGTGATGGGAAAGGATGATAAGGGAAAACAAAGGAGGAGGCAACAATGCTTGATAAGACATGCACTCATGGGTTGGGAAGGTGGCTCAGTGGTAAAGTGCTTGCCTTGCATGCATGAGGCCCTGGGTTCCATTCCCCAGCACCACATAAGCAAAAAGAAAAAAAGCCGGAAGTGGTGCTGTGGCTCAAGTGGTAGAGCACTAGCCTTGAGCTGAAGAGCTGAGGGACAGTGCCAGACCCAGAGTTCAGGCCCCACAACCAGACCCCTCTCCCCCCCAGAAAAAAGAAATGCATTCATTACCTTGCCCATGTAATTGTAACCCCTCTGTACGGTATTTTTCACAATAAAAAAAGAAAAAGAAAAAAATACATACTCAACCCCCCCCCCCCAAAAAAGATAGGAGTTGGGGTAAGCAGCAGCCCCAGCTTGGTAGGACTTAATGACTCTTGCCACTGTCTGAAAATTAAGCTAAATAAGGTTAACTTTCAACACTAGTCTTCTAACAAAGACTATAGAATCAGCTTAATACAATTTACTGTCACATACTCTCTTATCTGTTTTGTGTTTTTTGTGTGTGTGCCTGTCTTGAAGCCTGAACTGGGCCCTGTTCCTGGGCTTTTGTGCTCCATAGCGCTCTACTACTACAGCCACATCTCCACTTCCAGCTTTTTGGTATTTAATATAAGAGTCTGCTGGACATTCTTGCCTTGTCTGGCTTTGAATTGTGATCCTGACATCTAAGCTTCCTATATAGCTAGGATCATGGGCCATAAACCACTGGTACCCAGCCCTCCCTTATCTTTAATGCCTTTATCATATGCTAACCTCATAATTCTCCCATGATAAAAGCAACAGCAGGAAACACATAAATAAGGCCTCCTAATGTTTAAAGGGAAGAAGACTAGGTAATGAACTCTTAGTATTTTTGACTAAAATGTAAATCTAGTTTTAAAAAATAAAGCCAGTCCATATATTTCCTTCAGATCACTAGTTCCATTTCTACTCATCCTAGTGGAATACTCAAAATAACTTCTAAAAATGTTATAAAGCAATGTTTATAACAACCACATATTCTCTTGGATTATATATCTAATCCTTTCAATAAATGGTTTTCAAATGAGAAATATGGTTAACCCACAATTCTCCAAGAATAGGAATGTCCAAAATGTGAAACTCTAAAAAGAGCAAAAAGTTTGGTGAAAGAATGCTGCAGCTCTGCTGCTAAATATGTCTAGTTCCTTTAGTGTTTTGGAAGTTGTTACAACATTGCCTATGTTAACATGTAAGAGACAATCAAACCTAGGTTTGCATTTCTTAGCTCAACAGAATCCTCTATACCAATTTCCAGTTAAGTCAAGTAACTAGAGACAGAGCTCATGGAAGCAAAGGTGTATTTTTTTTTTTTTTACCTAGAAGGGGTCTCTCAGTCTTCCAGCAATCTGGTAAAGCATGACAAACAAACGTTACTTCCATTTTAAATAAGTGTGGATTTGTGGTATCTTATGACCTCTTAAAACTCCTAATTTACAAATGTTAGTTAACCAATGAATCTGTTCCCAGTTTGTTTTCGGTTAACTTTTTTTTTTTTTGGGTCCGGTGGTGGGGCCTGAACTCTGTCCCTCAGCTCTTCAGCTCAAGGCTAGTGCTCTACCACTTGAGCCACAGCGCCACATCCAGGCTTTTTTCCTTTTGCTTATGTGGTGCTGAGGAATCGAACCCAGGGCCACATGCGTGCAAGGCAAGCGCTCTACCACTAAGCCACCTTCCCAGCCCCTCGGTTAAGTTATAAGGATTCTACTATCGTGGCTCCTTTTGAACTTCAACTAGTCCTGTTTTCCAGGATCTAAATTCTAGGATCCCTCAGTCCCATCGCTGTATCTATTTTCAAACTACATGCTCAACAGTTTTGTCCTTGCAAACAAAATCTTGTGCTGGTTAGATGTCCTGTATAGAAACCTAAAGGCGCATTAGGACCTGCACACCCTACAGGCTTGGGGAGATTAGAACCAGCTCCTTCCCCATCTACCTAGTTCCTAGTTCAATAGAACCCGAACCTAACAAACCGGCTAGGTCAGGAGAATTGAAGGGAAGGCAGAGAGACCTTAAAGGGCAATAAGGACTGAGGGGAGGGAGGAGGCGAAGGGGGGGGGGGGGCAAGCTAAAGCCCAAGGAGGCAAGGAGCCCCTCCACCCTCTGTGCAACCAGGTCTGCACCAAAGGCAGATACCGGCCAGGTAAAAAGGTAAGTCCTCCTGGCCATGGGGGCCTCACGGTATCACTCGCCGTGGAGGTGGGAAGTGGCCGGTGGAGATGGAGAAAGCGCCTGTCCCACTACCCGCACGCACTACCCCTCCTCCTGTTGCTCACCGGTGCTGCAGCCCCACGAGTCCCAGAGCGATCACATGTGGCACGTCCAGCTGCGTGGGCCACTCTCCAGAAGCGATGCACCCGAACACCCCACATTCCTCTCCAATCCCCAACTCTTCCAGCTCCATGGCGCCGCCGAAAGCACGTGGAGGGACCTGCCGCCGCAATCGAGGTCAGAGCACCAACCAGCCTCCGGCTCGGCCCAGAGCGCCTCAGAGGCTCGCGCGCCAGGAATGCTTCCTCCTCCAGAGGGTCGACCCTTGCTACTGCGGCGGCGCGCGCTTTCCCCAAACCCCCCTCGACCCGCCTCCCACCTCCAGCCAATGAGAGATGCCCTTGCGAGGCCGCGCCCCCCTAGTGGGAGGAGTCTCGCCCGCCACGGGGGTGGAGCTAGCCTCCCCCGCCCCAAAGACGCACCGAAATATTCCTGCACGTGGAAATCTCCGTTATTTCCCTGTGCCCCAAACCCAGGTGCTGAGGGTAACGGGCTTTAGGCCATTTGTCTTTGAGTGACTGTGTGAGGTTTACACGTTCCTCCCTAGGTGCTTTCCCCCGGCCTTCGGGACTTGGTATGTTCCAACCTCCGAGCTGGGGGAGGGAGGGGGCCCGAGTCGGCAAGCTCGGCGGAGCGGGGAGGGGCTCTGGTGCGCGCCACTTCGGGCCTCGGCAGCTCGCGCGCCTGCGTGGCGGGAACTCCCCTGGGAAGCCCTCCCTCTCCGCGGTGGCGTCACCGGAGACCCTCCGCGTGCGGCCCCGGTAGCGGAGCGCGTGTGGAGCCGCGCGAGTCTGCTGAGCCAGGCCCGGGGCGTGTCTGTAGCCAGCGCTTCCCTTCGGCGTTCTTCAGCCTCTCTGACTGTAACACCGCTCTTTTTCAGATCCCCGCGACTCTGCCCAGAGACTCCAGCCCGCTCAGGACAATGGCGGCCGCCGAGGGTGAGTAACTGGCCCTGTGCGGGCCTCCCTGCCGCCCCCTCCCCTGGGATATGAGCTTTGTGGACCCCACAGTCCCACTGCAGCCCCCCCGGACTGTGCTCGGCCTCCCTTCGGCAGAGCCTCCAGGCATCACGGCGCGCGCGCTCGGGACCCGGTGAGCCGGGAGGACGGTGCTCACCAAACCCCCGGGGTCCTGGAAACGCTGGGATTGGAGCCAGAGCACCGACCGAGCGAGGGGGTGCCTAGAACTCTGAGAAGTTGCCAGAAACTGGACAGATGCCTGGAAACTTTTGTGTTAGGTGTTGCATAACAATCACACGAAGAACACCTAGCGTTTACTTTGCAAACCTAATGCTTGCTTTTCCTGTTTCGTTGAGTCTTCTCTACCCTAAGGTTAATTATTTAGTCTTAGGAAAATCTGCCCAGGTACCCATCGATTTTGTTTTTCCTAAAGCATCCTGAAACGTGATGACTTTGAAGAGCTCCAAAAATCGTCAGCAAAAGTTTACTTGGTTAACTTTTTGTCAGATTTACGTACTTAGATGTTTACTTGATTCCTGAGTGGTCAGATTTTCTGGGAAGATCCTCATGCCATTATGTTCATTTGACCCGCACATGGGGGTTTCTAACTTTATAATAGATTAAATTGTTTGTGTTGGCTGATCAGAACATTTTTTTCCATACAGGGAAGAAGAAAAAAACTGAATTTAGATCAAACTGTTGCAGATCCAACAAAAAAAAGATGGCAGTAGGCCAAAAATTTTTACTTTTATAGCTTCTAGAATATTCAAAATGTCATTGATTAAAAATATTCAATAGTATACATAGAACTATAACTTCCAGTCATAAGTTTCTTTACCTTAAATCCAATCTACTGGTCTCCATCTTGTCTTCAGCATTGCTTTAAGTAAAAACAAAGGGAACCAAAACCTTGATGGAACAAGTTTACTTATATCCAAGATGCTGACATTTTAACATGTAAAAAAATTTCAACATGTAAGAAATTTGGGGGAATATTATGCATTCTTTTTTATCCACATGGAATGCAAAGTGTATTCATAGTCCATGTGGTTAGTGGTCACATGATGGATAGCACAATCCTAGAATGTTTTTAACTCTCCTCTAGAAATTTTATACTTTCCAGGATTTAAATTTCAATTCCATGAACCAGTGTCAGTCCTTGCCAGAGTCTTGTGAATTCATGTATGAATTCATAACAGTCCTTTGGAAAATTACAGCATATACTACTTATGATTTTCTATTTTGACTAATAGGATACTGTATCTTACATATTTAAATGCTTTTATTTCTTAATTTGGGCACCACTCTAGTCTAACCTCTTCTTCAGTCTGAAATATTTAGAATGCTGGATTACTGCTGTCAACACCTGCCTCAGTTGCTGCATCAGTGTCCTGAACTCTTCCCCCAGACTCTTGGCTCCGGCACCCCCTTCCTACTTCATTCTCCATATAGCAGCCATATTAACCTTTCTAAAAATACACATTTTACTTCAAGGCTTAAGAGCCAAATAGTCCTTCAGATGTAACTCAATCCACATGGCTTAAAGGCCTGAGAAGTGAATATTAGAAATATAAGGGAACAGCATCAGCTATAAAAGTAATTGTCAATGGAGCTGGGAAGGTGGCTCAGTGGTAAGAGTGCTTGCCTTGCATGTATGAGGCCCTGGGTTCGATTCCTCAGCACCACATAAGCAGAAAAGGCTGGAAGTAGCACTGTGTCTCAAATGGTAGAACGGTAACCTTGAGCTGAAGAGCTCAGGGATGATGCCCAGGCCCAGAGTTCAGGCCCCATGACCGACAAAAAAAAAAAAAGTAATTGTCAAAAGGCTTGCCAAGGGGACATAAAAAAACAGTTAAGGAACTTGGAGTTCTTGAATGTGAATAGAGAAAAAAGACTGGAGCAGTAAGCTAGGTTTGTATCTTAAAGGGCTTTTAAAACCTTGTTAATAATGAATCTAGACATTAGATTGAGATCAAGCTATTTATCCTCTAAATTAGGTGCCCTAAGTGACACTTATTACAAGAATAGCAATGATAACCAAGAACAAAATTTAGCCTGAGTATAAAAAAGAAAAACTACATTTATTTGTGACTAATTAGGATTGCAATCTGGCAAACACCATCAAAGAGCTTTGAATTGTGTTTTGTATTTTCACAAAATGGTGGCTGTATTTATACCTTAAAAGCACAGAAACGGTTAATAATTAGGTTGACCAACTTGTTAGTCTAGTTAGTATGGCCATGTGTTGCCTCTTAAGAAAGGGAATGTCTTTTCTGTGTAGTTCAGGGGAAAAGTATGTATGGAATGTCAGGCATCAGTGATGAGTGATTCATGTTATAATCCTACTTACTCAGGAGGCTGAGATCTGAAGATTGAGGTTCAAAGCCAGGTGGGACAGAAAGGTCTGTGAGACTTATCTCCAGCTAACCAGTAAAAAGCTGTAGGTACAAGTGTGGCTCAAGCAACAGAGCCCCATCCTTGAGTGAAAAAGCTAAGGGAGAGCACTTTGACCCTGAATTCAAACCCAGTACCAGCACACACAAAAAATGTTTCAGGAAACTGACCCAGTCCAAAGGGGAGGTTGAGGATGCAACCCTAGTCACAGATGTGCTTGCGTACTTACATACGTAAAACTCCTCAGCAGTCAATGGCCTCCTGGCTCCATTTTAACTGTCCTGAGCCAAAATTACTCTATTTGATTTTCTTCCTTGACATTAGTTTTTTGGTTACCTTCATTAGTTGGTGATGTAAGCCCTGTCCAACTCTTCTACCTCATTTCCTGCAGTTCTTTTCTATGCCTTAGCTGCTAACCTCCCAAATCCATCCATCCAGTGGCAATGTACATAACAAGAATGCTATTTAAATTCAGAGACAGGTTAATAATACAAGGAACTCAGGGATCCTTATCAGAAGACAGAATTTTGTCTAGATAGGACTTAGTTTCCCATTTACATAATTCAACTTCATAAAATTAATAAGGACTGCTATAGAGATGATTTAAAGATAAATATTTAGTCACTATATTCACTTGACTCATTTAAACAATTTAATGTTCCAGAAATTCCTAAAATCTTATATAACTTTTTTCACAGTGCTCACCATTGGTAAAAAACTTTATGAGGGGAAAACAAAAGAAGTCTATGAATTGGTAAATAACCCAGGAAAAGTCCTCCTGCAATCTAAGGACCAGATTACAGCAGGAAATGCAGCTAGAAAGAATCATTTGGAAGGAAAAGCTGCAATCTCCAATAAAATTACCAGTTGTATTTTTCAGTTGTTACAGGAAGCAGGTAAGTAGTTCCCCATATAAATAATTCCTTCCCTTGTCTGTCTTCCATGCAATCTTAAACCTTATTGCCTTGGAGCCTTTAGTTCCTTATATTAAAGCTTAGTTCTTTGTTCCCTACTTTCCGATTATATAAATTAATACATGTCCTCTCAATATTCCCAATTGACTGATTTCCTAGAGTTTCCTAAAAGCATTATTTCTTAAATCCAGGAGGGGTGCAGTATATTTTGTTCTATTCAAGATAGATGTACTTCCCCTCTACAAAATAATTAAAATTCTATTCTGTCAGTGCATCTCTGAAGTAGTGGTTTTATCACATTTTAATTTAGTGTGGGAGAAAGTAGGCTAATTGCAACCCTTATCCACATTGTAAAGCCCTCTATCCATTGGAAATGATAGAACCATAGTTTCTAAGTCACAGGATCTAGGGTTTTATTTCAAGGTTTCCTTGGTAGTGGTTCTCCTGGTGAATGAATCTATTTCGAGAGAGAGATAAAGGTAAATTTACATATGTTTTGCAGTACAGATAGATTTAGATTTGACTATATTTAGCTATATATGTACTTTGTTTTATGTTTGTATTACTGGACATTGAACTCAGGGTCGGGCACATTTAGACAACAACTCTACCACTTGGGCTATGCTACAACCCTCTCTCCAACCTTTTCATTTTCATTTCATTTTTGAGACAGTTTCACTGCTACCTTTGCCTGGCTGGCCTTAAACTCTTCCCTCCCTCCCTTCCCCCCCCCCTCTCTCTCTGTCAGTCATGGGGCCTGAAACTCTGGGCTTGGGCACTGTCCCTCAGCTCTTTAGCTCAAGGCCAGCTCTTTAGCTCAAGGCCAGCGCTTTACCACTTGAGCCACAAACGCCACTTTGAGCTTTTTCTGCTTATGTGGTGCTGAGGAATTGAACCCATGGCCTCATGCATGCAAGGCAAGCATTCTACCACTGAGCCACCTTCCCAGCCCCTAAACTCCTCTCTTGCCTGTACTTCCTGAGTAGCTAGGATTATAGGCACTCACCACAACACTTCTTAAAAATTTTTTTTTAAATTTTAAGTAGTTGTACAAAAGTTTTCAATTCAAAAAGCACACATACACATATATATACTTAAGTAGTACTGGATAAATATGGACCAAGTTTTTTTATTTACTTGTTCAGTTAGATCCTAATATATTTTGGGAGGCTTTAAGACAGATGAATTAAGGTGATTGAGGTAACTATGTCCAGGATTTTTCCTGTTTTAATCCTAAACGTATGGTACCCACAGGCAACTGGGAACTCTCCATAAATTATTCAAATTATCTTTAAACTATTTTTTGTTGCTAGATGTAGTGGTACATGCCTGAAATCCTAACTACTTGGAGGTAGAAGTAAGATTGTATTCCAAGGCCTGCCCCAGAAAAAGTTTAAGACCCAGTCTGAACAACTAATTAAAAGTAAAAGGGGGGGCTGGGAAGGTGGCTCAGTGGTAGAGCGCTTGCCTTGTATGCCTGAGGCCCTGGGTTCGATTCCCCAGCACCACATAAGCAAAAAGAAAAAAGCCGGAAGTGGCACTGTGGCTCAAGTGGTAGAGCGCTAGCCTTGAGCTGAAGAGCTGAGGGACAGCGCCCAGGCCCAGAGTTCAGGCCCCATGACCGGACCCAAAAAAAATAAGTAAATAAAATAAACAACAACAACAAAAAAGTAAAAGGGATATGTGCATGACTTTGTGGCCAGTAATGCTAGCCAAAAGTATATATATATATATTTTCCATAAGTAACATAGCTAAAAATTAGTTCATAGAGTATATAAAGGTAGTCTCTACATTTTACATGTATGTTTTAGTTCATTTTCTGGTATATCAAAATACTTGGAATTAGATAATTTATAAAAAGCCTTTTTTTTTCCAGTTCTGGAGCTTAAACTCAAGGCTTGAGCACCATCCCTGAGCTTTTGTGTTCAAGGCTAGTGTTCTACTATACCTGAGTCACATTTCCATTTCCAAGAACTCATTTTTATTCAGCTCATTTTAGTTTTGGAAGGATGGTCACAGGAATATCTGAGCTGATTAACATAGATGAAATGTGCTACACTTTACACAAGTAAAATTCACGTTTTTTTAGTAACAAATGTAGGAACCCTTTCTCACAAATTAAATGGAGTTTAATGATTGGTGGTCAACTGAAAGGCATCATATTTAAACTAAGGTTTTTTTCTATATAGAGAATATTATAATTTGAATATGAACTGATTTTCTTGTAAATGGGGGCAGTTCTATTAATAAAAGTAACTTGCTTATATTTAACAACTAGAATTAGATATTTAATTTGTCAAGCTTAGTAGACAATTGAGAAAATAAGGCTAATAACAGATTTAAGAAAGAATGCAGTTTTGTCCCAGGTTAAGAATGGATTAATTACCTGACTACTCATGTGCCTGGTCTTTTCATTAAAAGTTAAAATGATCTTAGTACTATCACCTTCAATCTTAGCTACTCAGGAGGCTGAAATCTAGGGATCAATATTCAAAACCAACCCGGAAAGAAAATCCATGAGATTCACATCTCCAATTAGCCACCAAGAAGCCACAAATGGAGTTGTGGCTCAAGTTGTAGAGTTCTAGCCTTGAGCAAAAAAGATCAGGGACAATACCTGAATTCAAACCCTAGCACCAGCATCCCCTCCCCCCCAAAAAAAGTGAAAGTGAAGATTTGAATTCCTTCTTTGCATTCTATCATAAGATTGTTGTTTTTGCAGCATACCATAATTTACTGTCTTCTCTACTTCTGTTGAATCATTCTAGTCAGATGCAAAAAGAATGCCAATAAGACAGTACATAGACATGTACATTGTACTTTGGGTCCAGGTTCTACTACTGATTGGCATTATGAAATGACTTAAGCTTCTTTGAACCTCTGTAAAGTGAGACTAATAACCTACCTCAAAAAATTTATATATAGCCGGGTGCTGGTGGCTCACGCCTGTAATCCTAGCCACTCAGGAGGCTGAGATCTGGGGATCGTGGTTCAAAGCCAGCCTGGGCAAGAAAGTCTGTGTCTCTTATCTCCAATAAACCACTCAGAAAACTGGAAGTAGTGCAATGGCTAAAGTGATAGAGCTGTGCTTTGAGCTGAAGAGCTGAGGGACAACTCCCAGGCCCAGAGTTCAAATCCCACGACCAACAACAACAACAAAAAATTATACACATTTTTGTAGAAAACAGTACAGTGACTTGTTATAAGTAAAAGTTGTTTATGGTCAAAGATTCCCCAATTCCTTTCTGATATAAAAAGGCTGGTTTTAAGTTTGAGAATTAGGTTGGGATTTAAGATAACTAACATCACAGGCTGAAAATAGGTATCTTACATCAAACCCATACAGATTTACAGGAGGTGTTTTAATTCATGTTAATGCTGCAGCATTCCTTTGTACTGTGATGTCGATAGAATACCTCCAGGAGAGGCAGCATAGTCCATGAAGGCTGTGTGGACTACCAACTGAGCTTTGCCTAGTACTAGCTGACATTACTACAGTGTCTCTGTCATTTGTTCTGTTAATGACATTAATTGAATGCTAGTAGTTAAAAAATATTTATAATACTTAATAGACTCATGAAGTAGGTTTCTTTTGTGTGTGTGAAGTGTGTGGCTGCCTACATATGGCAGTTCTAGGGCCTTGTGTTTTCACTTGGCTTTCTTATTCAAGTCTGACGTTCTACCATTTGAACCATACTTCCATTTTATTTGCTGGTTAATTGGAGGTAAGTGTCTCATGGACTTTCCTGCTCAGGTTGGCTATGAGCCTTGTCTTCAGTTCTTACCCTCCTGAATATCAAGGATTACAGGCATGTTACCAGTTTCTAGATAGGAAATGAGTCCTTGAACTTACTGAAATTGTGACAAATATACATAAAGTTAAACCATTTTATCTGTTTATATCACCAGTGTGGCATTCGTGTTAAAGAGTATTGTACATTCATCCCATTTCCAAAACTTTTTCTGAAGCATAGTCTTCATTCTTCATCTCAGCACTTTGTAACCTTTCTTTTATCTGTACCTATGAATTTGCCAGTTGATTGGTATCAATGGAATCATAAGCATCTTTTTTGTGATGTATTTCATTTTAATAATTTTCAAGGTTCATTTATAATGTGACAGATTTTTAGGTTTGGAAGTATTACAATTTAGCATGCTTGGGGAGGGGCCCTATTTTTTTTTGTTGTTGTTGTTGGTTGGTTGGTTGGTTTTTCTGTGCCTGATCTGGGGCTTGAACTCAAGGCCTAGGTGCTTTCCCTGAACTTTGTTACTCAAAGCTAGCGCTCTACCACTTGAGCCAAAGTTCTGCTTTGACTTTCTTGGTGATTAATTGAGAGAGTCTCAAAACTTTCTTGCTCTAGATGGCTTTGAACCACAATCCTCAGATCTCAACCTCCTGAGTAGTTTGGATTATAGGCTTGAATCACCCAGCTTCTTTTTCTTTTTTAAGGTCAGAGACCAGGACTTAAACTCTGTATTTGATGCTTTCGCTCATTGGCTGGCACTCTACCAACTGAGCCACACCTCCAACCCTTCCCATTTGCTTTTTGGATTTTTTTTCACAAAGTCAAATACAAGGAAACAGATTACAACAAATTAAACACAGCTGATGATAAAGCATGATTGACAGTTTCCGCACATCAGTTGAACTTTGTATTGTGCACATAGCGACTTAGAATTTTGGTTTTTGAAATTTCTTCTGTTTGCCTGTGCTTGGTGAAAATTGTATGGATTAACCAAGTGACTATAGTCAGAGCTTATAGCTGATTCTGATTGTGATTGTGATCATCAGTGTGTGGGGTCCTCATCAATTATAGAATATAAGAAGTCTGTGACTAAGTTAACATTTAGAAGCAATTTAGTGCCACTTGAATGTCTTGTCCAAAATTAGATATTCAGTAATAAAAGAGATACTCAGTATGTATTGTTGAATTGATGAATGAATGATTGATACTCTGGAGGCCAGGTATATTCTTTACTGAAAGTGGTGGCACATGCCTTTAGCTTAGGAGCTTTTTGTAATATTTTGTAAAAGGAAATTCTAGTAGATAATTTACCTTTCATCATCAATGTGTAGGTATTAAAACTGCTTTCGCTGGAAAACATGGGGAAACAGCGTTTGTTGCACCTCAGTGTGCAATGATTCCAATTGAGTGGGTGTGCAGGAGAATAGCAACTGGCTCCTTTCTCAAAAGAAATCCTGGTGTCAAGGAAGGATATAAGTTTTACCCCCCAAAAGTGGAGATGTTTTTCAAGGTAATAATTTTATCTATTACATAATAAGTACCATACTGTATTACAAGCATAAAAGATTTAAATATTGAAGCCTTGATATTGTAGATGACCTAAAATTTATGTAAGGTACACTTCCCTTTGTAGTGATGTGTCTATCAGATTTTTGAAAGAAAATACCTTGAAAATGGGCTTATCTATGGGTTAGGTTAATTAACAAAATAACACATTTAACAGTAGGAAGAATATTAAATTTAGATAGAGAAGTACCATTTAGAAAGATGGCCAGTGCTAAAATTTAAAGAAATTTACAGCTGGTCATGGGGACAATGGTCCTTAATCCCAGAAGTCACATAATCATAGCAACTGGGAGGTGGAGGCAGAAAGATCACAAATTCAAGGCTAGCCCAGGTTACACTTTCCTGCCCAGGCTGGCTTTGCACCTTGATCCTCAGGTCTTAGCCTCCTGAGTAGCTAAGATTATAGGTATGAGCTACCTATATCCAACCTAACTCCTTTTATTTTCTTTTGTCTGCTAAGCATGTCTTCTATTGGGAAAGCTATGTCAGTATTTTTAAATAGTAAGTTTCATAAATTGTTCAGATCATATAAAGAAGAATTGGGGCCGGGCACTGGTTGCTCACGCCTGTAATCCTAGTTACTCAGAAGGCTTAGATCAGAGGATCACGGTTCAAAGCCAGCCAGCCCGGGCAGGAAAGTCCATGAGACTCTTATCTCCAATAAACCACTAGAAAACCAGAAGTGGTGCTGTGGCTCAAGCGGTAGAGCGCTTACCTTGAGCTGAAGAGCACAGGGACGGCGCCCAAGCTCAAAGTTCAGGCCCCATGACTGACAAAAAAAAAAAAAAATTGGGACACTGCTTAAGATTAGTAAGTAGTCCTGTATAAATTCTTATATTTTCTATGAGTCTTAGAGTTGATAAAAACTGAGTTTGGGGAAGATTTGATTGGCTGAAATGTGTTTCATAGAGAGAAAACAAATTTCAGGTATATTTGACCTAGTGTAAGTCACCCAAATACTTTGAATTTTAAAGGAACTATGAAAAATAGACAAATATTTTTTTTTAATTAAGTGGTATTATAAACAAAAATGTTTTAGAAAAAGTAGATATTTTTGAGGAACATATGCCCAGGAGAAAAACAAGAGGTTTTGTTTTCTTTTTTGTGAAAAGTTCAGAAGTTTTAGATATAAATAAATGACATGATTTTAAATTAATTGCAATGTTTTATTCTCAGGACGATGCCAACAATGATCCGCAGTGGTCTGAGGAACAGCTAATAGCAGCAAAGTTTTGCTTTGCTGGACTTGATATAGGCCAGACTGAAGTGGATATCATGAGTCATGCTACACAAGCTATTTTTGAAATACTGGAGAAAGCTTGGTTGACCCAGAACTGTACACTGGTTGATATGAAGGTATAGATAAAACAAGGAGATTTGAAAGTCAAGGTTATAACCAGAAATGTAGTTTAGAAGTATTTGTTTTTAATTTCTCTAGATTGAATTTGGTGTTGATATAACCACCAAAAAGATTGTTCTGGCTGATGTTATTGATAATGACTCCTGGAGACTCTGGCCATCAGGAGATCGGAGCCAGCAGAAAGACAAACAGGTGTGTATTGTTTTGTAAGAGTATTTGCAAGATCATGATGGCATAAAGGAGAGAGGAAAAGGCACTTAATCCTTCTGATATGAACCTGACTTGTTAATTGCTATTTAAAGCTTAATATCTACTACATCTTGATGAGTATACTATGAATAATACTTTAAATGTGCCAAGCAAATTTCTCATTATCTTCATAGCCTCTCACAGCAATGATAGAGAGTTTCGTCCTTGTCTGACTGAAAACTAAGGCTCTAAGAGGATAATTGTCTTCCCAATTACAAGAGTAAGAAAGTGACAGGCTGCAACTGTATGCCAAGTCTTTTGGATCTTGCTCTATTTCTGCTCTTTCTAACAAACTGGGGGTGAGATCGTCTGTATAATCAATACATCAGAATTCTCAAGGCAGTATTTATAGTTGGTATTGTAGAATTATTTAACCTTAAATGAAAATAAAACTTCTCTACAGACCATTCTTTAATTCAGAAAATGAATTTGTAGACTGAGATGTATCTTCACTTTTTGCTATATAAAGCTGTCATTATCCCTTATCAAAATTCAGAAAACAGTGTCATATAACAAAAGGTACTTGTTTTCTAACTTTTTTATTCTTTTCTAGTCTTATCGTGACCTCAAACTAGTAACTCCTGAAGGACTTCAGATGGTAAAGAAAAATTTTGAATGGGTTGCAGAGAGAGTAGAGGTAATCCTTCTACAGTAAATCTGTAGAGCATCATTCATTTCTTTTTTTAAGAAAATTTTATTTCAAAATGGATATCCCTGTAATCCCAGCTATTCCAAATGTTGATCTAGGAGGAGTCTCAAGTTCAAAGCTGCTCTGGGCTACTTAGTGAACAAGACTTAGTCTCAGTAAAGAGACAACTTTCAGCCAGGTGCCGGTGGCTCACGTCTGTAATCCTAGCTACTCAGAAGGCTGAGATCTGAGGATCATGGTTCAAAGCCAGCCCTGGCAAGAAAGTCCGTGAAACTCTTATCTCCAATAAACCACCAGAAAACCGGAAGTGGCGTTGTAGCTCAGTGGTAGAGTGCTAACCTTGAGCTGAAGAGCTGAGGGACAGCGCTCAGGCCCAGAGTTCAAGCCCCACGACCAACAAAAAAAAAACTCTTTCAGAAAATATCCCAGCTATATTCCTCCCAGATCCTGGAAAAATTTTCTCATTTACCTTTCCATTGCTACTAGGAGTTCCAATGGCAGGAGATGGATGAAACTTCATGCAGTTGTTTTCTTTTTATATATACTCAAAGGCCTTGTCTTCCACCTTCTATACAACTGTTAAAGTCATTTTAATTGTTATGCTATTATTATTGTTCATGTAATTCCTTTATGAATTGAATGTGATTTGTGGTTACCTGAGGATTACAGTCACCTTTTAGAACATTTCCATGAGAACACTCATTGTGAATTCCAAGCAGCAAACTTAGATTTCTAACATAATCTCATTTGACTGATCATGCCTTAAAATACTGTGTGGAATGTACTAAAATCCTTGGTGATAGCAGGAAAAAAACCTTATAATGAAAGTTTTTTTATCATTTCTAAGTATTAATTGAAAGATTTGAGCATTTAGTTTTATTGGCAAATATAATTTGTCTAGTGAAGTTTGTGTACATGCTAACACCAGGGCATGGATTTAGGTCCTAACGTTCACTTGACTTCCTTGTTCATGTTTGGTGCTCAACTACTTGAGCCTTCTGCGTGGCTTTTTTTTTTTTCAATAAATTTTTTTTTTTGAGATTAGGTGATTACATAAATTTCAGTATTGTAGAATAGTGATACTTAAAGTCACAAACACATTTTAAACTTCACAAGGCAATTGTCATTATCATGGTCTATAAAGTTTGTGAATTCTATAAGCTTTGACAATACAACTATTTCTTCCACTCAGGTGATATTTAAGATTTCTTTCCTTTTGCTTAGTGTAGCTGTTCCCTCTTTCCCTCTAATTCCCTCCCTCCCTTCACTGCCTTTGAGTTGCTTAGTTCATTTTCATCCATGTCCAGTACAGCTGATGGGCCCGGCCCCTCTGTTGTATGTTTTCCCATTTCCCTCTGATTCTTTGTCTTCCTCCTATCTCTCCTCATGTGCATATAATATATGCCATATATCTGGTCAAGAACATGGAGTCATTTAGTAATGATACAACAAAATGAGTGGAAGTCCTTTGTTTCTCGGGTCCTATTTACTTTGTCATATCTCCTTGCATTTTGGCTTTAGCATCCACATATCAGGGAGACCATGTGCCATTTGTCTTTTTTTTTTTTTTTTGTCGGTCATGGGGCCTGAACTCTGGGCCTGGGTGCTGAGCCAGAGCACCACTTCTGGCTTTTTCTTCTTATGTGGTGCTGAGGAATCAAACCCAGGGCCTCATGCATGCAAGGCAAGCACTCTGCCACTGAGCCACCTTCACAGCCCATTTGTCTCTTTGCTCTTGGCTCACTCAAAATGATTTGCTATAGTTCGGCATGGCTTTTTGCCAAGTAAGGATGGAGTTTCTCAGACTTTTGTCTCTTGACTTCTTCAAATTATGATCTTACACTTTTCGGCCTCCTGAATAGTTAGAATTACAAATGTGAGCCACTGGTGCCCAGCTCTGCTTAAAAATTTCACCTGTAAGCCGGGTGCTGGTGGCTCATGCCTGTAATCCTAGCTACTCAGGAGGCTGAGATCTGAGGATCACGGTTCAAAGCGAGCCCTGGCAGGAAAGTCTGTGAGACTCTTATCTCCAATAAATCACTAGGAAAAAAAAACCCAGAAATGGTGGTGTGGCTCAATCGGTAAAGTACTCGCCTTGAGCTGAAGAGTTGAGGGATAGTTCCCAGGCCCAGAGTTCAAGCCCCATGACTGACCACCAAAAAAAAAAAAATTTTTTTTTCACCTGTAGCCAGGTGTGGTAGCACATGATTCTAAATGAGAACACTCAGAAGGCTGAAGTAGGAGGATCAAAAGTCTAAGGCCTTCCTGAACTACATATTCAACAACAAAAAAGGTTCCTTACCTATTAAGTAGACCACTTCTTTTTTTATGTAGAAGTTGTATTTTTGTTAAAATACATCCTTTTGTTTTAAATTTGGTTTGTTAAGAAAGTATTTGTCCATATGTAATTTTGCTGTAAACTTTATTCTAGGATAAAAAGAACTATTCTTGTGTACTACATCCTATGTTTATTCACTTTTGTTTTTGTGTTCTTTCTCATGGCTATGCTTCTCTTTTCCAGTTACTCCTGAAATCAGACAGTCAGTGCAGAGTTATAGTATTGATGGGTTCAATTTCTGATCTCAGTCATTGTGAGAAAATTAAAAAAGCTTGTGGAAATTTTGGAATTCCATGTGAACTTCGAGTAACATCTGCTCATAAAGGACCAGATGAAACTCTGAGGATTAAGGCAGAGTATGAAGGTAAGCTTCAAGTAACTAGAGCATTTCACGTATTTCTAATTTTGCCAAAGCATATGTATTTTAAACTAATGTCCAAATGAATTTTTCCTGTTTCTGAGAATTATTTGATGTGCTATACTTTCATGACACTCACACCAAAAGATCATAAGGTATTTCAAGATCTTAATAATAAATTCCAAGTACAAACATACAAGGAAACGATGAGCTGGAGAACTTTGAGGAGCTCTGGTGTCTTAACCTAATAAACTTCCCCTCCTGACCACCCTCCAGCATTGTATCTCAGTGCAAACAGTGTCGTCTGCACAATATCTGAGGCAGAAGCAGCAGAATCTTTGGTGTCTTTAATGGCCAGTCTTTGCTGGGAGGCAGAAATTGAGGCATAGTTTCAGGTTATAATAACAACAATAAAGTAGTTATGAGATAGCATTAAGTTCAAGTATAGATTAACCACCAAATATTTCTCAACTTGTAAAAATGAGGATTGACTATTTTCTCTAAAGGTAACTGCTATGAGGAGTATATTCAGTTATTTGGGAGGACAGTGGTAGTGTTTCAGACTCCTTCAGTAAACTAATGACAGCTAGAATCTTTTTCTCCAAAACAAATTGAAATTTGAAATGTAAGCCATTCAAGGTGGTGTGTGCCTATAATCCCAGTGCTCTGGAAAATCATGAATTCAGAGCAATCCTCTTCCCAAAAAAATGCAAAATTTTATATTCTAGCTTACAAATACTTGCTTTAGGAATCAAGGTACAACTCAAGAACTCGCCCTAAGCCTTCAATCATCATGACTCCTTGCACAAGGACCACTCAGCAGAAGATCACTGTTCAGTTGATACGATTTTGAACAGCCTAAACAATAGAAGAAGGTCCTTGGAGCCATCTCCTCTCTAACCCACTGGCATTACCTTTATTCTGTAAATCTCAAAAGCAGTCAAACCTATTCTAGCTAGCTAAAATTACTTGGTAAACAGTAAGTGGCAGAATGAATCATATATTTTGAATATATGTATAACAGTAGCATTTTAATACTATTTTTCAGCGAAGATTGCTCAAGAAATCAAGGAATTGATATATTAAGGATTTTTTATTCTTTTTTAGTGTTTAACATGATTTTAACTTGTCATTGCTCTAGGAGATGGCATTCCTACTGTGTTTGTGGCTGTGGCAGGCAGAAGCAATGGCTTGGGCCCAGTAATGTCTGGAAACACTGCATATCCTGTCATCAGCTGTCCTCCCCTCACACCAGACTGGGGAGCTCAGGATGTGTGGTCATCTCTTCGACTGCCTAGTGGTGAGACACATCAAAAAAATTTTTTTTAATTGTTACAATAATTTTAAACATGAAAAATACATAAACAGAATAATGAAGTCTCACATGTCCATTACTTGACTTTGTTTACCATTTTGCTGCATTTATAGCTCCATTCTTCTAGATTATTTTAAAGCACATTTTAGTACTTCATACTTACATGTACATCTCCAAGAGATACGGGCTATTTTTTCTTTTGTTATGGGGCTTGGACACTGTCCCTAAACTTTTTTTGCACAAGGCTAGTGCTCTACTACTTTGAACCACAGCTCCATTTCCATTTTGCTGTGGTTAATTGGAGATAAGAATCTCATGGACTTTGCTGCCTGGATTGGCTTCAAACCATGATCCTCAGATCTCAGCCTCCTGAGTAGCTAGGATTACAGGCATGAACCAGGAGTGTCTAGCTCTGTTTTGTTTATGTAAGTTACACTCACACTGTGTTGACCTTCATTTGGGGAGGAAGGGTGCTGGGGATTGAACCTAGGGCTTCATGTATGCTAGGCAAGCACTTATCACTATATCACATCCCTAGATGCTATATTTTCATTACCTGTCTGATTGATTGCCCTCTTTTCTTTCTAAACCTTTAGGTGTTGGCTGCTCAACCATACTATCTCCAGAAGGTTCGGCTCAGTTTGCTGCTCAGATATTTGGATTAAACAACCATTTGGTATGGGCCAAACTGCGAGCAAGCATATTGAACACGTGGATTTCCTTGAAGCAAGATGACAAGAAAATCAGAGAATGTAATTTATAAGAAAAAAAAAAAGTTATTCATGAATGAAATGTTTTTTCATTCTTCTGAAAACAATAAATTCCTAGTTTCATAGCCAAAAAGAAGCAAGGTAAAAAGATGATTTTAAATGAATGGAAATAGTTTACTAGCCATATAAGAATTTCTAGACACAAGGATTAGTAAAATGGCTATTAGTATTTACTATATAGGTAGCAAAATCATTATAGCATTTTAGAATTAATCTTCCCACTCTACATGGTTATTGTTAGCTAACAGGTAACATACCTGAATCAAATATATTTTGTAAATGCAAATGTCCTTTTCTAAAGATCTGACGTTATTACCCGCCTTTTTGTGTCTTCATGCAAATTTTGGAGACTGAAATGCTTTCAGTTTCTGGTCTTCAAATTTGAAGGTTGTGCAGTTTTATTTTTCAAGGACCCTTTGCATATTCCAGGAAAGCATGCAAAGGCCTTGGGTTCAATCCCCAGCAACATAGAAAAAAGGAAGCTGAGATTGATGTTGGGAGAAACACAGTGAGTGGAAAGGGGACTTTTCTGAGATCTTTTTTTGTTATCAGTACAGTTTTCCTTGGAAAAAATAGTCCCTTTGCCATCCTAAATGAGAAACTAAATAAATCTTACTTAACTATGTAACTTGGTATGGTGGGGTGCCTCTGTGTAGATCATAAACTTCTAATTCTGATCAGACATTTTTGGCTGTATCAGTGGTCATCAGCTTACAATCATGGTCAGAAACGTCCTCTCAGTTGATAACCATAATTTATTTTTATGCTAATATGTATCTGGTCTTGGACCTAGCAAAACTTGCTAGGAATTTTTAATGAGCTCATATGTGTTACTTAAGTCTTGACTTGCATAAGCTAGGCTTTTGTCCAGATTTATTTTGTTAGTGTTTCCTTCATTTTTCTTTGACATATTTATCATGTCCACACACATATATTAGTTGAGTAACCTCATATACTAAGCAAACTGAGTCCCTGACTAGCTCTCCAGTCCCTCAGTCCCTCTCTTGCTCTGTTGCTTCTCTTTCCCTCTTTCCTTCTCTCTTCCTCTCCCAGTTCTAGAGTTTGAACTCAGGGTCTAGGTGCTCTCCCTTAGCTTTTTTTTTTTTTTTTTTTTTTGCCACTTCTGGGGCTTTGACTTTGGGCCTGGACACTGTCCCTGAGCTTTTTGCTCAAGGCTAGCACTCTACCACTTGAGTCACAGTGCCACTTCTGGATTTTTGTGTTGATGTGGTACTGAGGAATTGAACCCAGGGCTTCATGCATGCAAGGCAACTAAATCACATTCCCAGCCCCCTTAGTTCTTTCTACTTAAACCACCATCTGCACCACCTCACCATCTGCAGCTTTTTTCTGGTTAATTAGAGATAAGAGTTTCATAGTCTTTTCTGTCCAAGCTGGCTTCGAACTGTAATCCTCAGAGCTCCTACACTCTTGACAGCTAGGATTTTAGGTGTGAGCCATTGGTACCCTGCTGAAATTGCTTTACTTTTATTGGTGTTTATGCATTTGTCTTCTTAATGCCTCAGCTACTTGGGGTATTAATCTCATGTCTGGTACAGTAAAATAAAAATAGTGGAACAAAATTTTCTTCAGCAAAAAAAAGGAATGACAACTCCTTATTCTGGTCTCAACATCTCTTTTCCTAAATTTTCTCCATTGAATTTATATTTATTGTCTACCCTCTCCCAACTAAAAAATACATTCCACAGTACAATGAGACATCCTTGTTAATTTTATCCCAGCAATTAGTGTAATGCCAAACAACAGCATATACCTCACAACGAAATACTAAATGAACAGAAGTACAAATTTCCAGAGGTCTGGAAACCTAGAACTATATATAACTTATCAGAGGAATACTTCCTGCAAGAGTATGCTGTAGCTTGTTTCAGCTTTGCCACCAGCCTTTTAACACCATTGACAAGTGTTACATTTAGGAGGTGGAACGTATTTGAAGAAACTAAGGTCACTGGAACTGTGCCCTTGAAGGATATATTAGGACCCTCTATCCTTCTACTTTGTAGCCCCGATGAGGTGAGCAGCTTTGCTCAGCCATGTACTTTTTTTTTTGTTTTGTCGGTCATGGGGCTTGAACTCTGGGCCTGGGCGCTGTCCCTCAGCTTTTCAGCTCAAGGTGAGCACTCTACCACTTGAGCCACAGTGCCACTTCCAGTTTTCTGGTGGTTTACTGGAGATAGGAGTCTCATGGTCTTTCCTGCCCAGGCTGGCTTTGAACCGAGATCCTCAGATCTCAGCCTCCTGAGTAGCTAGGATTACAGGCCCGGCTCAGCCATGTACTTTCTTCCAAGAGGTTCTGTCTAGCACATTCCCAAAATCATCAGAGCCAACTTAACCATGGACTGAAAATGAGCCGTAATAAACCTTTCCTCCTTAGAAATTGATTATCGCAGATATTTTATCACAGTGACAGAAACCGCTGTGAATTGAAAAGGTGTCAAGCAAAATCTAGATTACAAAAGGCCTTACATTCTAGTTTATAGTATGGGTTTTATAATTAGGGTGGTAGAGTGTTATTATATAAAGAGTTTAAAAAAACAATCTGGGTTTTTTGTTGTTTACCAAGTGAAGAGGACTCAGAAGGCAGAGTGTATGAGCCCAGAGGGGGGCCCTCATCAGAGTGAACTTGGTAGTTCCTTAATCTTGGACTTCCCAGCCTCGGCATTGTGAGATGGATATCAAGCCACTGGTTTAGAAGACTCCTGATTCAAAAATAGTTTAAACCCACATGAATCTTGTTCAACACAAACATTAAGCTGAACAAGTAGAAATCCATCAGAGAGGAATTTCTACGACCACCTATAAATTGAATTAGGCCACAGTGATAAGTGCCAATCCTTACATGAAGTCAAGTCTGAAAAGTTAGGACTACTAAAGCAGTGGCTATTAGGGGTCATAAACATCTTTAGATAATACAGTGGAATCTATTAGAAACCTTTCTCAAAAACTCAAGGGCAGGGAATGTAGCTTAGTGGTAGAGTGCTTGCCTATCATGCATGAAGCCTTGGGTTTGATTCCTGGGTACCATATAAACAGAAAAAGCCAGAAGTGGTACTGTGACTCAAGTGGTAGAGTACTAGCCTTGAACAAAAGAAGCTTAGGGACAGTGCCCAGACCCTGAGTTCAAGCCCTGGAACTGGCAAAAAAACCCCAAAATTGTGACTATAAAGTGTCATCTTGAACAGCTCTGAAATCCAGATATAATTGGCTTGAAACCAATGACAGTTCCTGTCCTGATAGGTTCCTGTTATGAAAGTCAGATCACATATTTACTGGTTCACAAAGATTATATCCTCTTTTTTTTTTTTTGTTGGTCGTGGGGCCTGAACTCTGGGAGTGGGTACTGTCTCTCAGCTCTTCAGCTCAAGACTCTGCCACTTGAGCCACAGCGCCAACTTCCGGCTTTTTCTGTTTATGTGGTGCTGAGGAATTGCACCCAGGGCCTCATGCATGCAAGGCAAGCGCTCTACCACAGCCACTTTCCCAGCCCAGATTATATCCTCTTACACCTAGACTCAGTCTACTTCAGTCATAACAGTTGTTAGGAGTGTTTTTATGAATGAGATAAGGTTTTGAACTCAGGATCTTCATGCCTCCATTAGAAATGAAAGGTGAAAAGGAGTTATCTAGATTGTTAAGATAAAGTAGCAGGAATTAGCAAAGTCCTGTCTCGAGTAAGCTACTCAGGAAGATGTGTAACATTAAGTGTACTGGGGGTGTCAAGCACATTGGGATGTACTTGAAATCCAGAACCCCAGAGACTGACATGGGGAGGGGGAGGATCATGAGTTTAAGCACAACCTAGGCCATACAGCCAAACTCTAATATATGTAACACATATATAACATTACATAATGTATGATACATATGGTGATAATATATATTACTGTATAGGTATCTATCCCTTTCCTGTATACAACAAAAATACCTCAACACTTAAGGTTTTACAGGAACCCAGAATGCCTTATGTCTGTACTGTTTACTGTGTGCCTGCCAGATGCATGAATTATCTTTTACCCCTAGAACAAATATTTCATGCTTAATTTACAGTGGGCAAAATAGAATCCAGGAAGGAAGTTGTGGCCGGGCGCCAATGGCTCACTCCTGTAATCCTAGCTTCTCATGAAGCTGAGATAGGAAGATCACCATTGGAAGGCAGCCTGGGCAGCAAAGTGCATGGGACCCCCACAAGGGGGAAAAAAGCCAAAAGTGGAGTTGTGGTTCAAGTGGTGGCGTGCTAACCCTGCACACACATACAAGTTCAGGGATACTGCTCAGATTCTGAATTCAAACCCCGGGACCGTCCCCCCACCCCCCCCAAAAAAATGTTTACTGTCAGTCATCTAGTCAGTCCTAAAACCAGGTTCAGTACGTTGACTGACTTGTTACCTTTACAGCATGACTGCCCATGTGTGAAGTGAAAGATGCAACAAGAGGGAGGGAGGGGGTAAATCTAAGGGGTTTTCATCAAACACGACTTCACTCTATGCATGCACCCTTCGCGACCAGAACGTCCTCGACCTTCCCCAGAACCAACCCCAGCTCTCCTAAATCCTTACAGTTCCAAGTGCTGGTGTGTTCCCGATTGCCAATGAGCCGGGCCCCACGCAATGACTCCCTACTTCGGTTTACCTTGTAAACTAGCTCGCAAAGGCCGTGGCGCCACTGGAGGCTGACACGAGTCCGTGAGTCCCTCCTAGTCCCCCTGCGGGGATAGACGCCTTCCAGGCAGCCCTCCACCCGGGACTACAGGTTCCATTCTCGCCTCGAGACCGGAAGATTGTGGTTTCCGACGCTACCCCGGGGGTGCAGAAGCTCCGGACTCCACCACGTTGCTCAGCAACCACCAGCTTCCTCCTCCGCTAGGCCAACTAGAGAATCCGCTTCCGGGCCAGAGGTCGTCCCCGCCCCGCCCCTCGTCTCCTCCAAGATGGCGAGCAGTGGCAGCAGTGGGGGGGCATCGGTGCCGGCCTTGTGGAGTGAGGTGAACCGTTATGGCCAGAACGGCGACTTCACGCGCGCTCTCAAGACCGTCAACAAGAGTGAGTGTCGGGGGGGCGGGGGCGCCGAGGAGGGTCTGGGCGGCGGGAGAATGTCGCTGGTTTCCGGCGCGCGGGACCCCCTCCGAGCCGCTGCGCCGAGCGGGAGATCCGGGCGTCGTCCCGGCCGCGGCCCGTGGCCCGTGGCGGGGAGGGAGCGAGGCGCGGCCGCTTGGCGGGGCCCCCCGGGTTCCAGGTGGCCGAGAGCCACGTGGACTTCCCGCTTCCCTGGCCGCGGGACGCGCCGGACAACTTTAAAGAGACCGAAGAACCCGCACTCTTGCCAGCTGTTTTCCCCACTCGATTTCTTCCTCGCTGCCTTGTTTTAGAAAGGCCAATACGACACCAGGTCGCCTCTTCCTCATCCCCCTGAGCGGGGCGATCGAGTCAGCACTGTGGACACAACTTGTTCTCTTGGGCTGGGCCTGGGCCACGTAATTGACAAGCTGGTGCTGAGCTGGTTCTAAGTTACACGGAACGGATCCGGGCAGAGGGCAGGGCCCATCCATAGGTCAGACCTGCTAAAGCCAGTTGCAGAACCACCCCGATGTCATTTCACTGGAGAACGTAC